GGGAAGGACTGCCCGCTCCATGATCTCGCCATCACAGTTGAGAACTCCGTTATGTCCTCCTCCCAGAGTGCAAAGAACCTTGGCGTGACCCTGGACAACACCCTGTCGTTCTCCGCTAACATCAAAGCGGTGACCCGATCCTGTAGGTTCATGCTCTACAACATTCGCAGAGTACGACCCTACCTTACACAGGAAGCGGTACAGGTCCTAATCCAGGCACTTGTCATCTCTCGTCTGGATTACTGCAACTCGCTGTTGGCTGGGCTCCCTGCCTGTGCCATTAAACCCCTACAACTCATCCAGAACGCTGCAGCCCGTCTGGTGTTCAACCTTCCCAAGTTCTCTCACGTCACCCCGCTCCTCCGCACACTCCACTGGCTTCCATTTGAAGCCCGCATCTGCTACAAGACCATGGTGCTTGCCTACGGAGCTGTGAGGGGAACGGCACCTCCGTACCTTCAGGCTCTGATCAGTCCCTACACCCAAACGAGGGCATTGCATTCATCCACCTCTGGCCTGCTGATCCCCCTACCTCTGCGGAAGCACAGTTCCCGCTCAGCCCAGTCAAAACTGTTCGCTGCTCTGGCACCCCAATGGTGGAAAAAGCTCCCTCAAGACGCCAGGACAGCGGAGTCACTCACCACCTTCCGGAGACACTCTTTAACCCCACCTCTTTAAGGAATACCTGGGATAGGATAAAAGTAATCATTCTACTCTCCCTCTACCCCACCCCCACAAAAAAAAAAAAAAAAAAGATATATTGTAAAGTGGTTGTCCTACTGGCTATCATAAGGTGAATGCACCAATTTGTAAGTCGCTCTGGATAAGAGCGTCTGCTAAATGACGAAAATTTAAAAATGTAATTCAGGTTTGTGGCCACGCCCCCTCTACCTAGCGGGAGGTATCTGCGTTTGCTATGAATACTAGACTTTGTGGTTCACTATGAGCAGACGAATACACAGGAAGTTGAAACTTTCCGATTCTACAAGTGAAATTAAAATGCGCTCGTTCTAGCTTGTGGTTTGGATAATGTTGATGTTTATGACAAAAATGTAATCTTGTTAATATAGTAATGACTATATGCCATGGCAGAGCCAGGGTAAAATTCCCCTTTAAATAGCCTTTTAGAGGGGCAGCACTTAACTAGAATTGCCGTAGCCAGACTATAACCAGCAACAACACTTATTAAAAGACAAAAATATACTTAGGCTACTCTTTCAGAGATTAGCTGTCTTCCCAGGCTATAGATGAGCTAAAGTTATTTTTATGTGCACTACGTCATCATGCACCGCAACAAGTACATTTGATGTAAACACGTCTCTGGTGGGGAAATGTGGATTTTGGAATATTCGCATGGAAATCTGTCACCAATTGGATCTTAACCTAGCTACTGACACAGGGGGACCACTTTTTTGGAGAAAGATGTGAAATAATCTGTAGTTAATGTACTTTGATTAACGGAAGACCTTTGTTAGGTTTCCATCCAACTTTTTTATGCGAGTAAAGTACATGTTGGAGAAAAATGTTCACATGATACAGTGAGGGAAAAAAGTATTTGATCCCCTGCTGATTTTGTACGTTTGCCCACTGACAAAGACATGATCAGTCTATAATTTTAATGGTAGGTTTATTTGAACAGTGTGAGACAGAATAACAACAAAAAAATCCAGGAAAACACATGTCAAAAATGTTATAAATTGATTTGCATTTTAATGAGGGAAATAAGTATTTGACCCCCTCTCAATCAGAAAGATTTCTGGCTCCCAGGTGTCTTTTATACAGGTAACAAGCTGAGATTAGGAGAACACTCTTAAAGGGAGTGCTCCTAATCTCAGTTTGTTACCTGTATAAAAGACACCTGTCCACAGAAGCAATCAATCAATCAGATTCCAAACTCTCCACCATGGCCAAGACCAAAGAGCTCTCCAAGGATGTCAGGGACAAGATTGTAGACCTACACAAGGCTGGAATGGGCTACAAGACCATCGCCAAGCAGCTTGGTGAGAAGGTGACAACAGTTGGTGCGATTATTCGCAAATGGAAGAAACACAAAATAACTGTCAATCTCCCTCGGCCTGGGGCTCCATGCAAGATCTCACCTCGTGGAGTTGCAATGATCATGAGAACGGTGAGGAATCAGCCCAGATCTACACGGGAGGATCTTGTCAACGATCTCAAGGCAGCTGGGACCATAGTCACCAAGAAAACAATTGGTAACACACTACGCCGTGAAGGACTGAAATCCTGCAGCGCCCGCAAGGTCCCCCTGCTCAAGAAAGCACATATACAGGCCCGTCTGAAGTTTGCCAATGAACATCTGAATGATTCAGAGGAGAACTGGATGAAAGTGTTGTGGTCAGATGAGACCAAAATTGAGCTCTTTGCCATCATTTCAACTCGCCGTGTTTGGAGGAGGAGGAATGCTGCCTATGACCCCAAGAACACCATCCCCACCGTCAAACATGGAGGTTGAAACATTATGCTTTGGGGGTGTTTTTCTGCTAAGGGGACAGGACAACTTCACCGCATCAAAGGGACGATGGACGGGGCCATGTACCTTCAAATCTTGGGTGAGAACCTCCTTCCCTCAGCCAGGGCATTGAAAATGGGTCATGGATGGGTATTCCAGCATGACAATGACCCAAAACACACGGCCAAGGCAACAAAGGAGTGGCTCAAGAAGAAGCACATTAAGGTCCTAGAGTGGCCTAGCCAGTCTCCAGACCTTAATCCCATAGAAACTCTGTGGAGGGAGCTGAAGGTTTGAGTTGACAAACGTCAGCCTCGAAACCTTAATGACTTGGAGAAGATCTGCAAAGAGGAGTGGGACAAAATCCCTCCTGAGATGTGTGCAAACCTGGTGGCCAACTACAAGAACCGTCTGACCTCTGTGATTGCCAACAAGGGTTTTGCCACCAAGTACTAAGTCATGTTTTGCAGAGGGGTCAAATACTTATTTCCCTCATTAAAATGCAAATCAATTTATAACATTTTTGACATGCATTTTTCTGTTTTTTTGTTGTTGTTATTTTGTCTTTTACTGTTCAAATAAACCTACCACTAAAATTATAGACTGATCATGTCTTTGTCAGGGGGCAAACGTACAAAATCAGCAGGGGATCAAATACTTTTTTCCCTCACTGTATCATACGAATTGCAGAAAATACATTAAAAAATATATATTTTTTGCAGTCGTAACATAACATACGAAATGGATGATGTAGTACACAATTGGATGACGTAGTACAGTGTTTCCCAACTCCGGTCCGCGAGTACACATTTTTGTTGTAGGCCCGGACAAAAACACCTGATTCTACATGATGATTATTTGACAGGTAGAATCAATTGTGCGGTCCGGGGCCACAATAAAAATATGTACTGGAGGACCGGAGGACCGGAGTTGGGAAACACAGCCGTAGTACACAAAGAATGGGGACCATTTTTGGCTCATTAGCACCACTTTCAAAACTACTGGCTGACATTATACAACATTTCTGGAGTGTCACTTTAATTATGGGAGAAATGGCGGTGAAAACGCCTTTATGCGCAAATATTGATATAATTACCATCATATCGAAGTAAACTTGGAGTCACGTGATGATATGTTCTGTGGTCCTCCCACTACTACTCGGGAAAGCATGCAGTTTATTAGGCTACAGATGAACTAAGTTATGATGAACTTCACAGGGTGGTGAAAGTCCACGGTGATGAGCTTGATGCTCCTTTCCAATAAATATCGAGGGTCTTATTCTGGTGACATTATGATCGATGCTTGGCCACCGTTTGATAATAAAAAAATGATCTTGCTTTTTTGTCCATAATAATCTCATCATGTAGGTAGCTGGTGACTTTTTTTTATGCGTCAGTTAAAAATGGTTGGATGGAACCTGGTTTATGACACTGAAAAGTGGTACAAGGTTTTTATAACTTTACTCACATGAGTTAATTGTTATGTAGGCTACCGGTGGTGCTACACATATCAAGTAATTCACCCACAGAAATGGCTGAGTGTGGCCTAAACTGCTCAATGCAACTGGTGTGACCTGGAAAAACTTGCCCCGAACAGAGTGAGTCAAGTAAGTCACATTAAATCCTCAGAGGTACACCAAAATAGCCACAAGCATCTCATAAGCTAGAATAAAATGAAAGGGCACTTATTCGATTACTATAGAGTTCCAAAAACATAGACCCTATTACCTACCAACTGCTGTGTGTCTCTCAACCCTGTGGTTGTGTGTAGCCTACAGTATAAGTGTGGGTGTGTTGGGGGAAAACGAATTATGTTCAAACCAAATGGTCAAATAAATCTATTCCATTCTATGATGCAGTCTGTAGAAGCCTAGTCTTAGTTTTTCATTATTTTTTTAGGTAGATTTGATGATCTGACTGATAACAACCAGCACCATGGTCCTCATGGAAAATAGACTATTAATTTGTCAGGATGATATTCCAAGGTTACACCTGGCATGAAGTCACTCACTACATTTCTTCTAAATTCTTCTAAAATGCAACTAGATCTCACGGTTTTACCAATTTGACTTTTACCGATTCTGATGTCAACTCCCAACCTTCACAGACAGTGCACGTCGAAGAAGGCGTGGTTTGGTGATGCATTGCGACTCGAGCAGAATCGGTGTATGCGGGAGGCGTGTGTCCCTCTCCCAACCAAAGAGCCTGAATGCAGGCGAGGCGCAAAAGCGACTGGACTAAACGCAACAGCCTTGCCACTCGAACAGAATGCCGCCAAAGAATGCATTCTAACTGGAAATGCAAGGGGGCACCGACCAGCGCAGTAGTTTATTGAAAATCTCTATTATTCTTATATTAATCTGAAATATGGCTGAAGTGAAGTCGAGGTGAGCTGCTCTGTTGCTCAGACAACTTGCTACCGGGAGCTGCGCACTCCTCTCCATCCAGTTTGTCGGATGAGAAGAAACGGATAGATAAACTACACTCGTTTTTGTTTTTCTATCAATCGATAATCACTCGACTGTGGAATCATGTCGATGGGACAGGACGAAAGCTCAGTCCGGGTGGCTTTGAGGTAAGTCTTCAAGCCCTACATGTAATTGTTTATCATTTGCATAGATGCAACTGTAGGCACAGTTACATAGATTAATCTCAGGCCTTGCATCATATTTTGCCACAGTTGCCACTCAAGGCGCCTTATGATTTCATAGTAACATTGTGATACATTTGTAACCAACAGGTCTATATTTTGATGTCAAATCTGTTGCCATATGATTTGATGGTCTTTGAGGACACAGACTATAGGCTACTTCAAACCACTGCATCTATTGTGCGTAGGACAATATGAATTTAGGAATTTGCGGTTGATAGTTTACATAAACCACAATCTCTAGGCTACCGTGTCGCGTGACACAGAATTACTAAAGAAATGTGTTAGGGCCTACACTGTATCCATGCATGACGCAGCATCATCACACGCCCAAAAAAATAAAACTGCAAGGTGCACAGATGGCAGGTCCCATCGCACAATTTCCTCACCCACCGGCCAGGTAATGGATGAAATCATCCTTGTTTTGTAACGGCTGAACTGTTGGAAAGACAGATCTGGCATTTATAGCTCTTTGGCCCCGTGCCGAAGTCTCGGTCATCCTTTCAAAAAGAAGACAGTTGAGTGATAGTTGATCAATGAAAGGAGCTTTTAGTGACAGTCTTCAAGGAATAGACATCCAACCGTTTACTAGGCTAGAGAGCTCTAACTTTCTATGAAATTGATTATTTGTTTACAGTGAAGAAAACATTGCAATGGCCTTCTTGAGCTCATAAGTCTACAGAAAGAGTTCAGTAAAGAATACATTATTTTGTTCATACATTAGGCTATAAAATGTGTTCATCTTAGGATCCTAAAATCCTTTGTTAGTCCCCTAGGCAGGCTTGTCTTTTTCACATAAAGACTGTTGAATTAATGTGTCATCACAAATCTAATGTGTTGTTGCTGAATAAGGGCCGCTCCCAACTAGGAGGATACATGCTGAGGTGGCACACTGACAGAAATATCTAGTGGCACAATGAGGCACTTGGCACAAATATAAACCAGCCTCTCTTTCGCTTTGTGTGTCCGTCTCCGTCTCTTTCTCACACTCACACACACACACACACACACACACACACACACACACACACTGTAAATTAGTGTTAATAATGGCTGACACAAGCAGCTGACTGATACTGTAAACTCTATGGTACTTTAGGACCAGGGTCTCCATAGTAACTAGCCATCGGAAATCTTTTGACCCAGTCTCCATCGTGTGTGTAGGTGTACGTGCATGTGTACATATGAGTCTCCTATTATTGGTATAATTCTTCCGTATTTTCTGACTTTTGTTTATTAAACAGATAGTAATAGAGGGATACAATGGAAAGATAGGAAGAGTCCCAGCAAGCAGGGCAGTGGGACGGATTTAAACCCATGCAATTGTGCTGGTAGGGAACTGGCACTAAATGCTAGACCACCTAAGACACACAATTATCCTATTTAACAAGACTTTGACCTCCCTTGGTGCTGGCCTGCTTACAAGCTGCTAACATACTCCCATTGAACTGGGGTCAACCAACACATGTGCGCTCCAACCTTTACTTATGGGGAGTGTTTGTGATTATACAGAGTGCGTGTGTGTGTGTGCATGTGTGTGAGAGTGTGTGTGCATGTGTGTGAGAGTGTGTGTGCATAAATAGGGAGCCAGGACAAGTTTTAATGGTTGTTAACACATCGTTGGAATGAGGGGAGGAGTTGAGGTGGAGAGGTACTTGTTGAACCAGCCAGATAAGGTAATTATTTAAATGTTAAGTACATAAACTACACACAGCCTAATGTCAGGGGTCCTTCAGTCAAGGTGATGAGAGACGTGGGAGTGTGTGTGTACCGGTGTGTACAGTACCGTCTTATTTGAATGTGTTTGTGCGTGCCTGTATGTGTGCATGTGTGTTTTGTCAGTGTGTGTGTGTGCATGTGTGTTCCATTCATTTGTAAGAACGGTGTTGACTACCAGAATAACTGGCTTTCTGTTGATCCTTATTAACATGTAATGACTTCTGGATAAGCCTGTTCACACACACCAAATAAGCATGACCTATGATAACAGCCACATCAAGCCAGTAATGCACTGTTGGCTCTGCTACACAGAACATCAGTCTGTCTTTTGTATTTCCTTTCTACCAATATTAGCCTATAGTTGCTGTGGCAGTACAGGGCAGTTTCAGTGTAAAAAATGTAAGTCAAGAAAATCAGGACAACTTGTTTTTACACATTATGCACACTATATATACAAAAGTATGTGGACATCCCTTCAAATTAGTGGATTTGGCTATTTCAGCCACACCCGTTGCTGTCAGGTGTATAAAATTGAGCACACAGCCATGCAATCTCCATAGACACACATTGGCAGTAGAATGGCCTTCCTGAAGAGCTCAGTGACTTACATTGTGGCACCGTCATTGGATGCCACCTTTCCAACAAGTCAGTTCGTCAAATTTCTGCCCTGCTAGAGCTGCCCCGGTCAACTGTAAGTGCTGTTATTATAAAGTGGAAACGTCTAGAAGCAACAACGGCTTGGCCGCGAAGTGGTAGGCCACACAAGCTCACAGAACAGGATCGCCAAGTGTTGAAGCGCGTAGCGCGTAACAATCGTCTGTCCTCGGTTGCAACACTAACTACCGAGTTCCAAACGGCCTCTGGAAGCAACGTCAGCACAATAACTGTTAGTCGGTAGCTTAATGAAATGGGTTTCCATGGCCGAGCAGCCGAACACAAGCCTAAGTCGGCAGGAGTGGTGTAAAGCTTGACGCCATTGGACTATGGAGCAGTGGAAGCACGTTCTCTGGAGTGATGAATCACGCTTCACCATCTGGTAGTCCGACAGACGAATCTGGGTTTGGCGGATGGCAGGAAAACGCTACCTGCCCGGATGTATAGTGCCAACTGTAAAGTTTGGTGGAGGAGGATTAATGGTCTGGGGCTTTTTTTCTTGGTCCGTGCTAGGCCCCTTAGTTCCAGTTAAGGGAAATCTTAATGCTAGAGCATACAATTACATTCTAGACGATTCTGTGCTTCCAACTTTGTGGCTACAGTTTGGGGAAGAACCTTTCCTGTTTCAGCATGACAATGCCCCCGTGCACAAAGCGAAGTCCATACAGAAATGGTTTGTTGAGGTTGGTGTGGAAGAACTTGACTGGCCTGCACAGAGCCCTGACCTCAACCCCATCGAACACCTTTGGGATGAATTGGAACGCCGACTGCGGGCCTAATCACCCAACATCAGTGCCCGACCTCACTAATGCTCTAATGGCTGAATGGAAGCAAGTCCCCGCAGCATGTTCCATCATCTAGTGGAAAGCCTTCCCAGAAGAGTAGAGGCTATTATAGCAGCAAAGGGGGGACCATCTCCATATTAATGCCCATGATTTTGGAATGAGATGTTTGATGAGCATATACTTTGGTCATGTAGTGTATCTGGACAGATGTGTGTGTGGGTGGGTGGGTACATTGTGTCACTCCCCTCACCCACAGTAAATACCTCAGTCCTGGTATCTTTGAATAAGACCACTAAGTTGAATTGTTTCTGGTGTAGCATTAGCAGTATGAGTATGCTGGTTTGTGGGGCACATGATATAGTCCAGTCCTATAGTTTTGATATGTAATGTAGGCCTAATTATAGTCCTTTCCTTAAGTTCAAATTTCCTGTAACTGAAGTGAAACTCTGTGAAGTCTTACCTCTTTAGTATATGATGACCCTCTTTCTGGACTGAAGGCTATTCCTTTCCGAGGCAGCACATAGCCTACACTTAAACTGAACTTGCCCCAAAATAGACTGTCTCCCACCACTGCATTTTTTTCCGGAAGACCTCAGTTATCTATATCATGACCTCTGAGGAGTCAGCACATTCTGCCAGTCCCAGACGCATCCACCGAACAGGAAAACCCTGCGATTGCGGAGCCGCCTGACCTAAATCTGGACATGTTTATGGCACAGAATGAGACCCTCCTACTGTTGTTGGATTGTGCTTAGAATGCAAGCAAAAAAAATTTAGGGTAATTATACAGTATATTGTTTGGCATGTGTACACCACACCCATGCAAACATGTGCTCATTATTTCTCTCATCTCTTACATCGCTAGAGAGATAAGAGAGAGAGAGAGGAGAAGAATAGATAGAGAGAAGAGAAAGATAGCGAGAGACCAGAGAGAGAGAGCTCCCTATATCTCCTTAGAATACTCTCGCTCTCTATCTCTCCTATATCTCTCCTATATCTCTCTCTCTCTCGCTCGATATATCTAGTCGCTCCTCTCCTCTCTCTTCTCTCTCTCTCTCTCTTCTCTCTTTCCCCCTATATCTCTCTTTCCCCCATCCCTCCCCTCTCTGAACTAAAGTGACCATAAGTAGCTCTGCGTATGTAGCACAAATAGTATTTGTATTGCCCGCTATTAACCTCTCTACTTCTAGCTGAGCATATTTTGTTGTCTGACTGCCAACCTAACCAGTCATAAATAGGTTTATGTCCGTAAATAGCACTCATTTACATTTACATTTACGTCATTTAGCAGACGCTCTTATCCAGAGCGACTTACATTATGTATTTTTTCATACCCCTGTGGGAATCGAACCCACAACCCTGGCGTTTGCAAACACCATGCTCTATCAACTGAGCTAATCCTACGGCCATTCCCTCCCCTACCCTGGACGACGCTGGGCCAATTGCGCGCCCGCCCATGGGTCTCCCGGTCACGGAGCAATTGCGCTGGGCCAATTGCGCGCCGCCCCATGGGTCTCCCGGTCACGGCCGGCTACGACAGGCAGCTTGTTTTAGCAAGCTGTCTGTCACACTGTCGCCTCTTTAGTTACAGTATGCATATTATGCTTGGGGTAGTTTGAAATACCCATGGTATGATTTTCAATAACATATATTTTTTTAATTGACAAAAATTTCAATGGAGCCAGTCCATTGGTATGTTTGTTTAGGGCATTTCCATGTAAAAAGCCCCATGAGCACTAACATGTGAAGTTCATAGGAGCACATCACATTTGGTGTCAAATGAAAGCTAAGAGTCTATATTTTTGAGAAATGAAGGCATATATACACTACCAGTCAAAAGTTTGGACACACCTACTCATTCAAGGGTTTTTCTTTACTTTTGTACTATTTTGTACATTGTAGAATAATAGTGAAGTCATCAAAACTATGAAATAACACATATGGAATCATGTAGTAACCAAAAAAGTGTTAAACAAATCAAAATATATTTTATATTTGAGATTCTTCAAATAGCCACCCTTTGCCTTGATGACAGCTTTGCACACTCTTGGCATTCTCTCAACCAGCTTCATGAGGTAGTCACCTGGAATGCATCTCAATTAACAGGTGTGCCTTCTTAAAAGTTAATTTGTGGAATTTCTTTCCTCCTTAATGCGTTTGAGCCAATCAGTTGTGTTGTGACAAGGTTGTGGTGGTAAACAGAAGATTGTCCTATTTGGTAAAAGATCAAGTCCATATTATGGCAAGAACAGCTCAAATAAGCAAAGAGAAACGACAGTTCATCATTACTTTAAGACATGAAGGTCAGTCAATACGGAACATTTCAAGAACTTTGAAAGTTTCTTCAAGTACAGTCGCAAACACCATCAAGCACTATGATGAAACTGGCTCTCATGAGGACCGCCACAGGAATGGAAGACCCAGAGTTACCTCTGCTGCAGAGGATAAGTTCATTAGAGTTACCAGCCTCAGAAATTGCAGCCCAAATAAATGCTTCACAGAGTTCAAGTCACAGACACATATCAACATCAACTGTTCAGAAGGGACTGTGTGAATCAGGCCTTCATTGTCGAATTGCTGCAAAGAAACCACTACTAAAGGACACCAATAAGAAGAAGAGACCTGCTTGGGCCAAGAAACACGAGCAATAGACATTAGACCGGTGGAAATCTGTCCTTTGGTCTGATGAGTCCAAATGTGAGATTTTTGGTTCCAACCGGCGTGTCTTTGTGAGATGCAGTGTGGGTGACCGGATGATCGCCGCATGTGTAGTTCCCACCGTAAAGAATAGAGGAGGAGCTCCAAGGCACATTTAACCAGCATGGCTACCACAGCATTCTGCAGTGATACGCCATCCCATCTGGTTTGGGCTTAGTGGGACTATCATTTGTTTTTCATCAAGACAATGACCCAACACACCTCCAGGCGGTGTAAGGGCTATTTTACCAAGAAGGAGAGTGTTGGAGTGCTGCATCCGATGACCTGGCCTCCACAATCCCCCGACCTCAACCCAATTGAGATGGTTTATGATGAGTCGGACGGCAGAGTAAAGGAAAAGCAGCCAACAAGTGCTCAGCATATGTGGGAACTCCTTCAAGACTGTTGGAAAAGCATTCCAGGTGAAGCTGGTTGAGAGAATACCAAGAGTGTGCAAAGATGTCATCAAGGCAAAGGATGGCTATTTGAAGAATCTCAAATCTCAAATATATTTTGATTTGTTTAACACTTTCTTGGTTACTACATGATTCCATACGCGTTATTTCATAGTTTTGATGTCTTCACTATTATTCTACAATGTATAAAAGAGTAAAAATAAAGAAAAACCCTTGAATGAGTAGGTGTGTCCAAATCATTTTCCATCCCAAAGAAATTTGAATAAGCAAAGGTTTTGATTTCTGGTCAAACAGATGGAAAAGAGGTCTTAGAAAAACATCTACCAGAAAAATTCTTAAACAGTATTAGAAATGCATCAAAACACAATCATGATGAAGTAAATATCCCTGACAGAATTTACTTGCCTTCTGTAAGTTAAAAAAATATTGCCTTGTGTCTTGTTATTCTGTTACCAAAAACCCACATATCTTTAAGATATTTTCTAATTTCTCTCCCTCATGAGAAGGGAGGATAATGAAAGTTCACAGAAGTAACAAGTAAAGGCAGACCTACCAATTAGTTAGTTTATGATTTATTAAGTGATTAAAACGTATCATTCTGTTACCAAATTGACTGCAACTGAATTGGCTACATTGGGAATTCATAGGGTCATCTGCTACTGTCCTCCCTTCCACTGGCATACTGTTATGTTCAGCTCATAACTGTTTTCTTTCTCTTTCTGTCACGAGGAGGTGAGGAGGTCAAAGCAAGAGTGTGAAAACAGTCTCGACAACCCCACCCTCTCTCTCTCCCTGTCTCTCTTCTCTCCATTTAATGTCACCTCTTCTGGCTCTTCAGGGCCCTACAGTGTGACCATTTTTACTCGCATATGCACCTAATTCTAGCTTTAATACCTCAAATATTTTTAATTGTGCTCCTAAATTTCTTTTGCGCCTACATTTTTCAACTTAGGCACAGACTTGCTCCTTGCAAAAAAGGTCAGCGTAGAGCCCTGTGCTTACTGACACCTACCCACGAGCCCCCTCTCTTTCCATTTATTGTAACCAGCCCTCTCACCCACTGAGCACCGACCGACACCGGACATCCATGGATGTTGAAAATAGTGATGGGGGGAAAAAATCAATACAGTTACATATCGGGATATTATTTTAGATGACGTATCGTTTTGACAATATTGCAGTATTATTTTTGCACTAGTTGGCTGTAGCTGCACCAAAACTCCAGTATAGCTTGTTCTCTATCTTTTTTTAAATAAGGAGCCAATTTGTTTTCAGCACTTTTATTTGCATGACTGAACAAAACTTGTTGTTATGGCTCTCTCTTGTCCCTCTGCAGCAGACATATGGTGAACAATATGTTTGGAACATTGAATCGCAATAAAATTACAGTATCGAATCGCAATACATACAGAATCGTGAGAATCTTGAGAATCACAATACATATCGTATCGGCACATAAGTATCGTGATAATATCGTATCTAGAGGTCCCTGGCAATTCCCAGCCCAAGTTGAAAAGTAGTTGAAATTTGACGTCTGTTTCATAAGTTTGGACAGTACAGTGCAGTAGAGCACAGGACATGTCATACAATCTGTTTTTCATAAAAACATACAGCTGTGCTGGAGGCAGGTCGTACAAATGAGTACTGCCCACCTGTCCTGCTGCTTCCACACTGGCAGCTATACACACACACACACACACACTGTTGGAATCTGCAGCTGCATAAGGTGTGAGTGGATGTGGATACATTTACATCAGGTGGGACAACTTTCTTGCCAGGATGCTCCACCTATCATGTTAAATTACCATTTCTGTGTATGCATTGTAAAGACAAGAAAGATAGATTAGTAACATGAAGCAAGTGTTCGTTAATCTTCACCCCTGGCTATTTCCAATGAACTTCCACTTGAATGTTTAAGCTGTCTTATCTCTTATCCAGTGTTGGGGAATAGTACTTTTAAAGGTAACTTGTTAATGTTACTTCCATTAAAAGTTACTTGTTACGTTACAACGTTACTTACTGTGGAAAGTAACTTGTTACATTACTTTTGCGTTACCAAAAACAAAAACCCCTTTGAAGATGCCTTGCGCATGTTGGTAATTCTTATGCTATTTCCTTAACACTAGAAAAGCCGGGTCTCGATACCCCCGTACGCTACCTAAGCCAATGACATGTCTTCTTGAATTCAACATTCTATGCCTATCGTAAAGAAGTATCATTTGGTTGTGTTTATGAAGGTCTTAAGTAACATTAGAATATGAAAGAAAATGTATTTCAAAGAACACAATAGCATTTTCATTAGTTTATGTAACTGTAGGCTATATGCAGGCTACAAACGAAAAACCACTAAAACACCACAATTCAAGTGTTAAAATCCATTAAATAAACAACATCACAGAGATAATTCATTATACATCTGTTAAAGGCAGGTCTTAAGAAAACATTATGAAACTAAGTGTTGCGAGTACACGTATGGAATCGCGTGCACTTATAGAATTGCAAAATAGTTATATTTTGAAATAGCGCTCAAGTGGTCGTTTTAAAGAGTTCTTTGGCAAGGATAGGTGATTTGGAAAATGCAGAATCTGCTCTTTCTCTATATACATCAAAACGCCTTACCTGCTTGTGACACTGTAGGATAATTGTTGGCCTCCATTTCCCTGCCTCTGGGTCAATTCCAAGCTGCGCTGTTCATCAGATTCTTCATATACAGTTTAAAAGAGAAGTTGTTTACAACCAAATCCTTAGTTGTATGTAAATGGGAGGTTATAGAAGGGTCCAGACACTTTTTTTGCAATTTCACATGTTTTTGAGAAACTTAACACAAACAGCGATTAATTTCCTCATCCTCCTGAAAAAACATGAACAAATGCTCAAAAAACACCCAAATATGTTATTTTAGAAACTGAAACGCTCTCAGGATAGTGATGCGGGTCTTTAGATGTTGTACACATGAAATTGTATCATTCCAAACTTTATCCGCAATGTTATATTCCATTCGTTATAAATCCAGCTGTTCCATTCTCTGTGTAGCCTGCTGCTACAGGTAACTGCCTAAAATAAAGGAAACACCAACATAAAATGTCTTAATAGGGCGTTGGGCCACCACGAGCTGCCAGAACAGCTTCAGTGCGCCTTGACATAGATTTTACAAGTGTCTGGAACTTCCTGTGTGGAAGGCAAGCACCTGCTTTCAATATACTTCGTATCCCTTGGCCTCCCGAGTGGCGTAGCCGTCTAAGGCACTGCATCACAGTGCTTGAGGCGTCACTACAGACCCAGGTTCGATCCCAGGCTGTTACAGCTGGCCATGTCCGGGAGACCCATGAAGCGGCGCACAATTGGCCCAGCGTCGTCCGGGTTAGGGGAGGGTTTGGCCGGCCCGGAATTTCTTTGTCCCATCGCACTCTAGCGACACCTTGTGGCGGGCCGGGCGCTGCAAGCTGACTTCGGTCGCCAGCTGGACGGGGTTTCCTCCAACACACTGGTGTGGCTGGCTTCTGGGTTAAGACAAGTGAAAACGCAAAAAAAAGTGTCTGGACCCTTCTATAACATGCCATTTACATCAAACATTGAGATTTGGTTGTAAAAAAGCAAAATTCTCCTTTAACAATTGATAAAATTGTCACCCATCAGACTACTGTCAATTTAATATTGTATATGATATGTGTGAAATTAGTTTCGATATAGTTTAGGTGTAGTTTTGATGGGCCCTCATCAGCTGGGGGGGGGGGGATTTTCATTTGTTATTTGTGCCAATAAGAAAAAGGGAAATAATATTGTAAAAGTAACAACATGCTTATTTGAAAAAGTAATTCATGAACTGATTACTTAAATTGAAAAACTAACGTGTTCACTTTTTTTGTGGTAACAAGTAACTTATCTGAGTACTCTAACGTGTTACATTGTCACACGTTACCCCCTTGCCTTGAAAACAGCTTCACATGGTGGCAGATTTTTTGGGGCCAGCTTTTGTGTCACGCCCTCATTTGTTGGCCCACTGTTGACACATAGATGGGAGTCCTTTCTCAACACAGCAAGGTTGAACGCCGGTGGATCCCAAGCTTGACGTGCTTGAGGGCCTGGGGGTGGAGGCAGGGGAGTTTTTCAAAGGAAAAGCAGTGCTATTCCCTCAAAATATTGGGCTTTGTTCTTTCCTCTTATGTCATTTTAATCAGATTGTGATGGCCATTGGGACAGTACAGTGCCTTCATTTACATTTACATTTAAGTCATTTAGCAGACGCTCTTATCTAGAGCGACTTACAAATTGGTGCATTCAACTTAGGATAGCCAGTGGGACAACCACCACTGGGGGAAGGGGGGTGTAGAAGGATTACTGTTAGACTATTCCAGGTATTCCTTAAAGAGGTAGGGTTTCAAGTGTCTCCGGAAGGTGGTCAGTGACTCCGCTGTCCTGGCGTCATGGGGGAGCTTGTTCCACCTTCAGAAAGTATTCGTACCCCTTCACTTATTCCACATTTTGTTGTGTTAAATTCAAAATGGAATTAATAGATATTTTTTCTCACCCACATACACACAGTACCCCAAAATGACAAAGTGAAAACGTGTCTTTAGATATATATACAGTACCAGTCAAAAGTTTGACTATTCATTAAAGGGTTTTTCTTTATTTTTACTATTTTCTACATTGTAGAATAATAGTGTAGAAATCAAAACTATGAAATAACACATGGAATCATGTAGTAACCAAAAAGTGCTAAACACATTTTCAAAGTAGCCACCCTTTGCCTTGATGACAACTTTGCACACACTTGGCATTCTCTCAACCAGCTTCATGAGGTAGTCACCTGGAATGCATTTCAATTAACAGGTGTGCCTTGTTAAAAGTGAACCATCCCACCTGGTTTGTGGCATCCCATCTGGTTTACGCTTAGTGGGACTATCATTTGTTTTTCAACAGGACAATGACCCAAAACACACCTCCAGGCTGTGTAAGGGCTATTTGACCAAGAAGAAGAGTGATGGAGTGCTGCATCAGATGACCTGGCCTCCACAATCACCTGACCTCAACCCAATTGAGATGGTTTGGGATGAGTTGGACCACAGAGTGAAGGAAAAGCAGCCAACAAGTGCTCAGCGTATGTAGGAACTCCTTCAAGACTGTTGGAAAAGCATTCCTCATTAACCTGGTTGAGAGAATGCCAAGAGTGTGCAAAGCTGTCATCAAGGCAAAGGGTGGCTACTTTGAAGAACCTCAAATCTAAAATATATTTTGATTTGTTTAACACTTCTTTGGTTACTACATGATTCCATATGTGTCACACCCCTGAGTTAATACTTTGTAGGATCACCTTTGGCAGCGATTAGAGCTGTGAGTCTTTCTGGGTAAGTATCTAAGAGCTTTCCACCCCTGGATTGTGCAATATTTGCATATTATTGTTGAAATAATTCTTCAAGCTCTGTTAAATTGGTTGTTGATCATTGCTAGTCAACCAGTTTCAGATCTTGCCATATATTTTCAAGTAGATTTAAGACAAAACTGTAACATGGCCACTCAGGAACATTCATTGTCTTCTTGGTAAGCAACTCCAGTGTAGATTTGGCCTTGTGTTTTAGGTTATTGTTCTGCTGAAAGGTGAATTCATCTCCCAGTGTCTGGTGAAAAGGAGACTGAACCAGGGTTTCCTCTAAGATTTTGCCTGTGCTTAGCTACATTCCATTTATTTTTCAACCTGAAAAACTCCTCAGTCCTTGACGATTACAAGCATACCCATAACATGATGCAGCCACCACTATGCACTAATGTGTTTTTATTGGATTTGCCCCAAACATAACACTTTGTATTCAGGACAAAAAGTGAATGGCTTCCTTCTTTTCACTCTGTCAATTAGGTTAGTATTGTGGAGTAACTACAATGTTGATCCATCCTCAGTTTTCTCCTATCACAGCCATTAAACTCTGATTATTTTAAAATCACCGTTGGCCTCATGGTGAAATCCCTGAGCGGTTTTAGTGGCGACCCATACTTCTATGGCAACAAGGTAAACATCATCCTCTTAGTGTGACTCCGAAGTGATAATTCTGGAGAAAGATAATAGGTTCGAGCCATTTTAATATTGGGATAGTGAAGCGTGCTATGAATATGGGACCAAATACTTAACTTTTTACTACTTTATTGCACATATAAATGAATTTGTCCCAATACTTTCGATCCACTAAAATGGGGAGACTATGTACAAAACGTGCTGTATTTCTAAACGTTTCTCCTAATATGGTGAAAATACCCTCAAATTAAAACTGACTGTCTGCATTTTAACCTCATTTTTTTATTTCAAATCCAAACTTTTGGAGTATAGAGCCAAAAGAAGAAAAAATACTTCACTGTCCCAATAATTACGGAGGGCACTGTATGTACAGTATCTCGCTATTTCTGAGTAATTTTCTTCAACCTCTGTCTCGCTCTCTCTCTCGTGTGTTGGGGATTATATATTGAGCATTGCTGTTACGTTTGGAATGTGTTGCCAAAACGGCAAGGTTGATGTCAACATACTACAGGATTAAGAGGGATTCATAGAACTAGACTTGCTATGGAGGGATTATACTGTGTTTGTTGGGGAACATGGGGTGCCATGGATTGCACTGTAAGGCCTATCGTTTCCCCAAGACTGAAACAGAAGCTTGGGCTGCCCTACTGTTCTGTCCCCTTGTTGTTGCTTCCAAGTGTCACTCATAATTAACACGTACTTAGTCAAGTGTACTCATAATCAAGTATACGCTCAGCTCTGTAATAGCTATTAGAGCCATGCTAAAGATGCCTGTAAAGGATGATGCTGAGGATGTCTGTCTCCTGTCTCCCTCTGGTTGGCGTAATTTAACCTGTGTCCCAAATGGCACCCTATTCCCTATATAGTGCAGTACTTTTGACCAGGGCCCATAGTCCCAAAAATGGGAAATGGTGCCATTTGGGACACATCACTTAGACTGGCTCATTGGCATCATGATGTCCTGCATAGATATTATTCCTTTAACTCCCACTGCCATTACCAGTATCCATGGCAACCTCTTCCCTTCTTTAAAGTCAACCACTGCAACACAAAGAACAGTACAGTAGGCCTACACTGCAGACTGTTAGACAGCAGACACTGTCCTCCACAAACACAAATGAAGTATTTTAAACTAAACGTTTAAACTGTGAAGGTGTAAATTGAGCACTGTTATTGGTGAACACTATAGTTAGGGTTGACCAGAGCTCAGTTTCAGGAACCCCAGTTTCCCTTCATAGTGGATAAAACTACATGGCTGCAAGTCTTTGTCTAGGATCAAAGCTTGAACCAAAGCTTGGCTCTTGTGATACTACACATACTTGGACTGTCTCATACATGTATGTGGGCATGCAAGCATGTGTTTGTGTGTGTGAGACGTACAGTAGAGTTCCTCTGAGCCCCTTCAGACAGTATTCCTCGTCTGTGCTCTCACTCTGGGTAGAGGTGTTTCTGAAGGTGTCTGTCCCAGCGACTGTAATCTGAGTATGGGTGTTAGAAGAGAAAGCTGACTGCTCAGGGAGCTAACCAGATCTATCACATGCTACGTGATGAACACACTAGCCCAGGCCCACCGTGCGTCTTGATTGGCCTCCTTGCACACTCATCTATTGCACTTCGCTCTTCCCTAAAGAACAATAAAAATGTGAAACTGGACTGCCCTGTTGCAGCACCGGTGCTGAGTGTTGTATTTGGTTTCTTCTGCCTTATTTTCCCCTTCTGCAGAAAATGTGCATAAAGAAGTCTTTCGCCCCCACCTCTCCTCCCTCTATCTTCTCCCTCCATACGCACGGCCCTTAATGATTTATGGAGAGTGCAGTGGTGCTGGAGAAGCGGCAGGGAGTGGAGGTGGTGATGGTGCAGGGATAGACAGCAGGTTGGGGCGTGTTCAGTTCCTCAACCAGACTTGTAAACGTGTTGTGTTTGGGTTGAGAAAATGACCTCACCTTGGCTACAGAGCTAAATGTTAAAATGCTCAGAAACCAGCTATTTAAGTGATGATTGCTCTGAGGGGGTCCGAGGGAAATTTCTCCTTTGTTTTTTAAAGACAGAATCTCACTAAAAAGCTAGCCTGAATATAGTCTTTAACCTGACAGACACAAAGACCTCTACGACTGGCAATCGAGCCTAGCGTGAATAGCCTATAGCTTGCCCAAAATGTATCTTGCATGTGTCTTAACAGAACAGACAGTTTGACGTTTCTTTATATGCATTAAAAGTATATTGTCCCATGGTTGTTGTTGAGCATGTAGTTGCCTGTTTGGTTGTTTTCCATAGGATGGAGCATTCGGTGCCTGATGGGAAGTTAAACTAGCTTCTCTGGCAGATTTTCCGAGCACTCTGACCCTGACCCTCAGGTCACCTTGGCCCCCCCTCCTCCACTCCACTCCACTCCCAATGTCTGATGGTCCCAAATAGACCAGTCTTCCACCTGGCCTCTAACTCACAGGCCCCCGATTTATCTTTACCTAGTAGAGAGGGGCTCATTCACTTCACTTAATTTTTTACATATACTTTTTATACATGTTCGGTATTCAAGTATATTAGTATTTAATTCTATGTTGAAATCAAAATAATTTAATCTAGTGGAATCAGAACCATTCATTTTTGACCTACTGTTTGATGGGGTGGCAGGTAGCTTAGTGGTTAAGAGTGTTGTGCCAGTAACCGAAAGGTCGCTGGTTCTAATCCCAGAGCCCAGAGCCGACTAGGTGAAAAATCTGTCGATGTGCCCTTGAGCAAGGCACTTAACCCTAATTGCTCATGTAAGTCGCTCTGGATAAGAGTGTCTGCTAAATGACTAAAATGTAAATGATGTTCTGCTGACCTTTTTCACCACATAGCCTACCTCATGTGGGCATATAAAAGAGGAGTGTTTGACATTGGTCTCACCTATCCGCTACAGTACACCCCACTCCCGCCTTGTACGATATCGTAATCCTGTGTTCCAGTTATCTAGCGGACATCCCAATGACCTCCAGCCAGGCCGTTTATCTCCCCCCATCCCTTCATCTCTCCCTCTGTCCGGCAGGCTGTGTAATCCCGTAGAAGGTTTGGTCGTTGATGGCAGCGGTGGGATCCGGTGACAGTCAGACACAATGAGTGCACTGTGTTCCGACCACAACATTGTTCTCTGTGCCTGCAGGGGACAATGCAGTCCTTATAGACAAACACAGGGCAGGCAGGCAGGCCCACTGTCAGGTGCCTTTAGCCATTAGTCTGACAGTGACTGGAGGAGTTGTATACAGTAAGAATAAACATCTCCTGTTTGTGGACTATGGCATAAAGATACAGTATTAGAAAGTGTTACAATATGCAGTATTGTAAAAGCTGTTTTAGGCCTTTTTGGGAATCCAATACTTTCAGTTTTTCCCCTATATTCATTTAGCAGCAGTGTGCTAAATATTTGCCATAAACTTAAAGAATGTAGAAAAGATATTGGAGCCATGTATTTATAAGATCATCTTTGAGAACTAACAACCACCAAAATAAAAACTGGACAGTCAGGGAGAATTTAAAATAAAAAAAATGTCATGGCAAAATGGATTTTTGTTATAACGTTTGAGTCACTCAGATAACATAAGAGCACGGCATAAGCCATGGCAAAATGGTCGAATTGCAGGAAATTAGCTTTCCAAATTCTGTCAGCCCTATGGCAAAATGTATCGAATTTTCAGTTGTCCAGCCAACAGGAGGGCATTACTGACATTCAGCATTGGAGCTTAGTGCGTCTCTAGCTCACATTCGTACTCCCCACACACACACTCCCAATCTCACACACACGGACATACACACATAAATACATATGAAGCCAGCTGGATGGTTTTATGGGGCAGAGTATTGGGTCAGAGATTCAGGGTAGCGTGAGGACAAGACCTATTAGCTAATGCATAGGCCTACCGACTACTGTATGTATACCTGCTGCTGCTAGACTGGCCTTTTTATAGGCTTGTAAGGGGAGTTAATACCTTTGTTAACTCCTTGTTTGAAGTGTACATTTAATAGTACAACAACTTAAATTAACAGTGGTGAATGTTACTGTACATATTGAACACTTAACACACACAAAAAATGTGAACACTAAAAACAGCATTATGTTTACATAGGTTAAGCCAATTGCAGTATGTTTAGCTTTTGTTGACAGTGACATTTATCTCTGTCTCGCTCTCGCTCTCATCTCTATCTCCACCAGGATTCGTCCTCAGCTGGCCCGGGAGAAGATCGAGGGATGTCACATCTGTACGTTTGTGACCCCGGGGGAGCCCCAGGTGATGCTGGGTAAAGACAAGGCGTTTACGTACGACTACGTGTTCGACATGGACTCCTGTCAGGACAGCATCTATGCTAACTGCACTGAGAAACTGATCGAGGGCTGCTTCGAAGGATACAACGCCACCATCTTTGCCTACGGCCAGGCAAGTCTCTTCATGATGGCCCTCAAAGACACCTCAACTGATCTTGGTTGATTGTTCTGACTGCATGGCCGTTTGGGCCTTTGGGGGGATATTTGAGTGTAAAGTGTTGATATTTGCATAGGCCAGGGGTTTTTGTTGGTCAGGTCATGTGGCCAGGAAAAACTCTGGGCTATAGCAGTAGGCTATAGCAGTTGTCCCATATTCCACTAGTTTGCACTGTGCCTGACATTGTAAGGCAGTTATTGGGTATTTGTGTAGTGCAAAAGCTTATGTTGAATCACTAGTCAAAGACTGAATTGGTATCATAATCCTGCCTTACACACGTGTGTGCGAGGTCCTGAAAACTCAATGACCCCTCCAATACTTATTAGCTCTTGGAGTGCTTGTATAGTTTTTATAAAAGCTTTCTGAGAGTATTGGGGGTGCTTCTGTCATTGCAAGCCCTCATAAAGCACTCCTAATCTACATATAGTAAGACCACCAAAGCACCCCCTCTGTCCCGCTCCCTCTCGTTTCCTACCAATTAAACAAATCATACTCTTCTCTAGCTGCCTCTTTCTTTAAGAGGTTTTTCTCTTTCTTTTTCCTGTCAGTCTGACTCTGTAGCAATGGAAATTACATTGAAGTTTGGCTTCTCTCCCCTTCACCCCGGTTGCCTTGGCGACTGAGCCTTTTTCTCTCATAGTAGGGGCTTTCTAGGACTCAGTCTGTTTGATGGGAGGGGGATTTAAATGGTGGGGGGTCTTAAGTGATGCGGTTAAGTAGGCATACACACATCTAAGATATCCATACATTTTTAATGTGAACTCCTCTTCCCCCCTTCCATTCCCCACCACCACTGCTGCAGTGATGGTGACCTATTTATTGTCTGTCATCCATACTGTATGGACAGTAGCTACAGTGGTTGGCCCAGGCTTTAGGTAGCCTGGTTCGGCCAAGCCCAGCTCTGCTCAGTTTGTCCCTGTCAGGCTGTAGAGGACATTTGGTAGAATATGTGTCTGTCTAGTATGTGCTGGGATGGGATGGGATGGACTAATCCAGTTTTAACACTTTCCCCACAGTCTGACCCCGTAAGCAGAATCAGAGGGTTCTTAACACTTGGATACAAACACAGCAGATTTAAATGAAACTTTAATTTATTTCACAGAATTAATTAATTAAACTCTTGTTATCTCTCTCTCTCTCCTCCTTGCTCATTCCCACCCTCTCCTTTCCTAATCCTTATCTTTTTTCCCCCTCCTCATCCTCTCCCCACTCTTTCCTATCTCCCTCTCACGCTTCTATTCATCTTTCCTCTCCATCGCTGTCTTATCATCCTCTCTCTCACCTCCTCCTCCTCCTCCTCCTATAGACGGGGTCAGGTAAGACCTACACCATGGGTACAGGGTTTGATGTGAACATCGGGGAGGAGGAGCTGGGCATCATTCCCCGGGCGGTCAGCCACCTCTTCAGGGGCATCGAGGAGCGCCAGAAGGCCGCTAAAGAGCAGGGACGCCCCGTGCCCGAGTTCAAGATCAACGCACAGTTCTTGGAGGTATGGACTACGGCGTTACAAAGGAGGCACAGAGACACGGACAAGGAATATATGTGACATTCTACTTGGAAATATGTTATACAGTGAGATTGGGAAAGGGACAGGGACATACCCCCACTCTCCAACACAGGATTATGTGAAATAATACATGACTAGACATTACAGCCCCATGCCAGGCCTATGTGTTGACACTTGACAATTTAACTAGCTCCCATCTCTAGTCTCCTACATAAAGATTACTCAGACTGTTGACTGTGGACAGCTGTCAGAGGGCGGGAGCAGGGCTGTTAGGGTCACGTTTCGGAGTGGCAAGGGTTAACACAGAATGACTGAACAGTTGTGTTTGCTTGTCATACTGACAGACAGAGGCCACATGTGGACAGAATGAGTCTACTCATTTTAAGTAATGAGTAATATACTGTATCTGTCATAGAAAAGGAGTTAGTAGAAAGGATATGACTACCCAATAATGTAAGCAATGAAAAAACACATCCAATATGGTTGCCAGTCCAGCCGCCTCAGAACAGTGAATGGGAATGTCCATTCTACTAAAACATACTAAAACAGATGTAATTTACGCACAAACAAAGGGCTTTAAAGTAGAAGTTAGCTTTTTTACAAACAAATCTCTATTTTGTATCTAAATGGCATGTTATAGAAGGGTCCATACCCTTTTTTGCGATTTCACTTGTTTTTGAGAAACTTACCCCAACCAGCGATTCACTTCCTTATCCTCGTTGTGCAGTACGGGGGCTCTGAAAAAACACCCAAATACGTCCTTTTAGAAACTAAAAAGCTCTCAGTATAGTGATGCAGGTGATGAGAAATTGTGTCATTCTGAAATGTAGCCACAACGTTATATTCCATTTGGTGCGACTCAAGCTGTTTCCCTAACCAGCTGTTCAATTGTCCATGTAGTCTGCTGTTAGACGGAGAGGGATCGCTCGAGTCACAACAAAATGGAATGTAACGTTGTGGATAAAATTTGGATTGACACAATTTTGTGTACAACATCTAAAGACCTGCATCACTATACTGAGAGCTCCATTTCTAAAAGGACGTATTTGGGTGTTTTTGGAGCATTTGTTCATGTTTTTTCAAAACCAAGTGAATTCACAAAAAAAGTATCTGGACCCTTCTATAACAAAAATAGAGATTTGGTTGTAAAAAAAGCTAAATTGTCCTTTAAGACTTTGACCCTTTAAAACTTTAATCTTGGCGGCCATTTAAAATGTCTACATATTTTGGCATTACAGTATTAGGAATTAGCGTCTTTAAAACGTATACTCTACATTAATCCATGGGAAAACAGATGGGAGAGGTTTTGTTTGCGTCTTAGGTTTACCCCCCTTGGCCTCTTGTAACAACCAGAGATGTGAATGACTAAATGAATGGGTAACACTTCATTTGGGTAGTCTATCCATAACATGTCAACAGCATGTCTGTCGACTAGCAACAGGACGTCCAACAAATCAACCATAATAAATACAGTGCATTCAGAAAATATTCAGACCCCTTGACTTTTTCCACATTTTATTACGTTACGGCGTTATTCTCAAATTGATTAAATTGTTTTTTCCCCTCATCAATCTACACACAATACCCCAATATGACAAAGCAAAAACAGGTTTTTAGACATTTTTGCACATATATAATAAATTAAAAATTTGAATTACATTTACATTAGTATTCAGACCCTTTACTCAGTACTTTGGCACCGATTACAGCCTCGAGTCTTCTTGGGTATGATGGAACAAGCTTGGCACACCTACAGTGGGGAGAACAAGTATTTGATACACTGCCGATTTTGCAGGTTTTCCTACTTACAAAGCATGTAGATGTCTGTAATTTTTATCATAGGTACACTTCAACTGTGAGAGACGGAATCTAAAACAAAAATCCAGAAAATCACATTGTATGATTTTTAAGTAATTAATTTGCATTTTATTGCATGACATAAGTATTTGATACATCAGAAAAGCAGAACTTAATATTTGGTACAGAAACCTTTGTTTGCAATTACAGAGATCATACGTTTCCTGTAGGTCTTGACCAGGTTTGCACACACTGCAGCAGGGATTTTGGCCCACTCCTCCATACAGACCTTCTCCAGATCCTTCAGGTTTCGGGGCTGTCGCTGGGCAATACGTACTTTCAGCTCCCTCCAAAGATTTTCTATTGGGTTCAGGTCTGGAGACTGGCTAGGCCACTCCAGGACCTTGAGATGCTTCTTACGGAGCCACTCCTTAGTTGCCCTGGCTGTGTGTTTCGGGTCGTTGTCATGCTGGAAGACCCAGCCACGACCCATCTTCAATGCTCTTACTGAGGGAAGGAGGTTGTTGGCCAAGATCTCGCGATACATGGCCCCATCCATCCTCCCCTCAGTACGGTGCAGTCGTCCTGTCCCCTTTGCAGAAAAGCATCCCCAAAGAATGATGTTTCCACCTCCATGCTTCACGGTTGGGATGGTGTTCTTGGGGTTGTACTCATCCTTCTTCTTCCTCCAAACACGGCGAGTGGAGTTTAGACCAAAAAGCTCTATTTTTGTCTCATCAGACCACATGACCTTCTCCCATTCCTCCTCTGGATCATCCAGATGGTCATTGGCAAACTTTAGACGGGCCTGGACATGCGCTGGGTTGAGCAGGGGGACTTTGCGTGCGCTGCAGGATTTTAATCCATGACGGCGTAGTGTGTTACTAATGGTTTTCTTTGAGACTGTGGTCCCAGCTCTCGTCAGGTCATTGACCAGGTCCTGCCATATAGTTCTGGGCTGATCCCTCACATTCCTCATGATCATTGATGCCCCACGAGGTGAGATCTTGCATGGAGCCCCAGACCGAGGGTGATTGACCGTCATTTTGAACTTCTTCCATTTTCTAATAATTGCGCCAACAGTTGTTGCCTTCTCACCAAGCTGCTTGCCTATTGTCCTGTAGCCCATCCCAGCCTTGTGCAGGTCTACAATTTTATCCCTGATGTCCTTACACAGCTCTCTGGTCTTGGCCATTGTGGAGAGGTTGGAGTCTGTTTGATTGAGTGTGTGGACAGGTGTCTTTTATACAGGTAACGAGTTCAAACAGGTGCAGTTAATACAGGTAATGAGTGGAGAACAGGAGGGCTTCTTAAAGAAAAACTAACAGGTCTGTGAGAGCTGGAATTCTTACTGGTTGGTAGGTGATCAAATACTTATGTCATGCAATAAAATGCAAATGAATTACTTAAAAATCATACAATGTGATTTTCTGGATTTTTGTTTTAGATTCCGTCTCTCACAGTTGAAGTGTACCTATCATAAAAATTACAGACCTCTACATGCTTTGTAAGTAGGAAAACCTGCAAAATCGGCAGTGTATCAAATACTTGTTCTCCCCACTGTATATTTGGGGAGTTTGTCCCATTCTTCTCTGCAGATCTTCTCAAGCTCTGTCAGGTTGGATGGGGAGCGTCGCTGCACAGCTATTTTCAGGTCTCTCCAGAGATGTTCGATCGGGTTCAAGTCCGGGCTCTCGCTGGGCCACTCAAGGACATGCAGAGACTTGTCCTGAAGCCATTATTGCGTTGTCTTGGCTGTGTGCTTAGGGTCATTGTCCTGTTGGAAGGTGAACCTTTGCCCCAGACTGAGGTCCTGAGCACTCTGGAGCAGGTTATCGTCAATGATCTCTCTGTACTTTGTTCCATTCATCTTTCCCTCAATCCTGACTAGTCTCCCAGTCCCTGCCACTGAAAAACATCCCCACAGCATGATGCTGCCACCATCATGCTTCATCGTAGGGATGGTGCCAGGTTTCCTCCAGACGTGACGCTTGGCAGTCAGGCCAAAAAGTTCGATCTTGGTTTCATCAGACCAGAGAATCTTGTTTCTCATGGTCTGAGAGTCCTTTAGGTGCCTTTTGGCAAACTACAAGTGTGCTGTCATGTGCCTTTTACTGAGGAGTGGCTTCCGTCTGGCCACTCTAACATAAAGGCCTGATTGGTGGAGTTCTGCAGAGATGGTTGTCCTTCTGGAAGTTTCTCCCGTCTCCACAGAGGAACTCTGGAGCTCTGTCAAAGTGACCATCGGGTTCTTGGTCACCTCCCTGACCAAGGCCCTTCTCCCCCAACTGCTCAGTTTGGCCGGGCGGCCAGCTCTAGGAAGAGTCTTGGTGGTTCCAAACCTTTTCCATTTAAGAATGATGGAGGCCACTGTGTTCTCGGGGACCTTCAATGCTGCAGAAATGTTTTGGAACCCTTCCCCAGATCTGTGCCTCGACACAATTCTGTCTCGGAGCTCTACGGACAATTCCTTCGACCTCATGGCTTGGTTTTTGCTCTGACATGCACTGTCAACTGTGGGACCTTATATAGACATGCGTGTGCCTTTCCAAATCATGTCCAATCAATTGAATTTACCACAGGTGGACTCTAATCAAGTTGTAGAAACATCTCAAGGATGATCAATGGAAACAAGATGCACCTGAGCTCAATTTCGAGTCACATAGCAAAGGGTCTGAATACTTATGTAAATAAGGTATTTATGTAGATTGATGAGGAAAATATTTATTGAATCCATTTTAGAATAAGGCTGTAACGTAACAAAATGTGGAAAAAGTCAAGGGGTCTGAATACTTTCCGAATCAACTGTAAGTTATTTACCTTTTATTCACCCACTTTTCATCAAACTAGGCCCTTGGCAGAGCCTTGTATTTAGATGTACTGCTCTAGACCTTGGGCACCAACACAAAACCAAGTTACGGTTGTAGAAAAGCCATTCATAGAGGTCACACCAGAGAGAACGGGAGTGGTGGCAAAGCCTGTTACATTCTATAAAAAAAAATCTCTGGTGTAGGTGTGTGTTAGATAATGTATCTTGATATGGAGTCTGTCTCACAGTGCTACTGTTGTCTCCTGTGTCTTTTAGACTCTGAGAGTCCTCTGCTGTTTAACGTTGTTCAGACTCTGAGTCAGACAGTCGTGTTGCTCACTCTCTTTCAGTCTGACATAATCAGATATGGTCTTGCATAAGTGTGATATCAGAACTGGAATAGGATACAAACTATCAGAACCTATGATATTTTCATGGAATTTCACAGTGCTCAATTCACCACGGTAAGAAATAAGTATAATATTGTGTGTTTATGTGTATGTCCTGGTTTAGCTTTACAATGAGGAGGTGCTGGATCTGTTTGACTCTACGAGGGACCTGGAGGCTCGGACGCAGAAATCCCACATTAAGATCCACGAGGACGCTAATGGAGGAATCTACACAGTGGGGGTGACCACACGGACTGTAGCCTCTGAGGCAGAGGTATGTACGTTAGTGGTTCGCGGGTCAGCTGTTTTTTCACCTGCACCCGCCCTTAGCTGCTAATAACCCATCCGCAACCGCCTGACCAAATGTGATAAAGTGAAAATCTGAGGCCCTAACCCGCAAATATAGAAAATGCGCTATAGGCTACAGTCAAAGACTGCAGAACGATTTTTTGACATGGGGTGCAGGATTTTGTTTTCCCTGATTAGGATATGTTTCTGCTTATAATTTCTGACATTTTGGTAGGCTATTCGTTAGTCAACTTGTCTATAATTAAATACATGTAGCTTCTCTTCTGTCATTATGCTATATGTTGTCCTAGAAGACTAAATACACCCTTGCTCAGCAGAATAATGTCTTAGATCGATAGAATGAATGCTTCAATCTAGTTTTCTCTTTCATCTTTCTCGGAGCAAAGACGTTTAGGGACTGGGGAGAAAATACGATAAAGCAAAAAAACTGTGACCAGTTGTAAGGAAAAAGAAAGCTGAAAACGACCCAACGTGTTTCGGATAAGATTTCAGTTTGGCTTTGATGCATATTTTATTTGGTTGAAATACTACCAGCTTTTATGATGCTTTTATGATGAAGACAGCACCTCTACAGATCGTACTAACTGAGCATCACATTCTCTCAAGATGCAGAAATAAATCATATTTCTCCACTCCTGTTCCCAAGTCCAAATTTTTCCTACATTTGGTGTATCATTTTACTGCAAGGAATGCTTATTACTAAGGCTATAGCCCTATTCGCACGGGACTAGTTGGTTATGTATTTATTACCCCATAATGTCCGTTATTCCAGAGGACAATTCGGACGTTTTTTCCAAACGGCCGCCTGTAAAAAAAAAAAAAAAATCTGTATATAAATTCACAGTTACGACAGAAGCCTGGAGGTTTTTTTCTAGGTGTGAAGATAAGTCCAGGCGATAACAGGCTACACTGATAACTGGACCTTTGTTCACAAGTTTCTAAACCATACCAGAGCGCTCAGGACCTCAGACTGGGGCGAAGGTTCACCTTGCAACAGGACAACGACCCTAAGCACACAGCCAAGACAACACAGGAGTGGCTTTGGGACAAGTCTCTGAATGTCCTTGAGTGGCCCAGCCAGAGCCTGGACTTGAACCTGATCGAACATGTCTGGAGAGACCTGAAAATAGCTGTGCAGCGACGCTCCCCATCCAACCTGACAGAGCTTGAGAGGATCTGCAGAAAAGAATGGGAGAAACTCCCCAAATACAGGTGTGCCAAGCTTGTAGTGTCATACCCAAGAAGACACGAGGCTGTAATCGCTGCCAAAGGTGCTTCAACAAAGTACTGAGTAAAGGGTCTGAATACTTATGTGATATTTCCTATTTTTTATTTTAATACATTTGCAAAAATGTCAAAAAAAACTGTTTTTGCTTTGTCATTATGGGGTATTGTGAGTACACTGAGATTTATTTTATTTTTTTACATCCATTTTAGAATAAGGCTGTAACGTAACAAAATGTGGAAAAAGTCAAGGGGTCTGAATACTTTCAGAATGCACAGTTTTCTTGCTCATACCGCGAGTAGCACCTGTCAAATTAAGACATTTCTCTCAAAACACAGGGATGTCGGTTTGCACCGGTCTAGTATTATCAGAGGACTTTGGAGTTTACAAAAAAGTATGCTACAGTTCCCTTGACATGCCATAGGCCTATTTGAAGTCCTGTCTTGTGACTGTCGAATTTGTACAGCACCTCAGAATCATCACACTTAACATAGCCGGCACTGCTATCCTCTTTTACCACTTCACCAAATATTTTCCAAACATTACTTTTCTGGCCCTCCCTTCTCTTTTATTTTCAGCTCTCCATACGCAGCTTTTTTCTTATTGAATTTAACTTCGACAATGTCCTTTGCCCCATTCCCAAAAGCATTATTTGGAGATTGGCTGTGCAGGCTATTTGACGCGCGTACAGTTACGCCCTAAAAGCTTAGGTTTATGCACTAATACCAGGTAGCCTAAAATAGTGAAATAAAAACCTCAATGTAGACTATATAAATTGCACAATAATTATACATTCATGGATTTTTGAAGGTACTCTTTATTCAACCTGCCCGCCACCCACCCGCCCTTCAGCCACACAATATTTAAAGACCCTAAACCCGTCCGTAGGGACGTACGTAATGTACGTACATACGTGCGTGCGTGTGTGTGGTATCCGCTGTATGTTGTATGTGTTGGGATGTGTGGTCCAGGGGTCCAGGAGAAATGTGTATGTCTGTGTATATGTAATATAGGAAATTAAAAACTTGAAATACACTATAAAATGATCATTACACAGTGATAACACACATATCCAATCTCTTTCTCCTCTCTCAGATGATGCAGTGTCTGAAGCTGGGGGCTCTGTGTCGTACCACGGCCAGCACCCAGATGAATGTCCAGAGCTCCCGCTCTCACGCCATCTTCACCATTCACCTGTGCCAAGTCAGAGTCTGTGCATCCGACAATGTACGTACAAGAGCAGCTTATTCCTAGCCTTAGTACCAGTCCTTTTGTGCTCTCTTGCCAACTCCTATCTTATTCCGTATTTACACTTTTGTTACTGATGTGATGCCTGTCACTTGCTATGACACTGTTAGAGCATGTTATGATATGTTATGACAGTGACTGAAGTTGCTCCTAATCTTGACGTTACAGAAATGATATAGCCACTCCTATGCTATCACGTCATATTATGCTAGGTTACGTAAATGACATACTGTATAAAGAAATGACTCTTATTATGGTACTGACGTACTATGTTTATGGTAGGCTACTGACATTCAATGTTATGTTGCATTAGTGACAGGGACAGTGCTTTTGAATAACGGTACTGACACAAAGGCATCCATCTGGGGGTTTTCTAACTCACAGCAAGACAACAACGAGACGGACAGCAAGATTGCTAACTGCAACTCAGAGATGGAAGAGTATGAGACACTGACGGCCAAGTTTCACTTTGTGGACCTGGCCGGGTCAGAGAGGCTGAAGAGAACCGGGGCGACCGGAGACCGAGCTAAGGAGGGAATCTCCATCAACTGTGGACTGGTGAGACACTGGTTGTGTCCGAAATGGACCGTATTCCATATAGTTAGTACACTAATTTTGATCCACCCTATTCCCTAATACACTAGCAGGTCTATCCAACCCTGTTCCTGGAGAACTACGCTCCTGTAGGTTTTCACTCCAACCCCACTTGTAACTAACCTGATTCAGCTTAGCAACCAGCTAATTGTTAGAATCAGGTACGCTAGATAAGGGTTGGAGCGAAAACCTATAGGATGGTAGCTTTCCAGGAACATGGTTGGAGAGCCCTCACTATAAGAATCTGGTCAAAAGGGCTCTGGTAAAAATGTGTGCAATATAGGAATATATCATTTTTGTCCTTTAACCCCCTAAGGTCGATGTCCGCACCCAAATTAGCATAACACAACAATCCCCATCAAAATCCATCGGTTTAAGCTAGAGATATCTGTTTTTTTGCATCGGATGCGTCTCAATCCACCCCATCTGCCTATATAACACTTCCGCATCTGCGGTGAAAGCTGACAGAGCTAAAGCAGCGTTTGTCAGACCATGAGACATCCCGAAAATCAGTCTTCATACAGAATCATCTGTAGCGTCCCAACGGTTTGGCCTAAAAACTATAATGACCCTTCTATGGAAAGATGAGTCTCTCACAAACATGATGGTGTTCTCTGTTTTATATATATAAACATCCCGATCTTTCTTATATGTCTACGATATAGGACAGACTCTTCAGAACAAACTTCCTTTAGATTATTTTTGGGGGACTATCTGTTGTTCCATGTAGTGAATCTGTTATTCAATGCATTTGAATGGGCTAATACAGTAGTAGTAAGGCCACATTTCTTTTCTTCATCAAATATGTTTTGGATATCGTTTTTTTCTTAACAGAGTGCCATCTAGTGGTTAAAAGCAGTACCTTGCAAAAACTGTGCGACGTCATAACGGCCCAGTATGGACATAAATAGAACCAGAATGTTTCTGAAAATAACCTTCAATATCTGTTTTGCTGTGTGGTGTTTCTTGGTCATGTCTTCCAAACTGCAGCTTGCTCTTGGAAATGTAATCAGTGCTTTGGGAGACAGAAGCAAGCGATCCACGCATGTGCCTTACAGAGACTCCAAACTCACTCGGCTTCTACAGGACTCCCTGGGTGGAAATAGGTCTGTGTGCGATTGGTCAAGCCTTTCTCCCTCTCTTTGTGTCAGGGTTGGTGTCACAGTCAGTTGGTGTGCATGTCAAACTAAATGCTTTTTCTTAACTGATACAGTATTTATTAGATGTCTACAACACAATTGCTACAAGCAACCATATCCATCTGAACTACAGATTGCAAATGCTAACTCTCTGTGCTTCTTTTGTAAATCCACCTTCCCCTCTGTCAGCCAAACGATGATGATAGCGTGCATCAGCCCGTCTGACCGGGACTTCATGGAGACCCTGAACGCACTGAAGTATGCCAACAGAGCCAGGAACATTAAGAACAAGGTGATGGTGAACCAGGACAAGGCCTCCCAACAGATCTCTGCTCTCAGGACAGAGATCGCCAGGCTACAGATGGAACTGATGGAGTACAGGACGGTGAGAGAGTGAGAGAGTGAGAGAGTGAGAGAGTGAGAGAGTGAGAGAGAGTAAACGTGAACTATATGAAAAGGTGAGGTATGACCGTCCAAAAATAAATTGCCCTTAATTAATTCTAATTCTGTCTAAACCCAGGGTAAGCGTATGGTGGGTGAGGATGGTATGGATAGCATCAACGACATGTTCCATGAGAACAGCATGCTGCAGACAGAGAACAGCAACCTGAGGATCAGGGTCAAAGCCATGCAGGAGACTATTGACGCACAGAGGGCCAGACTCACCCAGTACCTCAGTGACCAGGCCAACCAGGTCCTCGCCAGGGCAGGTGAGGGTGTGTGTGTGCTTATGTCTTTATGACCACGTCCATTGTAAACAGTTTAGAGGTGTGTTTGCTAAGGGTTTCCTGTTCTGTTTATTCTCAGGTGAGGGGAGTGAAGAGATTGGGAACATGATCCAGAGCTACATCAAAGAGATTGAGGATCTCAGGTAAACTTTTCTGTCTTCATACAGTACATACTGACATAGAGGTCAATCAAAACATTTTCTCCCTACTGAACATGACCCAGCATAGCACATAGACAACATTGAGCTTTAGGAATATGTCAGAAACTGAAATTCAATTAAATTCCACTGTTATTCCCCATAGAGCCAAACTCCTGGAGAGCGAGTCTATGAATGAGAACCTTCGTAAGAATCTGTCCCGTGCCTCCTCACGGCAGTCCTTTTACCCCGGAACCTTCTCCGCTGCCCTCTTGGCACCCGAGAAGGAGGCCTCAGACATCATCGAGATGGCTAAGAAAGACCTGGAAAAACTCAAGAAGAAGGAGAGGAAGAAGAAGAAGAGGTAAAGAGTGAACATGGTTAATTGTAGGACCAAATTATTTATGTTTTCTTGTTAAAAAACATACGTTTTTTTAACAATTCTTGTATGACCTCAATGTGGGGCCATGGTGAGTAGCAGTTTGTGATCTCTATGTTTTTCCCTATGACTTCTTTTCCTTCCTCTTCTCTGTACTCCCTGGTTTCCTTCTTTCCCTCCTTCCTTCTTTCCTTCCTTCCTTGTCACATCTCTCTCCCCTGTCCTCTCACCTGTGACCTTTGACCTTGACCTCTCCCTGAACTGAAGGCTCCAGCAGCTGCTGGAAGAGAGGGAGGAGGAGTTAGTAGAGGAGGAAGATGGCAGGTTTGTCACAGGTTCCCCCTCCCTTAACCTCCCTGCCATTTCCATCCCTCACTTCTTCTAAACAACCATTTTGTTTTGTTTGACAGGCAGTTGCCACGCCAGAAGGGAAACCTGAGTTCAGTTCCTTCAGTTCTTCCTGTGTTCACTCGTTTCTTTCAATTTGCTCACCCCGACTGACTGATATGATGTTTTCATCCACCATCAATGGCCTTATCATGATCTTTATTAACACACTTTATTTATGAAGATATAAAAACGGGATTCATTTACAGATAATTATTATACTGTACTAAACAATTTTGTGCTCCACTGCATATTCTGGCATGCTATTTTGCTTTCCTTCGGTTTTTTTCACCTCTAGAAAAAAAATACTATTCAACTTCTGCTTAGTTCAATGTTGTCTCACCTTGCCCCTCTGTTGTTCCCTACTAGTGTTGTCAAGGAGGAAGTCCCCGACAATGACCAAGACAATGGGATGGAAAAAGAGCTGACTGAGCGGTCCAATGAGGAGCATGAGACGGTATGATTGACAACCTATTAGTCAACCTATTAGTCCAATGATAGAGCTGGGTGATATGGACAAAAATCCATATTGTGATAAATTGTCAATTTCTTTTGCTAAATCAGCGATAACTTTATAGATTTGTTTGTATTTTACCCCCTTTTTCAATCTTTTCTCATCGCTGCAACTCCCCAACGGGCTCGGGAGGTGAACGTCGAGTCATGCGTCCTCCGAAACATGACCCGCCAAACCACACTTCTTAACACCCGCCCGCTTAACCCGGAAGCCAGCTGCACCAACGTGTCAGAGGAAACACCGTTCAACTGACGACCGAGGTCAGCCTGCAGGCGCCCGGCCCACCACAAGGAGTCACTAGAGTGTGATGAGCCAAGTAAAGTCCCCCGGCCAAACTCTCTCCTAACCCGGACAACGCTAGGACAATTGTGCGCCGCCCTATGGGACTCCCGATCACGGCCGGTTGTGATACAGCCCAGGATCGAACCCAGATCTGTAGTGACACCTCTAGCACTGCGATGCAGTGCCTTAGACCGCTGCGCCACTCGGGAGGCCCCAGCAATAACTTATTTATTGGGGAGGTGCTATAGCTGGTTGATATGGACAAAAAGTAATATTGTGATAAATGTAACTATTTTGCTCTAACAATAAATACAATGATAAAAAAATGTTTAATGGACAGCTTAACATTAGCTTTTACATCAGCGGCAGGGCTCTAGACACTGAGATGGTAACCTATGATTAAAAAAGTAAGCTATTTCATCTAACATATCCAGGGAATGCATTATTGATAATTTGCTGGCAATCTGTCAAAATAGGATCCCGAATTATCTGATTTATTTTGGGAATTTGCTGACATCTTTGTGCATATTGGCCTATAGGCTATATTATTCACCTCCTGAGGAAGTGGGAACTCAAAAGCTAGATTACTAACTCTAAATAAGATAGTGTTGCTATATAGCCATGTATGCTAATTGATTCAGCACAACTTTCCAGTGCTAGGCCTAGGCTATATGATGTAGTCCTATTCACTGCAAATCAAAACCATACTACAGCCTGCTCCGGTTGTAAAGTGGTGCCATGAAATCAATATTAAGATGGATGTGAGAAATACATTTATACTCACAGAAAACTGTGACTCACCTCTAGAACAACAGTAGTTGCTTTGAAAATTGTATTTTCTTCTGGCAATTGCAGTTTGAGCAACAGTCATATGCTTGTGCTTCTCAGAATGCATCTTTCTCTCCTCCGTGCGCACAGTGGGGAGAGGGAGTGAGAGTGGCTCGCTCACTCAGCAGCCGACAGCGAAACGGAGACAGGCAGATGCCTTCATAGCAGGAATCAACATGATGCTATTACTGTTGACCAAATAATGGTTTTAGAACAAGCTACAGGAATGTTGAGAAGGAAAATGTTTCGGTTTATCGTCCAAGCAATAACTAAAAGACCAGTGAGTTTTTCCCCTCCCCATTCTTCTGACATTGGATAATTCTGTATTCTATTCTACTCATGTGTGCTCTCAGGAGGGGCAGGAGGGGAGTGACCACGAGGAAGAGGAGGATGATGAAGAGGAAGAGATGGATGTGGAGGAGAGCTCTGATTCAGACTCGGACTCAGATGAGAAAGGTAAAATGGCTGATTTCTAGAAATAGGAAATATAGAAGGCACATATAGTGGACATGTATATCTATGATTTGAACCCATATGAATCAATGTTACTTTCCCCCACCAGAGAACTTCCAGGCGGACCTGGCCAACATTACATGTGAGATTGCCATCAAGCAGAAGCTGATAGACGAGCTGGAGAACAGCCAGAGGCGTCTGCACACGCTCAAACAGCAGTACGAACAGAAACTGATGATGCTGCAGAGTAAGATCAGAGACACACAGCTGGAGAGGGACAAGGTGCTGCAGAACATGGGTACGTCTCATATAGAGGGTGAGAATGTACTCACGGTATGACCTGGACACTGGGATTACATAGCTATGGGATATGCATACAGCCGTTACTGGTTTATAGTCTATCAGAGAACTGTGAAGAGTTTGGAGTTTTTATTTTGCTCTGGTTCTTTAGAACATAGGGCTATTGAACAGCCACCTCTATAAAAAGTGTGGGGTTTCCCTCTGTTGATTTAAGGCAGGGGTGGTCAACATTTCCGATCCTACTATAACACACCGATTCAGCTAATCAAGGTCCTGATGAGCAGTGGACTAGTAGAATCAGGTGTGGAAGGGCTGAAGCAAAAGCCTGCATACCCAGTTGTTCTCTAGGAGGGATGGCAACCTGTGATTTCTAAGCTTATTTCCTCATTTTGTCTGTCTTGTTTTTGGCTCCCCCTTCAGGCTCAGTGGAGACGTGCAATGACGATAAGGCCAAGAAGATCAAGCAGGAGTATGAGAAGAAGCTGAGTCTCATGAATAAGGAGCTACAGAAGCTACAGTCAGCCCAGAAGGAACACGCACGCCTCCTCAAGAACCAATCAAAGTACGAGACACAGCTCAAGAAGCTCCAACTGGACGTCACAGAGATGAAGAAGACAAAGGTAGAACGAAAACGTACTTGTACCTGACCACAACCATGACTGACCACACTCGCCACCAACCACTCGTGACATTGCCATCGTAAAGATATTTATTAATACAATATTCCCACCCCGTAATTCTTTTTTTGAGTCACCACTCAGTCAACATCATATTTCATATTTTTCCAACATACTGACGTTGAACATCAATGGTGGGTTACTGATATTGATCTAAATGTGATCTGGTTGGCCATCAGGTTCGTCTGATGAAGCAGATGAAGGAGCAGCAGGAGAAGAACAGAATGACAGAGTCCAGGAGGAACAGAGAAATCGCCAGCCTCAAGAAGGACCAGCGCAAACAGGAGGTGAACCACGGGACCCATAGTCTAGTTTCTCAGTATTGCAGCAGTACTACCTTTTCACACTATCCACCTCATGTAGCCCTGCCAAATTGAATTCAGCAAGCTTCTCCTCTTAGAGTCTATGAAGCCTTGCTTCTCAGCTCTTTATCCAGTGAGTACGGTTCGGTATAAAGTCAGACTGATTTTGTTATACTTATTTCCAGTCTGGTTTGGGCAGGGCAAGGCTTGCCTAAAAGCTATCTTGAGCCAGATGTGTTATTGGACCAGTTAAGCAAATATTTTGCAACTTAATGCTATTGGCATTACTGAAGGCCATGTTAATGTGTGTTCCACAGCACCAGCTGAAGCTACTGGAGGCCCAGAAGAGACAACAGGAGCTCATACTGCGCAGGAAGACTGAGGAGGTGAGCAAACTGAACGGCCATCTGAAGTCATCATGAGGGGCCGCAGTTGCTCGCCTGTCTGCGTACCCACATGTGCATACCAGAAATGTTTGCAGTGAGACTGACTAACAAAATCAATGGGGTCCCCCCGGCCGGTAATTTGACCATGATTATTACATTTAGATAGTCTAGCAGCCAGCTAACTTAACAATCTAAAAAATGTTAGCTGAGATGTGCTAATTGTCTATCAGTAAGCAGGTTTCCAGCCAACCATTTCATGCAGATTAATTATCTAACGCAAGAAAGAAGTCACGACTGGGCTGCTGGAAACATGAAATGCCGGTACAATTTTATAAATACCGACAGACAATTTGTTTGTTCGACATGGTGTGATTTTTTGGTCTCTGTATAATTAACTATGCGAGAAATGGTGATGGAAATGCCTCTGTGCAAATGTTGATATAATAACAATCATATCGAAGTAAATTTGGAGTCATGCGATGATATGTGTGGTCTTCCAGTTACGGCTCGGGAAAGCATGCAGTTTATTAGGCTACAGATTAAATAAATGATGATTAACTTCACAGGGTGGTGAATGTGCAAGGTGATGAGCTTGATGTTCCTTTCCAATAAATATCGACGGTCTTATTCTAATGACATGATGATCTATGCTTGGCTGCCGTTTGACAAATACAAATAATATCGCTCTTATCCATAATAATCTCATAATGTAGGTAGCCTACCCACACTGTATCTGCCAGCTGTTGGTTAAAGCGAAGGTGCCATGACCAGAGTGGGGTCATTTGGAATATAACACAACAGTTTTTTTGACAAAACCATCAGTGAAAATGCGATGGAAATCCATTGAACTTGTATTTTTCATTCGGTACATGGTAATTTAAAGGCAAACGTTTTTTTTATGTGCATTACGTCATCGCGCAAAGCCTTTTCCACCGGAGATGGAAACGCATTTCCGGTGGAAAATGTGCATATTGTTTTCTGCAGATTTTTGAATATTCGCATAAAAATCTTTCGCAAATTGGATGGAAACCTAGCTAGTGACTGACATAACAAGAGAAAAACTGCTGATGCACAACAACGAAATGGCATGTTATGTATTCTACTATTCTAACTTGCAACAGTAAGTTGAGACCCCAACTGAGTTAAAAAAATATATATATATCTGAGGGCCTTCAAAAGGGGGCGGCCCATGGGACGCCAGTTGCCCATCCCTGACATAGAGTAAAGGGATGTAGTATACAGTGAGGGAAAAAAATATTTGATCCCCTGCTGATTTTGTACGTTTGCCCACTGACAAAGACATGATCAGTCTATAATTTTAATGGTAGGTTTATTTGAACAGTGAGAGACAGAATAACAACAACAAAATCCAGAAAAACGCATGTCAAAAATGTTATTAATTGATTTGCATTTTAATGAGGGAAATAAGTATTTGACCCCTCTGCAAAACATGACTTAGTACTTGGTGGCAAAACCCTTGTTGGCAATCACAGAGGTCAGACGTTTCTTGTAGTTGGCCACCAGGTTTGCACACATCTCAGGAGGGATTTTGTCCCACTCCTCTTTGCAGATCTTCTCCAAGTCATTAAGGTTTCGAGCATGACGTTTGGCAACTCAAACCTTCAGCTCCCTCCACAGATTTTCTATGGGATTAAGGTCTGGAGACTGGCTAGGCCACACCAGGACCTTAATATGCTTCTTCTTGAGCTACTCCTTTGTTGCCTTGGCCGTGTGTTTTGGGTTATTGTCATGCTGGAATACCCATCCACGACCCATTTTCAATGCCCTGGCTGAGGGAAGGAGGTTCTCACCCAAGATTTGACGGTACATGGCCCCATCCATCGTCCCTTTGATGCGGTGAAGTTGTCCTGTCCCCTTAGCAGAAAAGCACCCGAAAAGCATAATGTTTCCACCTCGATGTTTGACGTGGGGATGGTGTTCTTGGGGTCCTAGGCAGCATTCCTTCTCCAAACACGGCGAGTTGAGTTGATGCCAAAGAGCTCCATTTTGGTCTCATCTGACCACAACACTTTCACCCAGTTCTCCTCTGAATCATTCAGATGTTCATTGGCAAACTTCAGACGGCCCTGTATATGTGCTTTCTTGAGCAGGGGGACCTTGCGGGCGCTGCAGGATTTCAGTCCTTCACGGCGTAGTGTGTTACCAATTGTTTTCTTGGTGACTATGGTCCCAGCTGCCGTGAGATCATTGACAAGATCCTCCCGTGTAGTTCTGGGCTGATTCCTCACCCTTCTTATGATCATTGCAACTCCATGAGGTGAGATTGTGCGTGGAGCCCCAGGCCGAGGGAGATTGACAGTTATTTTGTGTTTCTTCCATTTGCGAATAATCGCACCAACTGTTGTCACCTTCTCACCAAGCTGCTTGGCGATGGTCTTGTAGCCCATTCCAGCCTTGTGTAGGTCTACAATCTTGTCCCTGACATCCTTGGAGAGCTCTTTGGTCTTGGCCATGGTGGAGAGTTTGGAGTCTGATTGATTGATTGCTTCTGTGGACAGGTGTCTTTTTATACAGGTAACAAACTGAGATTAGGAGCACTCCCTTTAACAGTGTGCTCCTAATCTCAGCTCGTTACCTGTATAAAAGACACCTGGGAGCCAGAAATCTTTCTGATTGAGAGGGGGTCAAATACTTATTTCCCTCATTAAAATGCAAATCAATGTATAACAGTTTTGACATGTGTTTTTCTGGATTTTTTTGTTGTTATTCTGTCTCTCACTGTTCAAATAAACCTACCATTAAAATTATAGACTGATCATTTCTTTGTCAGTGGGCAAATTTACAAAATCAGCAGGGGATCAAATACTTTTTTCCCTCACTGTATAGAAGTGCTGTATACTTGACAATTACCCAAGACTAGAAGCAGTTACACACATCCTGCAACAAATCACTAACTCTCATCTAGTTGGATCTAAGTTCAAGGAACTTTGAAGTTCTAGGACCAGAAAACGAAAAGCTTTTTTCCCAATTCTATTTGACCTTTGATACCTGGAATAGGATATTCACTTGGGAACGGAAGTTGTAGGAACCATTGGCCAGAGTCCGAGAGCAGAGGTACAGAGAGAGTAGGCTACCAATGGGATCTTTGTATCATAAGAGTTCAAGACTTCCCTGAAGATCACTGATAACAACAAACATGGCAGTTTAGTAAATAAAATATCAAGCTAGACTCATACTATTCTATTGAGATGATCAAATTTAGCATCAGGTAGTAGCTCTGGTGGCTCATTACTTACGTGTGTGTGTGTGTGTCTGTGTCTACCAGGTAACTGCACTGAGGAGACAGGCCAGACCTATGTCTGGTAAGGTGACCAGCAGGAAGGTGAGTTTACCAGAGCCCCTCCAGGACTCCTCCCACCGACCCCCCTCAGGACGCCTGCACTCCTCTGGATCCACCGCACCCAACGGAACCAGGTAGGGACTGGACAACAGGTCACTGCAATGCCATTTTGATGTGTGACTGTATTTGTGTTGCTGTATTACACTGTTTGGTGTATGTAGAGCAATCATCATGGCTTTTGCAGCTTGAGATCTGCATGGCCATACTGTAGAGTGTACATGCCTCAACATTGTGTGTGTGCGCATGTGTGTGACAGGTCCTACTACAGACGGTCAACGGGCATATATTCCACCAGAGTGGCCAGGGTAAAGTGGCAGTCTCTGGAGCGCCGTATCTCTGATGTCATCATGCAGAGGATGACCATATCCAACATGGAGGCTGATATGAACCGCCTGCTCAAGGTAAACATTAAATGTCATTCACACATCTTTTCATTTGCTGAATATAGTTTACAGACCTAATATATTACTCTAAATTAGCGTTGTTAGCAATTAACATTGGCAAACTCCTCCTTATTCCCCTGCTCCGTCCCCTACCCTCCTTTCCCTGCCTCCTCTCTCTCCTTCCCCATTCCTCCTCCTCCACTCTCCCCCCTCCATCGTTCCTCCCCTCCACAGCAACGTGAGGAGCTGACCAAGAGGAGGGAGAAGGTGACCAGAAAGAGGGACAGGCTGGCGGGGGAGAGGCCTGAGGAAGAGAAGGCGGTGTTTCCCCTCAACGAGGAAGTGGACACCCTGATGGCCAACATCGACTACATCAACGACAGCATCGCAGACTGCCAGGCCAACATTATGCAGATGGAGGAGGCCAAGGTCAGACAGACAGAAAGCTGGCATTAGCAGTACATTTTCTGAAATCAAGGAGTCGAGGAGAGGAAGCCACATAAAAGTTGAGATACAACCATGGCCAATTTCAAGCAGCACAAATCTGGCCAACCAAATCAAACACTATCCCATGACTCTCTGAGTAACATGCATCCTAAAAGCAACATATGAATTGAGCTGATTAGGATGTTTTTCCTAACCATGTAATTATGCATTTGCAGGAGGAGGTTGACACGGTAGATGTTTCCGCAGTGATCAGCTCCTGTACCCTAACAGAAGCCCGTTTCCTGATGGACCACTTCATGTCTATGGCCATCAACAAGGTAACTAACTTACTGCCTTTTACCTGTCCCTCCGTAGTCACTCCCCAATCTCTCACACCATTGTTTTTTCCTGGAGTTGACTTAGTTTAAAGGGGGGCTGAACTTGCGGATTTAGCCTCGGTTTCAATGGTCCTCATTAGGAAATGCGATTGAGAACAAGATTTGGGTTTTGGACCTGTGCTTTGATGTGGGTTTCTCTTGTGTGTGTTCGAACGTGGGAAGCTTTTGTACTTTCACTCTGCCAGAACAGTACACAGTCACTCAACCTTCTAGATAACAGTCTAACCAGGTCTTGTGTCTGGAAATAGCCTAGACTAGCTAGCAAGCTAGCCAACTTCTTTCGCCAATTAGCTTCAGTCAGCCGGTGTGCGACCGTGGCAAAGTTGGTTTGACTTTGGATAGCCTATCTGTGGGGCTAGTTAGGAGAAGTTGCTTTTTTGGTTCAGTCGCACCCAGGTTCCACGTTTCAAATTAAGTCAGTTTCTACGATTGTTAATATGTTTAGTTCTGTGTGTATATGCACAAGCACCCTCCTTGTGTATTAATCTTTTGTGTGTGTACGGTGTTACCTTTAGTGACCCTTCTTATAGCTGACCTATGACCTTTGACCTCCTCCCTATCCTAGGGTCTGCAGGCAGCCCAGAAGGAGTCCCAGGTGAAGGTGATGGAGGGCAGGCTGAAGCAGACAGAGATCACCAGCGCAACTCAGAACCAGCTGCTGTTCCACATGCTGAAAGAGAAGGCAGAGTTTAACCCCGAACTGGACGCCCTGCTGGGGAACGCTTTGCAAGGTAACAGCCCGAACTCCAGCCTGCCAGCCACACACCCTGCAAGATACGTGTATAGTTCAGTCCAGGGCCTTGACCCTGACCCTCTCAGCCCCTGTTACTGGAGGTCCGTAAGTCAAACCCACAACACTACCAGGTCTTGCTAACCCCAAATAAATGAATTTGACTGGCTTTGGTTACTCAATGGGTGACAGAAGTATATATAATTGAAAAAATAACTGTCTGTGGCCTGAATGTTGTTGGGATTCTATTGGACCTGGAGAGAGAGAGCTGTTGGCTGGACCTCCAGAACCAAGGCTGGGAGACTGTGATCCAGTGCATGATGGGGACCTGTTGAGTTGCTCTTTGCTTGTGGCCTCCTCAATAGATGCTAGCCGTGAGATGAAAAGTCACACAAGTACATTATTTATCATTCAAGTTTGGAAACCCATCTATATTTGCCCTTTTTGTTTCATGGCTATGGAGCTGAGCTGACATCTTTTGTTATAGAGTTGATGTTTTGTTATGGCGCTGACAATGGAATAAGGTTCCGTATGACAGTTGTATTTTCACCAGCATCTGTTGAGGAGGACGTCTTTTTGAATAGTAGAACTAGCACTCTTGCTATTTCTTTTCTTTTCGATTTGATTTGGTTTTGATTATGGGAGAATGAATGAATGTGTTTTTGATTCGTGTATTGCCTTTCTTCTTGTCCCCCGCCATGGTGCGTTAATGTATACAGAGCTAGGTAACATGCCAGTGGGTAAGTAACAGACACCAGACTCTCTATGTTTATATGAATGCATGGGTCCTCCTCCTGGAAACTAACTCAACAACATGAGCAGGTGCATGAGGTGTAATGCTGCTGTCTTCCAAACCTCCCTCCATCTGTTAGCTGACGCTTCCTCTTCTCCTCCTCCTCCTCTTCCCAATGTGAAAGAACCCCTTTCCTAGTCTCAGCTCACCATGTGCTACAGCCACCGTGATTTCTAGCACCTGCTAATATAACTACTGAACTTGTATCCTTAATAGAGGACCCCTTCCCACCATGTGCTACAGCCACCATGCCTTGTACTATAGCATCTGCTAATATAACTACTGTACTGTATCTGTAGGTAGAACCAGGACGTTTTGTCTCAGTTGGACCCTGTAGGCAAACCACACTGCCCCGGGAGCAGCTCATCTCAGTTTCCCCCTCCCTCCTTTTCATAACCCCTCACATCTGACCTCTTGACCTCTTTGTACCCTCTCATCCTTTCGACGCCTGAACCCTGTCAACCCTTCCCTCTCAGTGACTGAACAAGGACCTGATCTTTTCAGGTCTTTTGAGGCAATTCCATATAAACGGCATGGCGCTGCGCTGACATCGTCTTCATCTGCTTCTCCTTGTTCATTATTGCCACCTCTACCTTGTTCAATAATATAAACCACATATTGTTAACATCTGTTTGTAGCCAACACAGTATTAGCATAAGAGTTGGTTCAGTAAACGGTTTTACCCTTGTACCATGTTTGGTTGACAATTGGCAGGTATTTGGACTAGTAGACAGAACTGACTTAAGTTTGTTGGTATTTAGTCATAACACAGAAAAATATGAGCATTTGCTATGGATGTTGTTTGGCTCTGACATACAGTTCAACTGACATTTTGAGTCCTCTGATTTCTCAGAGAACGGGGATGACAGCAGCAGTGACGAATCTGCCCAGAGTCCTGCAACAGAGGGACAGTAAGTATTAAAGAGAGAGTTCACTCAAATTACCCCAAAATAGTGAACATTTCACTTTTTTGGGGGGGCCTGTTTTTTTTATTTTTTTTTAAATGATGTTATCTCATGTATTCTACTTCCTTGTTACAGCTCTCTGACATCAGATCTAATGAAACTCTGTGGAGAGACCAAAACAAGGAGCAAGGTACCATTCTCAGCCTATTAGCATGTGTATGTTTGGATGCTTGTTTTACTATCCTTGTGGGTACATTGGTGTGTGGGTACATTGGTGTGTGGGTACATTGGTGTGTGGGTACATTGGTGTGTGGGTACGTGTTTGTGTGTATTATGAACTGAGTGTGTGTTTCTCCCCACCCAGGCTCGTAGGAGAACCACCACTCAGATGGAGCTGCTCTACGCCAATAGCGACTCCGCCCCTGACACGCCTTCTAGTGATTTCTCCTCCCCCTGTCTCCCATTGGCTGAAACTCCAGAAGAGGGCAGAGATCCTGAGACTCCCATTGGCTCGTCAGTCAGGGACAGGGACTATATGGCTCATTCTCCTTGCTTGTCCTCTAAGATGGGCAGCATGTAAGTCTGGGCCTGCGCGTGCTAACTAGCTAACGTGCTAACCCGCTGCTTCCTGCATGTTGATACAGCTGCTGCTTATTCTCTTTTCAGTTTGCCTGACATGGCCTGTAAATCTCCTCTATTCACCTGCAAGTCTCCTAGCCAGTAGAAACCAAAATGTACCCCTTTAGTATATTCATTAATAAGCATGTAGCAGCTGTTATAACCCTAACCCATCAAGGCTACTACTGACAGACAAACACATGCGCAGACACACACAAAATGATTATGAGGCATGTACAGTATGGCCATGCAGATCTCATGTTCTCTCGCTAGATGCAATTTTCAACTGCAATAGGCTTATGACACGGCTATCTCAACTCTACAGAATATTAACCCTTTACAGCTGCATCCTTTAAAAGCAACACAAAGTGCTAATAAAGCTAACCAGTAGCGCACGGTGGCTTTCTACGAATGTCTTGAGCAGCAATACCAATTTTAGTGTGACTTGAATACGTAAGATATAGTGCTGGGGACTGATTTCAGTGTGACACAATTTAGCCCTAAAGCTACACCGGTGTCCTTATAAAACACAAGATTTGGGTGAAGGAGGAACGTCTATATTGGGACTGAATATCAGGTAACAGTGTGGTATGTGTGTACTGCATGTTCACCACCGCAATATTGTTTCATTTATACTTTTGTTTACATGCTTATATTGTTGTCCTTTTTGTTCCTAATGTTTTGTCTTGTCTTTGGGTTGTGTTGTGTGTTGCTAATGAAAACTAAACTAAATGTTAGTTCCGGCTCCAGACCTGCCTCCTCCTCAGGGGCAGAAAAGAGAGTTCCAGGGCCCTCGCCGCTCTCTCGCAGGAAGACCTATGACAAGACTCAAGTGGCAGCTAAAGTCAAGGAGATCAAACAGTAAGAGACTAGCGACGCTCTGGTGGCCGGAGGCCAAAAGCACAACTTTTTCCAACAGCTGTTGCAAATTATACTTATCCCCCCCCCCGCCCCCCCACTTTCCGAATGTCAAGTAGTTAACGCGTTCTTGAGAAATATAGATAATTTTGTTTCTATATCCCTCTTGACTGAGACTAAATGATTGACTTCTGTTTCCCAAAACATTTTTTTTTTGCATCTGTTTTTAATTTGGGAAGTTAATTCAGTGTTCAACTTGGCCCTCTCAGCCTCTTCAAACCCTCTGTTGTAAATTTGGCTATGATATATAAATCCTATATATTGGTATCCAGCGCTAACCAACTGTTTTTCTCAAACACTTTGAAGTAAGTGTAATCTAAGAAGCTAAAGGTGGGGGTAAGGGGAACCATGCTGAGTGAAACCCTGAGTGAGCAAACATTCTTTCCCCGATCAGTTCTCAGGACCACATGTGATGACCATACACAACTCAATGTTCTTAGACCAAATGTGAAAAGTCTCAGAAATGAGTGCAGAGCCTTATACAACGGGTGGTTCTAATCCTGAATGCTGATTGGTTAAAACCGCATTCCAGCCAGTGTCTATTCCACAAGTTACCACCGGCTAAATCTATGCTGTGAAAATGCCTATTTACTCTGTTCCATCTGACTGCACAATCCACTGTCTCATCAGCACAGCCAGGCAATTTATGAACTTGATCTCCACTATAAAAAGCATCTAGACATGATCTCACATTTCTTTTAGACAAACATTTAGTTATCAACAGCAGAGATTTGTATAAACCTTGCTGTCTGTCTCTCTGACATTTGCAACATTGTTTCAATATTCAAATTCGATCTCCAGCTGTCCCATAGTAATGAACATGTCAGGACGAGACAGACAGGCAGGCAGCGTTTCCCAGCCAGTCAAAATCATGAATCAGCTGGCATGATTCTTATGGATATATACAAAGAAATGTCAATAGAAAGCAGCTTGTTTGCAATCTTTCCAGCTTCAATTTGAAGTGATTGTGTTAGCTGTGATTGTTGGCTAGCTCCTCTAATCAACAGTATCCTGACGAGAGAGCACATTTTCTATGCCAGGTGAAATCGCGCCTCATTAGCTCACTGTAATGGATGTATCCAAAATAATGTCACTAGAAAACAGCTTAAACAAATGTAAATGGTGCTACTTTGTTGTTTTTTGGCTGCACTGTTTGACGTGACTGTAAATTAGCCGTAGTTGGCTAGCTAGCAAGCAAGGGATAAGAAGGTTGCCAGCCAGTACATTTTGAACGAACAATTGGGTCGTGTCCATAGATACAGAACAGAAAGACTGAACGACTGGGTCACGTCTCTGGCAACCGAACCGATAGAACGAACGACCAGCCGGCTTGGGTAGCAACCCTAGATTTGTGTCGGGACAATATCTTGTGGAAGGATGAAATGGTATGAATAAATTAATCAAAATAACGTTTTTAATGAAAATATGTCAATCATTATTTGAATACACTACCTACTCATTCAAGGGTTTTTCTTTATTTTTACTATTTTCTACATTGTAGAATAATAGTGAAGACATCAAAACTATGAAATAACACGTATGGAATCATGTAGTAACCAAAAAAGTGTGAAATATATTTTATATTTGAGATTCTTATAAAAAGCATGAGCTGGGAGTTTATACATAGAGTGTGCAACTCTCTTTATTTGTTTTTATATTTGAGATTCTTCAAATAGCCAACCTTTGCCTTGATGACAGCTTTGCACACTCTTGGAATTCTCTCAACCAGCTTCACCTGGAATGCTTTTCCAACACTTGAAGGAGTTCCCACATGCTGAGCACTTGTTGGCTGCTTTTCCTTCACTCTGCGGCCGACTCATCCCAAACCATATCAATTTGGTTGAGGTTGGGGATTTGTGGAGGCCAGGTCATCTGATGCAGCACTCCATCACTCTCCTTCTTCGTAAAATAGCCCTTACACAGCCTGGAGGTGTGTTGGGTCATTGTCCTGTTGAATAACAAATGACAGTCCCACTAAGCCCAAACCAGATGGGATGGCGTATCGCTGCAGAACGCTTGGTAGCCATGCTGGTTAAGTGTGCCTTGAATTCTAAATAAATCACAGACAGTATCACCAACAAAGCACCCCCACACCATAACACCTCCGCTCCATGCTTTACGGTGGGAAATACACATGCGGAGATCACCCGTTCACCCACACCGCGTCTCACAAAGACACGGCGGTTGGAAACAAAAATCTCCAATTTGGACTCCAGACCAAAGGACACATTTCCACCGGTCTAATGTTCATTGCTCGTGTTTCTTGGCCCAAGCAAGTCGCTTCTTCTTATTGGTGTCCTTTAGTAGTGGTTTCTTTGCAGCAATTTGACCATGAAGGCCTGATTCACAGTCTCCTCTGAACAGTTGATGTTGAGATGTGTCTGTAACTTGAACGCTGTGAAACATTTATTTGTGCTACAATTTCTGAGGCTGGTAGCTCTAATGAACTTATCCTCTGCAGCAGAGGGAACTCTGGGTCTTCCATTCAGGTGGCGGTCCTCATGAGAACCAGTTTCATCATGGCGCTTGATGGTTTTTGCGACTGCACTTGAAGAAACTTTCAAAGTTCTTGACATTCTCCGTATTGACTGACCTTCATGTTTTAAAGTAAGGATAGACTGTTTTTTCTCTTTGCTTTTTTGAGCTGTTCTTGCCATAATATGGACTTGGTATTTTACCAGATAGGACTATCTTCTGTATACCCCCCCCCCCCACCTTGTCACAACACAACTGATTTGCTCAAAGGCATTAAGAAGGAAAGAAATTCCACAAAATAACTTTTAAGTAGGCACACCTGTTAATTGAAATGCATTCCAGGTGGCTACCTCATGAAGCTGGTTGAGAGAATGCCAAGAGTGTGCAAAGCTGTCATCAAGGCAATGGGTGGCTATTTGAAGAATCTCAAATATATTTTGATTTGTTTAACACTTTTTTGGTTCCTACATGGTTCCATATGTGTTATTTCATAGTTTTGATGTCTTCACTAGAATTCTACAGTGTAGAAAATAGTAAAAATAAAGAAAAATCCTTGAATGAGTAGGGTTCTAAAACTTTTGACCGGAAGTGTATGTTGGTAACCCGTTGTATCAAATGATAATGCCCTCGAAGCCAGTGTTTGGAGGATATATTGGCACGGTTTGCTAACAAAACCCATGCCAATATATCCTCCAAACACCGGCTTCTCGGGCATTATCACTTAATCGTTGCATATGGAGGGTTCTTACAGAATTCAGAGAAGACAGAAGGGGCTAGTTTCAAACAATGAAAGCTGTTTATCTATTTTAGCCTATACTGTCTCAGGTGTGTGTCAAGGTGTGCGTATGTGTGTATGTGCACGCGCATTTCCACTGGTATGGTTGTGATCCTGTACAGTACACTGAACACAGAATCAGTACAGAGGCAACTGATTTGTCCTCTACGTATGTACAGTTGAAGTCGGAAGTTTACATACACCTTAGCCAAATACATTTAAACTCTGTTTTTCACAATTCCTGACATTAAATCCTAGTAAAAATTCCCTGTCTTAGGCCAGTTAGGATCACCACTTTATTTTAAGAATGTGAAATGTCAGAATAATAGTAGAGAAAATGATTTATTTAAGCTTTTATTTCTTTCAACACATTCCCAGTGGGTCAGAAGTCTACATACACTCAATTAGTATTTGGTAGCATTGCCTTTAAATTGTTTAACTTGGGTCAAACGTTTCGTGTAGCCTTCCACAAGCTTCCCACAATAAGTTGGGTGAATTTTGTCCCATTCCTCCTGACAGAGCGGGTGTAACTGAGTCAGGTTTGTAGGCCTCCTTGCTCGCACACGCTTTTTCAGTTCTGCCCACATATTTGTTATAGGATTGAGGTCAGGGCTTTGTGATGGCCACTCAAATACCTTGACTTTGTTGTCCTTAAGCCATTTTGCCACAACTTTGGAAGTATGCTTGGGGTCATTGTCCATTTGGAAGACCCATTTGCGACCAAGCTTTAACTTCCTGACTGATGTCTTGAGATGTTGTTTCAATATATCCACATACTTTTCCTTCCTCATGATGCCATCTATTTTGTGAAGTGCACCAGTCCCTCCAGCAGCAAAGCACCCCCACAGCATGATGCTGCCACCCCCGTGCTTCACGGTTGGGATGGTGTTCTTCAGCTTGCAAGCACCCCATTTTTCCTCCAAACATAACGATGGTCATTATGGCCAAACAGTTCTATTTTTGTTTCATCAGACCAGAGGACATTTCTCCCAAAAGTACGGTATTTGTCCCCATGTGCAGTTGCAAACCGTAGTCTGGCTTTTTTATGGCGGTTTTGGAGCAGTGGCTTCTTCCTTGCTGAGCGGCCTTTCAGGTTATGTCGATATAGGACTCGTTTTACTGTGGATATAGATACTTTTGTACCCGTTTCCTCCAGCATCTTCACAATGTCCTATGCTGTTGTTCTGGGATTGATTTGCACTTTTCGCACCAAAGTATGTTCATCTCTAGGAGACGTGTCTCCTTCCTGAGCAGTAAGGATGAACCAGACTTTTATTCTGAAGTCTTGGCTGATTTCTTTTGATTTTCCCATTATGTCAAGCAAAGAGGCACTGAGTTTGAAGGTAGGCCTTGAAATACATTCACAGTTACACCTCCAATTGACTCAAATTATGTCAATTAGCCTATCAGAAGCTTCTAAAGCCATGACATCATTTTCTGTAATTTTCCAAGCTGTTAAAAGGCACAGTCAACTTAGTGTATGTAAAATTCTGACCCACTGGAATTGTGATACATTGAATTATACGTGAAATAATCTGTCTGTAAACAATTGTTGGAAAAATTACTTCTGTCATGCACAAAGTAGATGTCGTAACCGACTTGCCAAAACTATAGTTTGTTAACAAGAAATTTGTGGAGTGGTTGAAAAACGAGTTTTAATGACTCCAACGTAAGTCTATGTAAACTTCCGACTTCAACTGTATGTAAACAGCCAGACACCCAGCCTCAGCAATAAATAATACAAATACTGAGCAATGTATATTGTATGCTCAAAAAAATTGAACTCTTATATTATTTAATACAATTGCTCAGAGAAAGAGATTTTGTTTAACAATTAATAAAGACAAATCAAAAAAAGATAGGGGGGGAAAATGATTAGATCCCCTGTTTTCAGTACCCTCCCCTTACGAGAATAACGACACTGAGCCTTTTTCTAAAATGCTTTATGAGATTGGAGAACACATTGGGACTATTCCTCCATAAAGAATCTTTCCAGATCCTTGATATCCTTCATCTGCGCTTATGGAACAGGGCAGTCCATAAGCGCAGATAAAGGATATCAAGGATCTGGAAAGATTCAGTATGGAGGAATGGTCTAAGATCCCTCCCAATGTGTTCTCCAATACAGCTCAGTATTCATATTATTTATTTTATACAGTCTTTGTTGCTCATCTTTATCAAGGGATCCAATAATTACGGACCCCACTGTAAGGAAGCTCTCTAAGTCAAATATAATATAATAAAGCACCAATCAAATGTGTTGTTTACAGGTATGCTGCATACATTAGGTAGGCTATAAACATTAGGTAGGTGTTGGGATTGGTGAGCACACTTTCTCTCACGTCAGAAGACACATCTAAACCACTCAGGACACTTTGTCACCTCTCCTTTAGTGAGATTTAGACTTTAGAAAAGCTTAATTGTCCACAGAATGGACCATTATTTTCTTATCCCAAATGTACACTACAAGTATGTAGGCCTTTTCCCTCTGTTCACGTTTGCATTCACGCTATAGTCACTTACACACTCACACAGTGTGCGTCACCTGGTGTGTCTACCAAATGTTTTTTTGTTGCTCAATAACTACGATTCAAGAACATGACTAACTGAAAGTACTTGCAAAGTTGGCAGCATTGTAGGAGGATTGTGTTTAAGTGAAGAAGTACAGCTCTATTGAAAATCTTGGTCAGTTGCTAACAATGTCTAATTTCTTGCCAGTGTGTTGATGTGTGGTAAGCTGGGAGGAGAGAGGCTCCTCTGTGGTTCACAGGTAGTCCTTTCTCTGGATCTCTGTATGGTTCTGTTCAGTTTTTGGTTCAGTTCTTGTCAGCCTGACCATTCTTGTGGATGGACACTGTCACTGGCTTATCGTTTGTTTTTTACTTTGATTTGCAGCATTTTGCTAACTGGCCAAATGGGTACATGTACATTTTGTACTGTATGCATGTGTGCCTGCAGTGGTGTGCTTTTGGGTGCATGTTTAATCTTCTGTATCTAACTACAGTATATGAAGCGTTAAAAGGTGGTTACCAGTCACTGTTTTCTCTGAGCCCTACTGACATTTTAGTGCATGGTTTCTTCCTCCCCAGAGGGGTGATCAACCCAGTGCCCTCCTCAAAGGGCAGTCGGTCAGCAACACTGCAGTGTGTCCACGTGGCTGAGGGTCACACTAAAGCCGTGCTGTGTGTCGACTCTACTGATGACCTCCTCTTCACCGGCTCCAAAGGTCGACTGTCCAATATATCAATAACGTCTCATCAATAATGTCTCCTGTCTCACAGACTGAGCAAAAGTTAATCACTTGAGATAAATGTGTACTGTAACAGGACTGACAGATTGTTGTTGTTATGGGGCTGACACAGTATTGTAACGGGAAGGTAGGTAGATAGACTATAGATAGAGAGAAACTCTGCTAGTGACATATTGTGACACAGAAATTGAGACGGAAAGAGAGCTTGAGACAGAAATATAATCAGATTCTCTCGTGATGTGATTTGAGCAATATATTGTGGAGAGTAGTGCTCACCTCTTCCTCTCCTCTCCTTTCACTTCCTTCCAGACCGTACGTGTAAGGTGTGGAACCTAGTGACAGGTCAGGAGATCATGTCCCTGGCAGGTCACCCCAACAATGTGGTGTCAGTCCGCTACAGCTCCAGCCTGGTCTTCACCGTCTCCACCTCCTACATCAAGGTCTGGGATATCCGAGACTCAGCCAAGTGCATTCGCACCCTCACGTGAGTGTCAATGCCGTAACTGTTTTTGATAGGCTATACAATATGACATAACATCCATTACACCCATATGACAACTTTAATTGACACCTGCATTCATAACGCCTCCATGACAATGTTGTAAACCTGATATAAAGCTTCATAACATGTCATGACATATCAAAGTATGTCAATAGTGTCATGAGTATTCCAATCAAGGCTAAGTAATGGTAAAAATGGAAGCTACTTCTTACCAAATTGTCCTCTGTATTCTACAGGTCTTCTGGTCAGGTGACCCCGGGCGACGCCTGTGCGTCCAGCACCAACCGGACTGTCACCATCCCGGCAGGAGAGAACCAGATCAACCAGATCGCCCTCAATCCCAGCGGCTCTGTCCTTTACGCTGCCGCCGGCAACTCTGTCAGAGTCTGGGACCTAAGAAGGTATGGTACAGCAAGGCACACCAGCCGTTTTGACAAACAAAGCCAGAGAGGCCTGAAAGAAGTCACTGTCTTCAGAAAACGTCTCTCTCAGTACTATGTGCTGATCTATGATAGATCTAGAGGCTACTGCTTGTATCTATTCCAGCCATACTCAACTGACAGACCGCGGTCCGGATCCGGACCCAGAACAGGGTCAATATGGACTGCGGGTCCTGACTGAAATATATACATATATATATATACACAGTGGGGGGAAAAAAGTATTTAGTCAGCCACCAATTGTGCAAGTTCTCCCACTTAAAAAGATGAGAGAGGCCTGTAATTTTCATCATAGGTACACGTCAACAATGACAGACAAATAGAGAAAAAAAATCCTGAAAATATGATTTTTTATGAATTTATTTGCAAATTATGGTGGAAAATAAGTATTTGGTCACCTACAAACAAGCAAGATTTCTGGCTCTCACAGACCTGTAACTTCTTCTTTAAGAGGCTCCTCTGTCCTCCACTCGTTACCTGTATTAATGGCACCTGTTTGAACTTGTTATCAGTATAAAAGACACCTGTCCACAACCTCAAACAGTCACACTCCAAACTCCACTATGGCCAAGACCAAAGAGCTGTCAAAGGACACCAGAAACAAAATTGTAGACCTGCACCAGGCTGGGAAGACTGAATATGCAATAGGTAAGCAGCTTGGTTTGAAGAAATCAACTGTGGGAGCAATTATTAGGAAATGGAAGACATACAAGACCACTGATAATCTCCCTCGATCTGGGGCTCCACGCAAGATCTCACCCCGTGGGGTCAAAATGATCACAAGAACGGTGAGCAAAAATCCTAGAACCACACGGGGGGACCTAGTGAATGACCTGCAGAGAGCTGGGACCAAAGTAACAAAGCCTACCATCAGTAACACACTACGCCGCCAGGGACTCAAATCCTGCAGTGCAAGACGTGTCCAGGCCCGTCTGAAGTTTGCTAGAGTGCATTTGGATGATCCAGAAGAGGATTGGGAGAATGTCATATGGTCAGATGAAACCAAAATAGAACTTTTTGGTAAAAACTTAACTTGTTGTGTTTGGAGGACAAAGAATGCTGAGTTGCATCCAAAGAACACCATACCTACTGTGAAGCATGGGGGTGGAAACATTTCTGGGGGTGGAAACATTTCTGCAAAGGGACTAGGACGACTGATCCGTGTAAAGGAAAGAATGAATGGGGGCCATGTATCGTGAGATTTTGAGTGAAAACCTCCTTCAATCAGCAAGGGCATTGAAGATGAAACGTGGCTGGGTCATTCAGCATGACAATGATCCCAAACACACCGCCTGGGCAACGAAGGAGTGGCTTCGTAAGAAGCATTTCAAGGTCCTGGAGTGGCCTAGCCAGTCTCCAGATCTCAACCCCATAGAAAATCTTTGGAGGGAGTTGAAAGTCTGTGTTGCCCAGCGACAGCCCCAAAACATCACTGCTCTAGAGGAGATCTGCATGGAGGAATGGGCCAAAATACCAGCAACAGTGTGTGAAAACCTTGTGAAGACTTACAGAAAACGTTTGACCTGTGTCATTGCCAACAAAGGGTATATAACAAAGTATTGAGAAAGTTTTGTTATTGACCAAATACTTATTTCCACCATAATTTGCAAATAAATTCATTAAAAATCCTACAATGTGATTTTCTGGAAAAAAAAATCTCATTTTGTGTGTCATAGTTGACGTGTATCTATGATGAAAATTACAGGCCTCTCTCATCTTTTTAAGTGGGAGAACTTGCACAATTGGTGACTGACTAAATACTTTTTTCCCCCACTGTAAGACATGGCAAAATGTGCAGAATTGTAGGAAATGAATACTATACATAATAAATATATATATATCGGCCAACAAGTGGGGTGTGAACCGTTTGGGGTCGTATGGGTTGCAAGGTAAGGGGTTTGTTACTACGACGTTAAATGACAATATCCATCTGGACCTTTGCCACCTAGGACATTTGTGTGACTGGACCTTTTCAAATAGTAGTTGAGTCTATTCCCTTGCTGATCTTTTATAGAGCTTTGCCCTGTCCTCTTAGTGAGTGTTTTCATTCCAGGTTGTGTCTTGCCGTAACACAGTGCATCTCAGAAGATTGCTATCATATTAAAGGCCCACTGTTCTCCCTCTGTCTCTTGGTCAGATTTGTATCCACAGGGAAGCTGACTGGTCACCTGGGTCCGGTCATGTGTCTGACTGTGGACCAGAGTGGGAACGGTCAGGATCTGGTCATCAGCGGATCCAAGGACCATTACATCAAGGTGTGTGAGAGTGTGTTATGGTGTGTGACTGTTCTGCTTATATTCATTGTTGAAAGGATAACTGCCACACACAAAACATCTCTACGTTGTTTATTGTGTTGAAGTTTCAGTCAAAGATCTTTTTCTGCATGTTGTCTCATGTTTGCATGTGGATCACGTTGGCTCTTGTACAGTGGCTTGCGAAAGTATTCACCCTCCTTGGCATTTTTCCTATTTTGTTGCCTTACAACCTGGAATTAAAATGGGTTTGTATCATTTCATTCACACAACATGCCTACCACATTGAATATGCAAAATATATAGAAGGGGAAAAAAAAGAACTTGAGCGTGCATAACTATTCACACCCCCCCCCCCCCCCCCCAAAGTCAATACTTTGTAGAGACACCTTTTGCAGCAATTACAGCTGCAAGTCTCTTGGGGTATGTCTCTATAAGCTTGGCACATCTAGCCACTAGGATTATTGCCCATTCTTCAAGGCAAAACTGCTCCAGCTCCTTCAAGTTGGATGGGTTCTGCTGGTGTACAGCAATCTTTAAGTCATACCACAGATTCTCAATTGGAGTGAGGTCTGGGCTTTGACTAGGCCATTCCAAGACATTGAAATGTTTCCCCTTAAACCACTCAAGTGTTGCTAAAGCTGTATGCTTAGGGTCATTGTCCTGCTGGAAGGTGAACCTCCGTCCCAGTCTCAAATCTCTGGAAGACTGAAACAGGTTTCCCTCAAGAATTTCCCTGTATTTAGCGCCATCCATCATTCCTTCAATTCTGACCAGTTTCCCAGTCCCTGCCAATGAAAAACATCCCAACAGCATGATGCTGCCACCACCATGCGTCACTGTGGGGATAGTGTTCTCGGGGTGATGAGAGGTGTTGGGTTTGCGCCAGACATAGCGTGTTCCTTGATGGCCAAAAAGCTCAATTTTAGTCTCATCTGACCAGAGAACCTTCTTCCATATGTTTGGGGAGTCTCCTACATGCCTTTTGGCGAACACCAAACATGTTTGCTTATTTTTTTCTTTAAGCAATGGATTTTTTTCTGGCCACTCTTCCGTAAAGCCCAGCTCTGTGGAGTGTACGGCTGAAAGTGGTCCTATGGACAGATACTCCAATCTCCTCTGTGGAGCTTTGTTTCCTCTCTGATTAATGCCCTCCTTGCCTGGTCCGTGAGTTTTGGTGGGTGGCCCTCTCTTGGCAGGTTTGTTGTGGTGCCATATTCTTTCCATTTTTTAATAATGGATTTAATGGTGCTCCGTGGAATGTTCAAAGTTTCTGATATTTTTTTGTAACCCAACCCTGATCTGTACTTCTCCACAACTTTGTCCCTGACCTGTTTGGAGAGCTCCTTGGTTTTCATGGTGCCGCTTGCTTGGTGGTGCCCCTTGCTTTTTAATTTCACTCCACCTATTTGGACTATTTTGTGTATGTCCATTACATGAATTCCAAATAAAAATCAATTTAAATTACAGTTTGTAATGCAGGGCTGCCCAACCCTCTTCCTGGAGATCTAGAGTCCTGTGGGTTTTCAGTCCAACCTTAATTTAACACACCTGATTCTACTTATTAGCTGCTCAAGAAGACCTTAACTAGATGAATCAGATATGCTAAATTAGGGGTGGACTGATAACCTACAGGAAAGTAGATCTCCAGGAAGAGGGTTGGGCAGCCCTGTTGTAATGCAACAAAATAGAACAAACTCCAAGGGGGATGAATACTTTTGCAAGGCACTGTATTTGTTTTCTATGCAATACGAATTAGCCTAGATGATGCTTTGCTGGGACTTGACTATTGTTGTTGATGGGCTGTCTGTTTCAGCTGTTTGACGTGACAGAGGGGGCCCTGGGTGCTATCAGCCCCACACACAACTTTGAGCCTCCCCACTACGATGGCATCGAGTCCCTGGTGGTGCAGGGGGATGTCCTCTTCAGCGGCTCCAGGGACAACGGTATTAAGAAGTGGGACCTAGACCACAAAGACCTACTGCAGGTAACAGAGCGGAAAGAGAAGTGTCACCGACTATTTTGGTGAATCCAGTCATACAAAAGTTGTATTTAAATCCTAACTGGTTCTCTAGCAGATTAGTAAAAAATGTCTCACCCCATGTTCAAGAATGACCTTTCTCCCTTTATTAAGATTACTCACTTTTGGTTATTTGAAAATGAAATCATCTCCAAAATATAGCTATTTTTAAAACAAGCCATAGAAAGTTGGTTGCAATTTCAGTTTAATCCACCAGAAAAGACAGAGCAAATAATACAACAAATATTGTGGTTAAACTCAAATATACTAATTGATAAAAAAATGTATTTTTCAAAATAATGTCTAAAAAAGGTATAATCTTTGTAAATGATATCATAAATAGGACTGGTGGAGTTGTCACACATACAGCTAACAAAAATATATGAAAATGTCTGCTCTAGCCAAAATTACAACCAACTAATTGCAGCATTACCGCAAAAATGGAAGAGGCAAGTGGAAGGGGGGAAAAAGTAAGGAACTTGTCTGTTGGCCTTGCATTAAAGAGTGAAATTGTTTTTAAAAAATGGTGATAAATAAAAAAGTATACCAGTTGTATTTAAGGACCAAAAAATGGACAGCTGTGCCATATAGATTGCAAAATAATTGTGAAGAGATTTTCGATTTACCGATTCCATGGCAAAACAACGCCGGATTCAAAAATGAATTTATTTGCAAATTATGGTGGAAAATAAGTATTTGGTTAATAACAAAAGTTTCTCAATACTTTGTTATATACCCTTTGTTGGCAATGACACAGGTCAAACGTTTTCTGTAAGTCTTCACAAGGTTTTCACACACTGTTGCTGGTATTTTGGCCCATTCCTCCATGCAGATCTCCTCTAGAGCAGTGATGTTTTGGGGCTGTCGCTGGGCAACACGGACTTTCAACTCCCTCCAAAGATTTTCTATGGGGATGAGATCTGGAGACTGGCTAGGCCACTCCAGGACCTTGAAATGCTTCTTACGAAGCCACTCCTTCGTTGCCCGGGCGTTGTGTTTGGGATCATTGTCATGCTGAAAGACCCAGCCACGTTTCATCTTCAATGCCCTTGCTGATGGAAGGAGGTTTTCACTCAAAATCTCACGATACATGGCCCCATTCATTCTTTCCTTTACACGGATCAGTCGTCCTGGTCCCTTTGCAGAAAAACAGCCCCAAAGCATGATGTTTCCACGCCCATGCTTCACAGTACGTATGGTGTTCTTTGGATGCAACTCAGCATTCTTTGTCCTCCAAACACAACAAGTTAAGTTTTTACCAAAAAGTTATATTTTGGTTTCATCTGACCATATGACATTCTCCCAATCCTCTTCTGGATCATCCAAATGCACTCTAGCAAACTTCAGACGGGCCTGGACATGTACTGGCTTAAGCAGGGGGACACGTCTTGCACTGCAGGATTTGAGTCCCTGGCGGCGTAGTGTGTTACTGATGGTAGGCTTTGTTACTTTGGTCCCAGCTCTCTGCAGGTCATTCACTAGGTCCCCCCGTGTGGTTCTGGGATTTTTGCTCACCGTTCTTGTGATCATTTTGACCCCACGGGGTGAGATCTTGCGTGGAGCCCCAGATCGAGGGAGATTATCAGTGGTCTTGTATGTCTTCCATTTCCTAATAATTGCTCCCACAGTTGATTTCTTCAAACCAAGCTGCTTACCTATTGCAGATTCAGTCTTCCCAGCCTGGTGCAGGTCTACGATTTTGTTTCTGGTGTCCTTTGACAGCTCTTTGGTCTTGGCCATAGTGGAGTTTGGAGTGTGACTGTTTGAGGTTGTGGACAGGTGTCTTTTATACTGATAACAAGTTCAAACAGGTGCCATTAATACAGGTAACGAGTGGAGGACAGAGGAGCCTCTTAAATAAGAAGTTACAGGTCTGTGAGAGCCAGAAATCTTGCTTGTTTGTAGGTGACCAAATACTTATTTTCCACCATAATTTGCAAATAAATTCATAAAAAATCCTACAATGTGATTTTCTGGATTTTTTTTCTCGATTTGTCTGTCATAGTTGACGTGTACCTATGATGAAAATTACAGGCCTCTCTCATCTTTTTAAGTGGGAGAACTTGCACAATTGGTGGCTGACTAAATACTTTTTTTCCCCACTGTATATATATATATGGGGGACACAACCATCCCAGCTCTGCAGATTTTGCTGCGAAGAGACCGAATCATTAGATTTGTTTTGGTACTCTCCATATGTAGCTTGTTTTTGGTCGCAGGTCCAGGAATGGTTGAAGAAGTGCAACATTTATCTGGAGCTAACTCTGCAGATAACACTACTGGGTGATTTTAAAAGTCATAATCAATTGATCAATAATATAATAATACTTTTAGCAAAGAAAAATGTTTTACTTTACAATCTGTAGAAACTATGACAATAGAAAGGTTCATAACTTTTGTGAAACATCACAGCACAGTAAAAAAATATATGGCAAATAAAAATCTAAAATGGATGGTGTTAAGAAATAGATGGGAGGGGTTGAGTGAAGCTGAAGGGTGGGATTAAAAACAACAAGATAACTAATATAAAATATACTGTGTCCATAAAATGTATATAGGTTCATAACTTTTATGAAACATCACAGTTAAAAATATTTGGCGAAATAGAAATCAAACTGGATGGGCTTCAGAGATAGATGGGAGGGGTTGATGGTAGCTGAAGGATTGCATTAAAAACAAACAAAAGATAAGTATTGTAAAATAAATTGTGTCCGTAAAATGTATATAGTATGTATAAGCTGGAAGTAGAAGCCTAAGAGTTGATGTCCATTAGTTTACTCCAATTAGGGGATGGGGGGTAGGGTTGGAAAGTAAATAATTATGGAAAATATATTTAAAAGATATGTATGTAGTATATAGTGAGGGAAAAAAGTATTTGATCCCCTGCTGATTTTGTAAGTTTGCCCACTGACAAAGACATGATCAGTCTATAATTTTAATGGTAGGTTTATTTGAACAGGGAGAGACAGAATAACAACAACAAAATCCAGAAAAACGCATGTCAATAATGTTATAAATTCATTTTCATTTGAATGAGGGAAATAAGTATTTAACCCCTCTGCAAAACATGACTTAGTACTTGGTGGCAAAACCATTTTTGGCAATCACAGAGGTCAGACGTTTCTTGTAGTTGGCTACCAGGTTTGCACACATCTCAGGAGGGATTTTGTCCCACTCCTCTTTGCAGATCTTCTCCAAGTCATTAAGGTTTCGAGGCTGACGTTTGGGAACTCGAACCTTCAGCTCTCTCCACAGATTTTGGGATTAAGGTCTGGAGACTGGCTAGGCCACTCCAGGACCTTAATGTGCTTCTTGTTGAGCCACTCCTTTGTTGCCTTGGCCGTGTGTTTTGGGTTATTGTCATGCTGGAATACCCATCCACGACCCATTTTCAATGCCCTAGCTGAGGGAAGGAGGTTGACATTTAATCCTAGTAGAAATGCCCTGTCTTAGGTCAGTTAGGATCACCACTTTATTTTAAGAATGTGAAATGTCAGAATAATAGTAGAGAGAATGATTTATTTCAGCTTTTATTTCTTTCATAACAATCCCAGTGGGTCAGAAGTTTACATACAAGTTTACATACAATCAATTAGTATTTGGTAGCATTGTCTTTCAATTGTTTAACTTGGGTCAAACGTTTCGGGTAGCCTTCCACAAGCTTCCCACAATAAGTTGGGTGAATTTTGGCCCATTCCTCCCGACAGAGCTGGTCAGGTTTGTAGGCCTCCTTTCTCGCACATGCTTTTTAGTTCTGCCCACATATTTTCTATAGGATTGAGGTCAGGGCTTTGTGATGGCCACTCCAATACCTTGACTTTGTTGTCCTTAAGCCATTTTGGCACAACTTTGGAAGTATGCTAGGGGTCATTGTCCATTTGGAAGACCCATTTGCGACCAAAGCTTTAACTTCCTGACTGATGTATTGAGATGCTGCTTCAATATATCCACATAATTTTCCTTCCTCATGATGCCATCTATTTTGTGAAGTGCACCAGACCCTCCTGCAGCAAAGCACCCCCACAGCATGATGCTGCCACCCCTGTGCTTCACAGTTGGGATGGTGTTCTTCAGCTTGCAAGCGCCCCCCTTTTTCCTCCAAACATAACGATGGTCATTATGGCCAAACAGTTATATTTTTTCTCCAAAAAGTACGATCTTTGTCCCCATGTGCAGTTGCAAACCATAGTCTGGCTTTTTTATAGCGGTTTTGGAGCAGTGGCTTCTTCCTTGCTGAGCGGCCTTTCAGGTTATGTTGATATAGGACTCATTTTACTGTGGATATAGATACTTTTGTACCCGTTTTCTTCCAGCATCTTCACAAGGTCCTTTGCTGTTGTTCTGGGATTGATTTGCACTTTTCGCACCAAAGTACGTTCATCTCTAGGTGACAGAACGCGTCTCCTTCTTGAGCGGTATGACGGCCGCGTGGTCCCATGGTGTTTATACTTGCGTACTATTGTTTGTAAAAAAAAAATCTGAGGTATTGGCTGATTTCTTTTGATTTTCCCATGATGTCAAGCAAAGAGGCACTGAGTTTGAAGGTAGACCTTGAAATACATCCACAGGTACACCTCCAATTGACTCAAATGATGTAAATTAGCCTATCAGAAGCTTCTAAAGCCATGACATAATTTTCTGGAATTTTCCAAGCTGTTTAAAGGCACAGTCAACTTAGTGTATGTAAACTTCTGACCCACTGGAACTGTGATACAGTGAAATAATCTGTCTGTAAACAATTGTTGGAAAAATTACTTGTGTCATGCACAAAGTAGAAGTCCTAACCGACTTGCCAAAACTATAGTTTGTTAACATGAAATTTGTGGAGTGGTTGAAAAACGAGTTTTAATGACTCCAACCTAAGTGTATGTAAACTTCCGACTTCAACTGTATTTACCCCAAAATATGGGGGATTGGACATTTTGCAGACCATTACATTGATGGAAGCTACAATGGATCTGCAGTCTTAAAGCTGATCTACCCCCTAAAACAAAAAAATAAATTAAAATACCTACTGCAGGTAACAGAGGGGAAAGAGAAGTGTCACAGACTATTTTGGTGAATCGTGCTTTTGAGAAGGCGGTGCTTGATGTGTCATGCAGGGTATTTTAACTGGGAAGTTGTTTGATGAACACTGCTAACCTGCGAAATAGTTGAAGGGAAAACAGAGGCTGTATGTACTATGTCTTAACAGCAAGTGCCCAACGCCCACCGTGACTGGGTGTGTGCCCTGGGTGTGGTGCCTGGCTCTCCGGCCCTGCTGAGCGGCTGTAGAGGAGGGGTGCTCAAGCTGTGGCATGCAGACACACTGGGGGCCCTTGGGGAACTCAAGGGCCACGAGAGCCCCATCAACGGCATCTCCACCAACAGCAGCCACCTCTTCACAGCATCCGAGTAAGTCACAGAACCACACAGACAGAATGACAAGCAGACACACAAACACACACAATAGCCTGGATACAGCCATTGCAGTGACAGTTTTTCTGCTCTGTAATTTCATAGTGATCGAACAGTGAAGATCTGGCGTGCCCGGGGCGGACTCGACAGCACCTTAGACACGACGGCGGACACAGCTGATGAGGTGGCTAGTAACTGAACATGGCCGTGACCTCCCACCGTGACCCTTAACCTGGGATGCTGCTGATTAGCACTTTGACCTCTGACCCCTAACCTTGGAAACCACCCCCCACATACTGTAACCAAGACAACAGTGCAAGCCCGCAAGAATGGAATCATATCTCAGTAAAAGTAGCTGTAGTATTTCTCCAGAGTAAGGTACTGTAGGTTCATCCCTAGAAAATGTCTCCCTAGCTAAATGTATCTAGTCTAACCTGTGTGGCCGTAGCACTGGCCTGTGCAGAATAAACCCTATTTTTGCTTCGTAGACATCTTTCCGTCTCCGCTCATATTAAGTATTGAGTGAGCCCACACGGGTCATATTTACGCGCACACACACACACACACACACATATTGAGTGTTTTTCTAGGCTGGGGGAGTTACTAAAGGAGAGTGGTGCAGATATGAGATGAGAGGATGGTAAAGAGGGTGCGCTCCTACCGGGCTCTGTAGCAGGCCTTCAAGACCCGGACCTGGTTCTCCAGTGGCACAGTAAAGGAAGAGAAGCCTTTCTTCTGCATTGTAAGCAGAACCACTGTCCTCAACCCTGCTGTCCCTTACCTGATATCAACGTGGCTTTACGTGAACTGACACCCCCTTAAGTCGCTCAGTCTGGATGTTCTTTTGCTTTGAATTCAGTGCCCGCTTACCGTCGGTTACCAAATCATGAAACTTCTCTTGTACTTTATCTGTGAACTGGATATATTAACTAACACTACTCTTGTAGCCACTAGCAAAACACCTAAAGTCAGTCACCTCTCTGCTTCCTTAGTCTTTACACCTAGTCCTTACTTACTCTCTATGTGCAAATACAATGTCTCTTTGAGGAAACACTGACTCTCTTCACTCGTCCACTACTCGTCATTTAGCAATGTATGATTCTCCACTTGATGCTGTTCCCTCTAATAAGTTATGACCTAACCAAATGCCTGTGCTGCTAAGTTGTTTGCTCACCTTCGACCCATAGAAGGCTTCTGTTCTGGACTCCAGGTGAGGTACACCTGGTAACTGTAGGTAAATACTGTATATAAGAGTCTAAAGTGTGAGGAAGAGAGGAGCCTTTTATCTGTGCCTGTACTGTAAAGCTCTCCCAATCCTGGTCTGGGAAGACCCCGGTGTATGGTGGTTTATCCTGTGTGTCAGTTTTACAGTACATTTCAACTGGCTTATTTGTGATTGGTGTGAGCTGAACTAACTGTCAAACGATGTATTGGATCCGCTGTCTGCTGGGACTATTGAATGTTAAAGTAGTAGGAGCAGCAGCCAACACAATATGTATATATAAACAGTATTATACGAAGAAATCAACTGAAGGTTTGTTTTGTTGATCATCAAATCTCACTCCACAAGGGAAACAAAGGACCAGAATTAGGAGACAGTGTTTCTAACAGCACTCATCTCTTTTGAACAGAGCCCCTCTCCCTGGCCCTGAGTCCGCCTGTTATGTTTCCTGGTCTGCATCCAAAATGGCACCTATTGCAGAGTGCACTATTTTTGACCAGGACCCTATGGATGCTGTTCAAAAGTCATGCACTATAAAGGGAATAGGGTGCCATTTCAGATGCAACCCTGTTCTGATTTTATTTGATTGTTCTGTTGAAAGAAGCTGTATGTATTCAAACCAGTCCTGGGTTCCCCTCTGGAGTTTTGCTGTAGATGTCAGTCCATAAAATGGCTGACTCTGTACTGTAGAAGTTCTAATGTCAGATGCCTGGTGAAATAAATGTAATCTGTCAGAAACCAACAAGTACCCTGTGTGTGGTCACCTGGGTCTGTTCCTTTTGAGGGAGGGGTGGGGATTTGAAGATCGGAAGTGTGGGGAGTGAGGGGAGAGCACTGATGAAGAAGGGCACTACAGTGATTGGGGCTGTAGTATTCACTGATCCAACTAACCTGATTGGATAGGTGAAAGCAAGGTTTCCACCTCGTAGCATTCACCTACACGAATAAAAGCAAAGCCTGCTCAAAGGAAGGAAGCAAGGTTTCAAAATATGAATTTTCAAAATACACTGTAGGCTAACCAGATGTATCCACTAGATGGCAGTAGTGTAATTTGTAATTCATTACATTTACATTTACATTTTAGTCATTTAGCAGACACTCTTATCCAATTCATCAACAAGCAAAGCATATGAATGGTTGTACAGCTAGGTCAAAACACATGCATGAACAGGAGGTAAAACAACTACAGAAGAGCTTAAGGGTGTGTCCCAAATGGCAACATATTCCCTATATAGTGCACTACTTTTGACCAGTGCACTAGCAAATGGGGTCAAATTTGGGATGCACTTTAATGTCTCCCTGGGCTCACAATAACATTTTGGAACATAAACATCCAAGTGAAAACTGTTATTTACTTGTAGCTTATCCCTTGTAACTTATCTGGTTCTCCAGAACTAAATCTCAGACAATTTTCTAACTAACTATTGTTGTAATAAACAGAAATCCGTACTGGACTAGATCAATGATTGCTGTACTGTAAGGGCTGGTTTGCATGAGAATCTCCATTGAGAATGCTTTTTAGTCCAGAACTATAGGCTTTAGCTGTGTCTAGGAAACCGGCCCATAATGTTTTCGACATGTTTATAACTGATGGTATTTGTGATATGGAATTCAATTTCAGGGTCTTTGGTGAATATTTTAGAGCTACAGAGTGAAACAGAGGACTCAGAATTTCCAGTTCTGTGACTATCAGTTTGTAGTAAGCCCTTTGCAAGAGAAAATACATGAAATTGTACTGTCAATTATTTAATAGCTGTGGTTTTGCTCAGGAGGATTTTATCTCAGAATATTGTTTAATTTGTATCATGGTCTTGCAGACTAGAACACATCAGTGCAGGTGTCTTGACAATTGAGCTAGAAAAAAAATATGGTTATGTTTATGTTATAGAAGACCAAGGAGTTTTGTAATCATACAAATAATCCATGTTAAAATCAATAGTTACAAGACAAAGTGTATATTGTTTTCAATTTAATAATCTGTTCATAATGACTAATCTTTTGTGCAAAAGATAGTGCATTTTGCACATGACAAAGTCAACAAGCACTGCAATTAGTGTAGGCTGCACCTATTTCAGCAGTGCACTGTTTGGATGCTGCCATTTGTTGGAGTGGATGACCATGCTCAGGTAGGCTACAGTTTGAAGTGATTTGTTTTGACAATAAGATAAAAACATAATGGGCTGGTTGTGTTCATGCCAAATGAAAAGGTAATATAAATTAATTGTTTGCCGTTAAATTACATGTATTTCACTGCATCGCATTGCTAGCTGTGCCACTAGAGATCCTGGTTCGAGTCCAGGCTCTGTCGCAGCCGGCCGCGACCGGGAGACCCATGGTGCGCACAATTGGCCCAGCGTTGTCCAGGTTAGGGGAGGGTTTGGCCGGCAGGGGTATTCTTGTCCCATCAGGCACTAGCATCTCCTGTGGCGGGCCGGGCGCAGTGCACGCTGACACGGTCGCCAGGTGTACGGTGTTTCCTCCGACACATTGGTGTGGCTGGCTTCCGGGTTAAGCGGGCATTGCGTCAAGAGCAGTGCGGCTCGTCTGGGTAGTGTTTCGGAGGACGGACGGCTCTCGACCTTCGCCTCACCCGAGTCCGTACAGGAGTTGCAGCGATGGGACAAGACTGTAACTACCAATTGGATACCACGAAATTGGGGAGAAAAAGGGGTAAAATAATAATAAATAAATTTAAAATATATATATTTTTTACATGTCTTTACTATTAGGCCCATAAAAAATATTTATAGGTCCCATGAAAAAATGTGAGACCCCTGAATGGCATGGTATAAAGCACGGAATGAATCGCACCCCTGCTAAAACACAAAATCCAGATTGTGTCTTTAAAGTGATTGAATAGTGTCGTAATGTACAGTGGGGGGGGGGGGGGGGGGGGTATTTAGTCAGCCACCAATTGTGCAAGTTCTCCCACTTAAAAAGATGAGAGAGGCCTGTAATTTTCATTACATTTACATTTTAGTCATTTAGCAGACACTCTTATCCAGAGCTACTTACAGTTAGTGAATACATATATTTTTTTTATACTGGTCCCCCGTGGGAATCGAACCCACAACCCTGGCGTTGCAAACGCCATGCTCTATCAACTGAGCTACATCCCTGCCGGCCATTCCCTCCCCTACCCTGGACGACGCTGGGCCAATTGTGCGCCGCCCATGAGTCTCGGACCGGCGGCGACAGAGCCTTGATTCGAACCAGGATCTCTAGTGGCACAGTTAGCACTGCGATGCAGTGCCTTAGACCACTGCGCCACTCAGGAGTACAGGATAGGGGAGGGAATGGCCGGCATGGATGTAGCTCAGTTGATAGAGTCAGGAGTTTCATCATAGGTACACGTCAATTATGACAGACAAATTGAGGAAAAAAATCCAGAAAATCACATTGTAGGAATTTTAATGAATTTATTTGCAAATTATGGTGGAAAATAAGTATTTGGTCACCTACAAACAAGCAAGATTTCTGGCTCTCACAGACCTGTAACTTCTTCTTTAAGAGGCTCCTCTGTCCTCCACTCGTTACCTGTATTAATGGCACCTGTTTGAACTTGTTATCAGTATAAAAGACACCTGTCCACAACCTCAAACAGTCACACTCCAAACTCCACTATGGCCAAGACCAAAGAGCTGTCAAAGGACACCAGAAACAAAATGGTAGACCTGCACCAGGCTGGGAAGACTGCATCTGCAATAGGTAAGCAGCTTGGTTTGAAGAAATCAACTGTGGGAGCAATTATTAGGAAATGGAAGACATACAAGGCCACTGATAATCTCCCTCGATCTGGGGCTCCACGCAAGATCTCACCCCGTGGGGTCAAAATGATCACAAGAATGGTGAGCAAAAATCCCAGAACCACACGGGGGGACCTAGTGAATGACCTGCAGAGAGCTGGGACCAAAGTAACAAAGCCTACCATCAGTAACACACTACGCCGCCAGGGACTCAAATCCTGCAGTGTCAGACGTGTCCCCCTGCTTAAGCCAGTACATGTCCAGGCTCGTCTGAAGTTTGCTAGAGTGCATTTGGATGATCCAGAAGAGAATTGGGAGAATGTCATATGGTCAGATGAAACCAAAATATAACTTTTTGGTAAAAACTAAACTCGTCGTGTTTGGAGGACAAAGAATGCTGAGTTACATCCAAAGAACACCATACCTACTGTGAAGCATGGGGGTGGAAACATCATGCTTTGGGGCTGTTTTTCTGCAAAGGGACCAGGACGACTGATCCGTGTAAAGGAAAGAATGAATGGGGCCATGTATCGTGAGATTTTGAGTGAAAACCTCCTTCCATCAGCAAGGGCATTGAAGATGAAACGTGGCTGGGTCTTTCAGCATGACAATGATCCCAAACACACCGCCCGGGCAACGAAGGAGTGGCTTTGTAAGAAGCATTTCAAGGTCCTGGAGTGGCCTAGCCAGTCTCCAGATCTCAACCCCATAGAAAATCTTTGGAGGGAGTTGAAAGTCCGTGTTGCCCAGCGACAGCCCCAAAACATCACTGCTCTAGAGGAGATCTGCATGGAGGAATGGGCCAAAATACCAGCAACAGTGTGTGAAAACCTTGTGAAGACTTACAGAAAACGTTTGACCTGTGTCATTGCCAACAAAGGGTATATAACAAAGTATTGAGAAACTTTTGTTATTGACCAAATACTTATTTTCCACCATAATTTGCAAATAAATTCATAAAAAATCCTACAATGTGATTTTCTGGAATTTCTTTTCTCATTTTGTCTGTCATAGTTGACGTGTACCTATGATGAAAATTGCAGGCCTCTCTCATCTTTTTAAGTGGGAGAACTTGCACAATTGGTGGCTGACTAAATACTTTTTTTCCCCACTGTAAATGCCAGATTTGCTCAAGTAGGCTAATTCTGTCTCATATCAGGAGACAATAGATCGAGACCCTGGCTATAGCCTAGGCTTCAGCAACTGCAACTGAAGATAAGACGTTTTGGCAATCAATCAGCTATTGGGCACCCTGATTAAAACGCTCATTCGGGCCTAAACTATACTCAACAAAAATAGAAACGCAACAATTTCAACGATTCTACAGAGTTACAGTTCATATAAGGACATCAGTCAATATTAATTAATTGCACCCTATTCTATGGATTTCACATGACTGGGCAGGGGCACAGCCATGGGTGGGCCTGGGAGGGCATAGGCCCACCCACTGGGGAGCCAGGCCCAGCCAATCAGAATTCGTTTTCCCCCACAAAAGTGCTTTATTACAGACAGAAATACTCCTCAGTTTCATCAGCTGTCCAGGTGGCTGGTCTCAGACGATCCCGCAGGTGAAGAAGCCGGATGTGGAGGTCCTGGACTAGCATGGTTACACGTGGTCTGCAGTTGTGAGGCCGGTTGGATGTACTGCCAAATTCTCTAAAACGACATTGGATGGGGCTTATGGTGGAGAAATGAACATTCAATTCTCTGGCAACAACTCTGGTGGACATTCCTGCAATCAGCAAGCCAATTGCACGCTCCCTCAAAACTTGGGACATCTGTGGCATTGTGTTGTGTGACAAAACTGCACATTTTTAGAGTGGCCTTTTATTGTCCCCAGTACAAGGTGCACCTGTGTAATGATCATGCTGTTTAATCAGCTTATTGAAAAGCCACACCTGTCAAGTGGATAGATTATCTTTGCAAATGAAAAATGCTCACTAACAGGAATTCAAACAAATGTGTGCACAGAATTGGAGAGAAATAGGCTTTTTGTACATATGGAAAATGTCTGAGATGTTTTATTTCAGCTCCAGAAACATGGGACCAACACTTTACATGTTGCGTTTATATTTGTGTTCAGTATATAATCTAATTTGACACAGCTGTTCATATTTTAGCTCACTGGGCCGCTGCACCTGGTAGAGAAATCAGTCACTTAATAGAGGGAATATCTCAGGTGCTCTCTTTGCGCCATCTGCATCACTTTGGCTGCGTTTAACACAGGCAGCCCAATTCTGATATTCTTTCCACTAATTGGTCTTTTGACCAATCAGAACTTTTTACATCAGATATTTTTCAAAGCTGATCTGATTGGTCAAAAGACCAATTAGTTGAAAAAATATTAAAGTATGCCTGTATAAAAGCAGCCTCTCATAATAATATATAATATGCCATTTAGCAGACGCTTTTATCCAAAGCGACTTACAGTCATGTGTGCAAAATTTTTTACGTATGGGTGGTCCCGGGGATCGAACCCACTACCCTGGCGTTACAAGCGCCATGCTCTACCATGTGTCATCGCTGTCTAAACCCAAGCAAGCGGATAGCTGTGTGTGCTGGCGTGCAATATGATTTAATCAACCTAATAAATACTATTTTTAGACGAAACCAGGTGGACATAGGACACCCAATGTCTGAGAGAAAATTGTGGTTCGTTTAGAAAGGTCTAAAATTCGCTAGCATCCCAGTGCATTGAAAACCAGGTGGGCCATTATGCCTTTGTACTGTCACAGAAATTAGTTCCTTGAGGTTTTTATTATTAATTTGCACAACAGGAGGTTGGTGGTAATGGCTGGAGCTTTTAGGTGGAATGGTATCAAATACACCAAACACATAGCTTCCATGTGTTTTGATGCCATTCCATTTGCTCCGTTCCAGCCATTATTATGAGCCGTCTTCCCCTCAGCAGGCTCCACTGAATTTTGCACTGTATTGTCATTCAATAGATATTCAAAGCACAGGCATTACAATGATTTAGCATATTAATTAGCTACAATCCCTGAATTGGTTAGACTTAATTTATGCAATAAAGCATTTGCAAATTGCAATGGTTCCCTAAAAGCATCAGCACAGACTAGGCCCTATACCATAATGTGTTATCTTATTTAGTTGTTTATTTTTGTAATTGTATAAGACTTCCCAAAGCTGAGATCTGCACATGTCTAGGCTGCCCTTCTCGCGGGCGTCACGCCCTCGCACTATCAGTAGCCTAGTCTATACCTCGCTCTCAACTCTGCATACTAGCATGAGATGAATCTTTCAACCGTTACACATGACGCTGGGCAGTTGTGGGCGATACTCTTCTTGCAGCTGGCTGGGCGACACTCCCGCAGCCTTATGCAACAGCGACCCTAAGCAGCGCACGGTTTTTAATGGTTTATTTCTTTCATGCGACCGAAGAAGGACCGTTTAACTGGAGATTTCGACGATGAGTAGCTTTATGAATATGGCGTGTATTGGAGACTTTGACCCATTCACCGCTGCCATTCCAGCCACCAAAGTTGAGCTCACGGTGTCCTGTAGGTGAGTAGAGGGGCACTTTAAGCATTCCCTTCGCATTGTTGTCAATTGAGTAACGGAATGCTTGCGGTATAGGCTAAGATTGTGGAGAACGGTGGATATGTTTGGTAAACTGCTAAATATAAATTGTTTAGTCTGAAATTAGTCAAGTTTTCAACACATTTCCGTCAAGCATTCTCGCACTAACGATTCCTTATTTTTTAGATTTGGCCAGAAAACTGACATCTATTAGGCAATAAACATTTCATTTAATCTATATATTTTTATTGAATTTAATATTACCATTATCATGATAGTCCATTGCTTTACTGGCTGATCAATCACGGTTAGCCTACATTTGAGGGATGTTTAAATCAAGTTTATGACGGTGGAACGATGTGTGTGCTATTAGTGTTTCCTAACGTGACAGCTCGCGCTTACTTTTGTGCTCGGCTCCACTTAATTAACTAAACAAACCACCGTCCAGAAAATGCATGCTGCTGCTGAGAGATAATTTATGGATGCTTTACCATCTCTCCGGAGAGATGTGACTAACAGTCAGTTACAACTCTAGTAGCAAACAGCAGCTGGCTGGCTCGGGATCCTGAGTTGCGTAAGAGCCACGCGCCTCTGTCAGCCTGGGGTCTCCGCGGTGGTCCTTCTACCAGAGAGAGCTGATGCTCCGGCGGCTGGTCGGTCTCACAGTCAGTCACAACACTCACAGTGGAAATAATTTAACACACACACACACAGAGAGAGACGTGGATTCTCCCAGTGCGGAGTTGGTGCACACCTGAGATTGTGGCGCTGAAGGTTGTCTGCTTCAATGATGCTCAGTCTCCGATAACCGCTATTACAGCTTGTTTGATTAAGAGCCAGATCGCAATTTACTGGGAGGGAATAGTCCAAAATAGGGGAGGGTTGTCAAACTTTTATTTTTCTTTGTGGAGGGTTGTGTGTCTTTTGTTGGGCACCGGGGATGATAGTGCGTTTTTTTTCCTGGTTAACATTCGCTCTTTTGCAGGTTTAGGCTATATAATTTATTCCATCCTAGCCAAATTTCCTCATCTGGTTGCATGAGCCTCCCCTATATCAAGGTGTTTTGGTACTTATCTTATGCACTACGCTTTTCCATGTGGTAACTTTTACTATACCACAGGTCAGTAAAGTCTAGCTGTCTATCCTGCCCTCTATCCACCATTCACAGTGACAATAGTGGTAGGTGGATCGTTTAGCCAGATCTACAATAGGCTAAATAGGAATCATACTACATATAAAGGCATTCAAAGCTGCATCAATTTTCAATATGAATTGACAAGAACAAATGGGAATAAATGATAGGTAATGGACAGGCCAGGTGCATCATTGGGTATGAAAGAACAGTGAAGACATGAAACACACAGCTCAGAAAGCTCCCCTATTGATCTTGTTTAGGGACAATACAGTTATCCTACCTAGACTATAGAATGAATAATTGCATTATTGTTTTCAAGTGAGTACAAAATTATACTCTAGGCTGCAGTGAAAATGTAATTTGAATAACAGTGCAAAAGCCCTGTAATTTGAATGTTTCATTCGATTTGGATCCATTGTGGGTCTACTCTCGACAGTTAATAAGGTCTAGAAAGGCACAGTAGCAGGCCAGTCTGTGTATTTTACGTTCTGATACTGAATGCGCTGTCTGTTGCAGATCATCATTCTCCCAAGTCGTCCTATAATAATGTGGCCACATATGCTCTTGGCAGTCCCAGTTATTCAGGGAAGCTTAAAATGCTCTGCCTCCTCTCCAATCCGTGCGGCTATTCCTCACGCACCTAGAACCTAATGCTTCAATATAGCCTAAATATTAATCATTTAACTTTTAAAATGCATTACCTTTCATATGTGGCATAAACACAACCAGTCACAATGTTTTAATCTGATTAGGCTACTTTAAAAGAATCCTGTAGGCATGCGCACGTTCATCCAAAATATAATTCCAGCATCCTCAAAATGGCTTGACATTAACCAGGTTTCCATCCAAACTTTTTATGCAGTAAAGTAGCCTACCTGTCGGATAAAAAACGTCACGACATGGAGTTGCATACAGTTTATTAGACTACAGATGAAATAAATGATGATGAACTTCACAGGGTGGTGAAAGTGCACAGTGATGAGGTTGATGCTCGTTTCAATAAATATGGAGGGTCTTATTCTGGTGACATGATGATCGATGCTTGGTTGCCATTTGCAAATAAAAATAATGTATTTTGTCCAAAGTAATCAGATACAGTGCAGGCTATACCTGTATCTGCAATCTGTTGGCTAGAGCGCATGTGCCAATACCAGAGTGGGCACATTCGCTATACCTATGCAACATTTTTTGTGAGAAAAACCGTCGGTAGGCATAGAGTTGAAAATGCAATGGAAACCCATTTAAATTGTATTTTTTATTCGGTACATATGAATTTAACCTCAAGTTATTTTTATGTGTGCTATGTATTACGCACAGACTCTGCAATAAGTCAATTTGATGGAAACACAACTCTGATGGGAAAATGCACAAGGGTTTCCCTTAGCCGGTAGGCTAATTGCAGCTTTTGGCCAATAAAAAAATTAAAAGCCAATAAATAAAATTGTAGCAAGCCAAATTGTCCAGGAGAGACTGGGTGTTTCTCAATATGCATACCACTGTGCTCCACACTCTCATGCTCCGAGTGCATTCTCCGACCACGTTCTCTTGAGTACATTCCTGTGAGGACGAGAGTGTGGAGAACGCATAAAACATTACATTTGAGAAGCACTCACACTCCCCCTACTGTATTACCTCACGCTTCACCCCATTCACTGAACCTTCTTCCAGCCAGGACAATTGCAACAATAGACGAAACAAGATATACACAAAGCAAAAGTTTTACTTCATAATTATCAGCTAGATATGTGAATCGTAAATATCTAGCTAGCCAGCTAGTTAAACAGGCAAAAATGACATAAAACTAATGTTATGCAAAGTAGATGTACATTTTTAATGGGTAGCTACCAATTCTTCGTGGGTAGCTAGCTAGCCAGTCAGCCCTATTGACTTACTATGGACATACCCATTCACTGAACCATCTTCCAGCCAGGACAACAATGGCAATAGAGATTAAACAAGATATACACAAAGCAACTGTTTTACTTCATAACTATCCGCTAGCTATATGTGAATCGTAATAATGTAGCTAACCAGATAGTTTAACAGGCAAAAATGACCTAGATGTAAATTATTTGTGGGTAGCTAGCTAACAATTATTTGTGGCTATCGGGCTAGATAACAGTACAAAAAAAAAAAAATGTATGCACTCACTAACTGTAAGTCACTCTGGATAAGAGCGTCTGCTAAATGACTAAAATGTAAATGTAAATGTAGTAGCTATCCAGTTAGCCCTATTGACTTATTATGGGCGTGCGATCTACGGTACGTAGGCAGGTAAACACGCCAAAATTAACACAGCATGTATTTATCAAAGTATCAAGATGAAATATTGTAGTCAGGCACAGGGGTGCAACTTTGGTTTTAGAAGTGGGGGGGACATAATTATATATATTTTATAAATCCAGTCGGATAAACACTCCAAACAGCCTACCCGACCGCTCGGAGGCGTCCGCATGGTTCTAAAGCACACCGTTGCCTCGTTTTGAATCACATTCCAATTATAAAACTGAGGGGGACAAAAATGAAATTTCAGAATGTGGGGGGGACATGTCCCACCCCCCATCCCCAGTGAAAGTTGCGCCCCTGGTCAGGCAACATATGAGGTGTGAATAGGCAACGTTTCATTCTGAAGTCGGTGTGTATTTTCTCTGGCTTCAGCTCAAATAATGGTTTCAAGATATTTATTTCCGTGGTTGCGTCATATTTCTTTGCATACCTTCCGTTGAAGCTTGCATCGATGCATGCTTCAAAATATGTACAAATGGAATACGCATTCGAGAAGTGCCCTCCGTGCTCCTTTTCGCATACTTTGATTTGAACTCATACTCTGACCCTCCCATGCTCCAATTTGCATGCTCAGAGCACGGTAGAATGCATTTTGAGAAACACCCACTATCTGTCACAGCCTACACCCCAAATTCGCATTTCAGCACCATTCTCTTATGCTTTGCATGCACGTGAGCCTGCTGCTTTGCTTAGGAAAGAGCGAGCGAGAGAGGAGCCATGGCCACTGTTGATTGTGAAGATGGAGGCTTTTTTCATTGAAGTAAAACAAAAAATAGAGGAAAAATAGAATGCCTATAGTGAAAAGCCTACAAGGGGAATTTTAATGTTTTCATATTGTAGTGGAAGATGAGAAGAACGTTGGCATGGCCAAATGCAGGCTACTGTGCAACTCCCTATTCAAGTAGGATGCAATTTGGGAACATACATGTATTTATAATCATTTGTTTTATTATTGTGTATTGCCTATTAAATGAAACCAGTTTGTTTAATATGCAAAACCTGTTTTGTTTAATTCTGTTGAGACATTTTCATTGGCTAAATTATATTCAATCTGTCTTTTTAATTGTGTGCTCCATATTTAGTTTAAGATGGGTTATAAGTTGTAAAATAAGTAACATTAGCCTATTTCTGTCATTTGTTGGGTAGGGTAGGCACTTACCTTTGTTGGTAATTGCTGCAATATAGCCTGTTCAGAACATTTGTGAGGGTTTAAACCATATTTCATTCTGTTTTCTTTGGCCAATTATGTTCCAACTGTAATGCTGTGTTTGCTGCAATATAATAGCCTGCTCCTATAGTCCCTATAAACAATTGCTTGATTTACTTTTGATATTGTCCTAATAAAGTTTAAAGCTTTTGTGATGGTGTGGTGTGGCTATTATTAAGCTTTAGCTACTGCAGGCCTATGATATGAAGGCAGTGCGCACCAGCTCTCCAACTGACTCCAACAGTTGAACTTGAGGTGAGGAAGGATGTTTCAGGTCTACCAGTTACTCCTATAATCTAGCAATATAATGCTTATCTTTATACAAAATATTAGGATTAGAAATTAACAAATTAACCTCCTTCTGCAAGTCTGTCTGTATAGCAGACGCAGTAGCCATCTGCATAGAGATATGCCGGCGACATACATTTCTTTCTCTCTCTATCTCTCGGGATAGGCCTAAGCTTCTCTTCCTTATTTTTTTTATATACACAGTGCCTTCGGAAAGTATTCAGACACCTTCACTTTTCCCACATTTTGTTACATTACAGCCTTATTCTAAGATTTATTAAATACATATACAGTACCAGTCAAAAGTTTGGACACCTACTCATTCAAGGGTGTTTCTTTATTTGTACTATTTTTTACATTGTAGAATAATAGCGAAGACATCAAAACTATGAAATAACACATATGGAATCATGTAGTAACCAAAAAAGTGTTAAACAAATCAAAATATATTTTATATTTGAGATTCTTCAAATAACCACAGTTTGCCTTGATAACAGCTTTGCGCACTCTTGGCATTTTCTCAACCAGCTTCACCTGGAATGCTTTTCCAACAGTCTTGTTAAGTTCCCACATATGATGAGCACTTGTTGGCTGCTTTTCCTTCACTCTGCCGTCCAACTCATCCCAAACCATCTCAATTGGGTTGAGGTCGGGGGATCTGATGCAGCACTTAATCACTCTCCTTCATGGTATAATAGCTCTTACACAGCCTGGAGGTGTGTTAGGTCATTGTCCTGTTGAAAAACAAATGATAGTCCCACTAAGCCCAAACCAGATGGGATGGTGTATCGCTGCAGAACGCTGCGGTAGCCATGTTGGTTAAGTGTGCCTTGAATTCTAAATAAATCACACAGTGTCACCAGCAAAGCATCCCCACACCATAACACCTCCTCCTCCATGCTTTACGGTGGGAAAAACACATGCAGAGATCATCTGTTCACCCACACCGCGTCTCACAAAGCCACGGCGGGCTATCTTCTGTATACCTTGTCACAACACAACTGATTGGCTCAAACGCATTAAGAAGGAAATACATTCCACAAATTAACTTTTAAGAAGGCACACCTATTAATTGAAATGCATTCCAGGTGACTACCTCATGAATCTGGTTGAGAGAATGCCAAGAGTGTGCAAAGCTGTCATCAAGGCAAAGGGTGGCTATTCTCAAATATGAAATAGATGTTTACATTTTACATTTACGTCATTTAGCAGACGCTCTTATCCAGAGCGACTTACAAATTGGTAGATGTTGATTTGTTTAACACTTTTTTGGTTATTACATGATTCCATTTGTGTTATTTCATAGTTTTGATGTCTTCACTATTATTCTACAATGTAAAAAAAAAAAAAAAAACCTTGAATGAGTAGGTGGGTCCAAACTTATGACTGGTAGTGTATATACACACATATATATTTTTTATATTATTATCATACAGTGGACACCTAAGCCTAAAGGCCTATACATGCAATGGCCTGATGCATTTAGTGCTCAAATCTCTGACAGCTGAACAGTGAGGTGGACAATCATTGTTTTAGGAAAGTAGCCTAAAAAACAAAACAAATAGGCTGTAAAGCTTTGCATATGCTACACATTGAAACACAAGGAATAGTGTTTTTGTAATTTGTTATAGGCTCATTTGGCCAATATCCCTCGTTTATTGATCGCGCTGGCTGCGCCAAGTCAGATCTGAATGCATATTGGATGTCCGGTAAATTTCTTCCAGGTCACGTTGTCGGGCGCCAAATTTTCTTTGGCAAGTGCGCCAGTCGTGTGTTACTTTGATTATGCCTGCACATCATGGTTCACCAGCAGCCCCAAACATCTAAAGAATAAGATATAGATTAGGGTTGAATATTTTCTGTGTATTTTACAAATGTTCCATTCTGAGAATAATCACTTTTCTCCCCAAACCGTAAGTGTCATTCTAAAGCATACAGTATGTCTGGATTTGATTAGAGCTTTGATCAGCATGAAAATTAAAGTCTGATGCTACCTGAGCCTGATGAGCCATACATCAAATACATGTTATAATCCTTACATTAAATACATTTTATGAGCCCAAGCCCAAAAAAGGCCAAATTATCATTATCTTCTTATTTTATTTATTTTTTACCAATACATAAACTATGAGAGGCTACCACACATTACCCACGACAGAAAAACATAAAAGCCCATAGATGTAGCTATGCTCTCCTGGGTAAGTAAATGAAAAAAGCTCCAGTAAGCTAATCTTTTTGCGTGTGGACTCTATTACTGTATTGTACTGTATGCGTTCTTTTATCTGTTTTTTGAAACTGGTTTTATTGCTAACTTGAGTTACCTGGGGTGGCAAAGTTCGATGTAGTCATAGCTCTATTTAATACTGTGCGTTTCCCAGCCTCTGTTCTGGATGTGGGGACTGTGAAGAAACCTCTGGTTGCATGTCTTGGGTTGTACTGATGAGTGTCCGAACTGTGTGCCAACTGCTTGAACAGACAGTTCGGTACCTTCAACACACCAATACTTCGCACAAAGACCAATAGGGATGCAGTCAATCTCGCCTCAACTTTGAGCCATGAGAGACTGACATGCATGTTACTGACTCTTTCCCTCCATGTACATCTAAGTGTAATACATGCTGCTTTGTTCTGGACCAACTGCAATTTACCTATGTCCTTCTTTGCTGCACATGACCACACAGCTGGCCAGTAGTCCAGGTGCGACAAAACTAGGGCCTGTAGGACCTGTCTGGTCGACTGAGATGTCAAGAAGCAAGACCCTGTCATGGACAGACCTCTTCCTATTTTAGCAACCATTGAGTCTATGTTTTGACCATGACAGCTTGCTATCTAGGGTTACACCCAGAAGTTTAGTCTCCTCAACTTGCTCAATAGCCACATTATTCAATAATGGATCTAAACGAGGTTTAGAATTAAGCGAGCGATTTGTCCCAAAAATTATGCTTTTAGTTTTTGAGATATTTAGCAACAGCCTATTGCTAATTACCCATTCTAAAACTAACTGGATCTCTATGTTAAGTGTCTCAAAAAGTATTTGATCCCCTGCTGATTTTGTACGTTTGCCCACTGACAAAGACATGATCAGTCTATAATTTTAATGGTAGGTTTATTTGAACAGTGAGAGATAGAATAACAACAACAAAATCCAGAAAAACTCATGTCAAAAATGTTATAAATTGATTTGCATTTTAATGAGGGAAATAAGTATTTGACCCCTCTGCAAAACATGACTTAGTACTTGGTGGCAAAACCCTTGTTGGCAATCACAGAGGTCAGACATTTCTTGTAGTTGGCCACCAGGTTTGCACACATCTCAGGAGGGATTTTGTTCCACTCCTCTTTGCAGATCTTCTCCAAGTCATTAAAGGTTTTGAGGCTGACGTTTGGCAGCTCGAACCTGCAGCTCCCTCCACAGATTTCTGTAGGATTAAGGTCTGGAGACTGGCTAGGCCACTCCAGGACCTTAATGTGCTTCTTCTCGAGCCACTTCTTTGTTGCCTTGGCCGTGTGTTTTGGGTCATTGTCATGCTGGAATAGCCATCCACGACCCATTTTCAATGCCCTGGCTGAGGGAAGGAGGTTCTCACCCAAGATTTTACAGTACATGGCCCCGTCCATCGTCCCTTTGATGCAGTGAAGTTGTCCTGTCCCCTTAGCAGAAAAACACCCCCAAAGTATAATGTTTCCACCTCCATGTTTGACGGTGGGGATGGCATTCGTCCTCCTCCAAACACGGCGAGTTGAGTTGATGCCAAAGAGCTCGATTTTGGTCTCATCTGACCACAACACTTTCACCCAGTTCTCCTCTGAATCATTCAGATGTTCATTGGCAAACTTCAGACGGGTCTGTATATGTGCTTTCTTGAGTAGGGGGACCTTGCGGGCGCTGCAGGATTTCAGTCCTTCACGGCGTAGTGTGTTACCAATTGTTTTCTTGGTGACTATGGTCCCAGCTGCCTTGAGATCATTGACAAGATCCTCCCGTGTAGTTCTCGGCTGATTCCTCACCGTTCTCATGATCATTGCAACTCCACGAGGTAAGATCTTGCATGGAGCCCCAGGCCGAGGGAGATTGACAGTTATTTTGTGTTTCTTCCATTTGCGAATAATCGCACCAACTGTTGTCACCTGCTCCCCAAGCTGCTTGGCGATGGTCTTGTAGCCCATTCCAGCCTTGTGTAGGTCTACAATCTTTTCCCTGACATCCTTGGAGAGCTCTTTGGTCTTGGCCATGGTGGAGAGTTTGGAATCTGATTGATTGCTTCTGTGGACAGGTGTCTTTTATACAGGTAACAAACTGAGAATAGGAGCTCCTAATTACATTACATTTTAGTCATTTAGCAGACGCTCTTATCCAGAGCGACTTACAGTTAGTGCATACATTATTTTATATTTATCATACTGGCCCTCCGTGGGAATCGAACCCACAACCCTGGCGTTGCAAACGCCATGCTCTACCAACTGAGCTACATCCCTGCCGGCCATTCCCTCCCTTACCCTGGACGACGCTGGGCCAATTTTGCGCCGCCCCATGGGTCTCCCGGTCGCGGCCGGCTACGACAGAGCCTGGATTCGAACCAGGATCTCTAGTGGCACAGCTAGCCTTAGACCACTGCGCCACTTTGGAGTCCAATCTCAGCTCGTTACCTGTATAAAAGACACCTGAGAGCCAGAAATCTTTCTGATTGAGAGGGGGTAAAATACTTATTTCCCTGATTAAAATGCAAATCCATTTATAACATGTGTTTTTCTGGATTTTTTTGTTGTTATTCTGTCCCTCACTGTTCAAATAAACCTACCATTACAATTATAGACTAATCATTTCTTTGTCAGTGGGCAAACGTACAAAATCAGCAGGGGATCAAATACTTTTTTCCCTCACTGTACTTAGAAAGAGGGGCGCTGTTTCGCTCGCTCGGATGCTTTAACTGAGATTGATATGTCTTGCTGTTGGCTCGTGTCTCGTCAAATAAATGACCAATATTTCAATATTTTATTTGGACGGGCAAGGAGGTACGGTAGGGCGGGCCAGGCCCCCAAGGCCCGCCCATAATGCCGGCCATGGCCTAAACTTAATGTTTTAACCCTATCCTAAACCTTAACCCTTATCTTAACCATTCGGAATGAGTGCCTAAACTTAACCCTTAACTTGGACATTTGAGAAATGGTTCGATATAGAGCAGCAGGGTGTCAAAAACACTGACGTTTGGAGCAGCTTCAAAATTGTACATTTGGAGAAACATGGAGAAACTTCTAATTCTGCAGCGAGACTGTGAGAGCTTGGTGTACAGTGCCTTCAGAAAGTATTTATACCCCTTGACTTATTCCACATATTGTTGTGTTACAGCCTGAATTAAAAATGGATTACATCTTTTTTTTAGATCTCACCCATCTACACAATACCCCATAATGACAATGAAAACATGTTTTTAGACATTTTTTTCAAATTTATTGAGAATGAAATACAGATATCTAATTTACTTAAGTATTCATGTTAATACATGTTAGATTCACCTTTGGTGGTGATTACAGCTGTGAGACTTTCTGGGTAAGTCTCTAAGAGCTGTGCACACCTGGATTGTACAATATTTGCACATTATTATTAAAAAAATTCTTCAAGGTCTGTCAATTTGGTTATTGATAACTGCTAGGCAACCATTTTGAAGCCTTGCCATATATTTTCAAGCAGATTTAGGTCAAAATTGTAACACAGCTACACAGGAACATTCACTGTCTTCTTGGTAAGCAATTTGTGTAAATTTGGCCTGTGTTTTAGATTATTGTCCTTCTGAAAGGTGAATTAATCTCCCAGTGTCTGGTGAAAAGCAGACTGAACCAGGTTTTCCTCAAGGATTTTGCCTGTGCTTAGCTCCATTCCATTTCTTTGCCTTGTTGCAAACAGGATGCACGTTTTTGAATATTTGTATTCCGTACAGGCTTCCTTCTTTTCACTCTGTCAATTCGGTTAGTATTGTGGAGTAATTACAATGTTGTTGATCCATCTTCAGTTTTCTCCTATCACATCCATTAAAGTCTGTAGCTGTTTTAGTCCGGATGCTGGAAATACGTATTTTCCGGATGTTGAAATCAGGCTCATTTTTGGTTCTGAATGAAAGTTAAAAAATAAGTAATTTATAGACGTCTATGTTTGGGCCAAATCAAGGCTGGTCCAGACCAGATAAAATCTGAACCAGACATAGACGTACATGATTGGTTCAGATTAGGTCCGGACCGGACCAAAAACTAATATCCGTGGATGTGGAAATCAAGGCCGGTCCAGACTGCACCAAAAAAATATGTCCAAAAGGCGTCAGCCCGTGCTTACTGAGGTGTAGCCTACAGTGTTGCCTGAAATTGAATTTTATGAATGCCCAACTATGTGGTAAGCCTACCGTTTGTAAAACACCAAAAAAAGATATCTGAAAGACGTCAGCTCGTGCTTACTGGGGTGTAGCCTACCAATGGTCCTCTGTAGCTCAGCTGGTAGAGCACGGCGCTTGTAACGCCAAGGTAGTGGGTTCGATCCCCGGGACCACCCATACACAAAAAATGTATGCACGCGTGACTGTAAGTCGCTTTGGATAAAAGCGTCTGCTAAATGGCATATTAATGTCGGCCCCCAATGGAATTTTATGAATGTCCCTCCATGTTGTAGGCCCACCGTTCGTAAAACAGGTCGTCGCATTGGCTTTATTAGTCCTGATTCCTGTGACTAATCAATTTGCCTATTTAAGCTCTGAATATCAGCTACCCAACTTTGTCATGAATTACCTGATGCCAGAGAAACTCATCATAACAGGCTATTACTTCTAAAATGCCCATATGCCACTGGTTGAGAGAAATTGTCATTGTTTTTGGGCAGAAAAATGTGAGGTTTTATGTGTTGTTGGAGGTGCGTCTTGGTCAGTTTAGCTCAGAAAATGCCGCCCTCGTCAATCTGCTGCCATAGGCGGCTGCCTAATGAGCGGGCCGGCCGTGGGTGCCCTCATTTGCGAGGCATTGGAAAACATCCCTGGTCTTTGTGGTTAAATCTGTGTTTGAAATTCACTGCTCGACTGCGGGACCTTACATATAATTGTATGTGTGGGATACAGAGATGAGGTAGTCATTCAAAAATCATGTTAAATACTATTATTGCACACAGAGTGAGTCCTTGCAACTTATTATGTGACTTGTTATGCAAATTTCTACTCCTGAATTTATTTAAGCTTGCCATAACAAAGGGGTTGAATACTTATTGACTCAAGACATTTCAGCTTTTTATTTTCAAATAATTTGTAAAAATGTAGAAAAACATCATTCCACTTTGACATTATGGGGTATTGTGTGTAAGCCAGTGATGACAACATCTCAATTTTATTTAATTTTAAATTCAGGTTGTAACACAACAAAATGTGAGAAAAGTCAAGACGTGTGAATACTTTCTGAAGGCACTGTATGTGCTCAAGAGGCTTGGGGCTTCAGGGTCTTTCAGATGAAAAGAGCTTTGATTCTTTCTTAAGAAAGTTTTCATAAGAAGTGGCACAGGCCAGCTCAGATTTATCCACTTGTACACTGAAAAGAAAATTGCCACCCAGTGTTCTCACTATCGCCCTCTATCTTTGATAAACACAAATATTAAACTGTTTTCCAAAAGGTTGTTGTCCCGTCTCGAGACTTACCTTAAGTATATTTGTTAAAAAACGTTTATCCTAGGATAACCTCCATCGACTATTACGTATCTTAAATGCTTCATCAGAAACAACAGCTCTTTGGGCTGTTTTATCTCTTAATGCAGAAAAAGCTTTTGCTAGACTAGGATGGTCTGTCTTGGAACATATTGGAATTGGCTCTAATTTCATTAATATGATTAAAATACTATATGCCAATCCCTCAGCCATAGTTATAACAGGCAATATCTGCTCTGCTCCATTCAGAATAGGGTTTAATATTTTCCTGGTATTTTACAAATGTTCCATCCCGAGAATAAATCACTTTTCTCCCGGGTAACTGGGTATTTTCCACCAAAACCGCAAGTTTCATTCAAAAGTGTGTGTATATATATATATATATACACAGTGGGGAGAATAGAGTATTTGATACACTGCCGATTTTGCAGGTTTTCCTACTTACAAAGCATGTGGAGGTCTGTAATTTCTATCATAGGTACACTTCAACTGTGAGAGACCGAATCCAGAAAATCACATTGTATAATTTTTAAGTAATTAATTTACATTTTATTGCATGACATAAGTATTTGATACATCAGAAAAGCAGAACTTAATATTTGGTACAGAAACCTTTGTTTGCAATTACAGAGATCATACGTTTCCTGTAGGTCTTGACCAGGTTTGCACACACTGCAGCAGGGATTTTGGCCCACTCCTCCATACAGACCTTCTCCAGATCCTTCAGGTTTCGGGGCTGTCGCTGGGCAATACGGACTTTCAGCTCCCTCCAAAGATGTTCTATTGGGTTCAGGTCTGGAGACTGGCTAGGCCACTCCAGGACCTTGAGATGCTTCTTACGGAGCCCCTCCTTAGTTGCCCTGGCTATGTGTTTCGGGTCATTGTCATGCTGGAAGACCCAGCCACGACCCATCTTCAATGCTCTTACTGAGGGAAGGAGGTTGTTGGCCAAGATCTCGCGATACATGGCCCCATCCATCCTCCCCTCAATATGGTGCAGTCGTCCTGTCCCCTTTGCAGAAAAGCATCCCCAAAGAATGATTTTTCCACCTCCATGCTTTACGGTTGGGATGGTGTTCTTGGGGTTGTACTCATCCTTCTTCTTCCTCCATACACGGCAAGTGGAGTTTAGACCAAAAAGCTCAATTTTTGTCTCATCAGACCACATGACCTTCTCCCATTCCTCTTCTGGATCATCCAGATGGTCATTGGCAAACTTCAGATGGGCCTGGACATGCGCTGGCTTGAGCAGGGGGACCTTGCGTGCGCTGCAGGATTTTAATCCATGATGGCGTAGTATGTTACTAATGGTTTTCTTTGAGACTGTGGTCCCAGCTCTCTTCAGGTCATTGATCAGGTCCTGCCGTGTAGTTCTGGGCTGATCCCTCACCTTCTAATTGCGCCAACAGTTGTTGCCTTCTCACCAAGCTGCTTGCCTATTGTCATGTAGCCCATCCCAGCCTTGTGCAGGTCTACAATTTTATCCCTGATGTCCTTACACAGCTCTCTGATCTTGGCTATTGTGGAGAGGTTGGAGTCTGTTTGATTGAGTGTGTGGACAGGTGTCTTTTATACAGGTAACGAGTTCAAACAGGTGCAGTTAATACAGGTAATGAGTGGAGAACAGGAGGGCTTCTTAAAGAAAAACGAACAGGTCTGTGAGAGCCGGAATTCTTACTGGTTGGTAGGTGATCAAATACTTATGTCATGCAATAAAATGCAATTTAATTACTTAAACATTTTGTTTTAGATTCCGTCTCTCACAGTTGAAGTGTACCTATGATAAAAATTACAGACCACTACATGCTTTGTAAGTAGGAAAACCTTCAAAATCGGCAGTGTATCAAATACTTGTTCTCCCCACTGTATATATAGAGTACCAGTCAAAAGTTTGGACACTTCATTCAAGGGTTTTTCTTTATTTTTACTATTTTCTACCTTATAGAAAAGTAGTGAAGACATCAAAACTATAAAATAACACATGGAATCATGTAGTAACCAAAAAAGTTTTAAAATCAAAACATATTTTTGTCTCCTTTGCCTTGACAGCTTTGCACACTCTTGGCATTCTCTCAACCAGCTTCACATGGAATGCTTTACAGTTTTGAAGGAGTTCCCACATATGCTGAGCACTTGTTGGCTGCTTTCCCTTCACTCTGCGGTCCGACTCATCCCAAACCATCTCAATTGGGTTGAGTTTGGGGGATTGTGGAGGCCAGGTCATCTGATTGCAGCACTCCATCACTCTCCTTCTTGGTAAAATTGCCCTTACACAGCCTGGAGGTGTGTTGGGTCATTGTCCTGTTGAAAAACAAATTATTGTCCCACTAAGCCCTAACCAGATGGGATGGCGTATCGCTGCAGAATGCTGTGGTAGCCATGCTGGTTAAGTGTGCCTTGAATTCTAAAGAAATCACAGACAGTGTCACCAGCAAAGCACCATCACACCTCCTCCACCTTGCTTCACGGTGGGAACCATACATTCAGAGATCATCCGTTCACCTACTCTGCGTCTCACAAAGACACGGCGGTTGGGACCAAAAATATCAAATTTGGACTAATCAGACCAAAGGACAGATTTCCACCAGTCTAATGTCCATTGCTCGTGTTTCTTGGCCCAAGCAAGTCTCTTCTTCTTATTGGTGTCCTTTAGTAGTGGTTTCTTTGCAGCAATTCAACCATGATGGCCTGATTCACAGTCTCCTCTGAACAGTTGATGTTGAGATGTGTCTGTTTCTTGAACTCTGTGAAGCATTTATTTGGGCTGCAATCTGAGGTGCAGTTATTCTAATGAATTTATCCTCTGCAGCAGAGGTAATTCTGGGTCTTTCTTTCCTGTGACGGTCCTCATGAGAGCCAGTTTCATCATAGCGCTTGATGTTTTTTGCGACTGCACTTGAAGAAACTTTAAACGTTTTTGAAATGTACTGTATTGACTGACCTTCATGTCTTAAAGTAATGATGGACTGTCGTTTCTCTTTGCTTATTTGAGCTGTTCTTGCCATAATATGGACTTGGTCTTTTACCAAATAGGGCTATCTTCTGTATACCACCCCTACCTTGTCACAACACAACTGATTGTCTCAAACGCATTAAGAAGGAAATAAATTCCACAAATGAACTTTTAAGAAGGCACACCTGTTAATTGAAATCCATTCCAGGTGACTACCTCATAACGCTGGTTGAGTGAATGTCAAGAGTGTGCAAAGCTGTCATCAAGGCAAAGGGTGGCTACTTTGAAGAATCTCAAATATAAAATATATTTGGACTTGTTTAACACTTTTTTGGTTACTACATGATTCCATATGTGTTGTGTCATAGTTTTGATGTCTTCGCTATTGTTCTACAATGTAGAAAATAGTAAAAATAAAGAAAAACCCTTTAATGAGTAGGTGTGTCCTAACTTTTGACTGGTATAAACGCATCATGTAAAGTGTTGGTTTCATGAGCTGAAATAAAAGATCCCATAAATGTTCCATACACAGAAAAAACTTATTTTTCTCCAATTTTGTGCACAAATTTGCCAAGATAATTCATCCACCTGACAGGTGTGGCATATACAGAAGCTGAGTAAACAGCATTATCATTACACACGTGCACCTTGTGCTGGGGACAATAAAAGGCCAATCTAAAATATGTAGTTTTGTCACACAACACAATGCCACAGATGTCTAAAGTTTTGAGGGAGCGTGCAATTGTCATGCCTACTGCAGGAATGTCCACCAGAGCTGTTGCCAGAGAATTGAATGTTCATTTCTCAACCATAAGCCACCTCCTACGGCATTTTCAAGAATTTGGCAGTACGTCCACGTGTATGGCATTGTTTGGGTGAGTGCCCCATGGTGGTGGTGGGGTTATGGTATGGGCAAGCATAAGCTATGGACAATGAACACAATTGCATTTTATCGTTGGTAATTTAAATGCACAGAGATACCGTGACAAGATCCTGATGCCCATTGTCGTGCCATTCATCCGCCACGATCACCTCATGTTTCAGCATAACAATGCACTACCACATGTCGCTAGGAACTGTACACAATTCCTGGAAGCTGAAAATGTCCCAGTTCTTCCATGGCCTGCACCAGACATGTCACCCATTGAGCATATTTGGGATGCTCTGGATCGACGTGTACGACAGCGGGTTCCTTTTCCCGCCAATATCCAGCCCATACCTTTTTTTAAGGTATCTGTGACCAACAGATACGCATCTGTATTCTCAATTATGTGGAATCCATAGATTAGGGCCTAATGAATGTATTTCAATTGACTGGTTTCCTTATGTGAACTGTAACTCAGTAAAATCTTTGAAATTGTTGCATGTGCGTTTACATTTTTGTACTATTTTGAGTGCAATTTGAATGGAATTGATGAGAGATGAAGACTGCTCACGCATGCTCTGGTTTAAAGCAAAGATATTTGAGTGATAGGCTGTTTCAAAACTCTGCAGCTGCAATAAATAAATAAAATCTTTACAATAAAAAATTAAGGTGACCCCTGAAAGCCAAATGGAGATGTGTAAATTAGATCCTTATGTTCGGTCCTTATGTTACTGTAGCATAGGCTTTTCTGCAGCAAATGTAGGCCTACATTGATGAGATGATAGGTCTACATGCATTGTGAACTGCACTCCATACTGACATGGGCTGTCTGTCCCCACAATGAGCATTGATGATTGATCATGCAGATAGCAGAGAGAAGGCCATAGAGAAGCCATATTTAGACATCACACATCATTTCAGTTTCATTTCACAACATGCACCGGTTTCTCGCAGTTATTTATCCCGGGAAAAGGGAGTCGTTTTGGGCGGTAAATCTCGGTAACCGGGTTCCCGCCATTCATTCCTAGTTCAGAATCACTAGAAGCAGCAGACAAGGCGATCTGAGTTCTACTTTGCTATTTTTGTTATCCATGGAACCCCTGGCCCAGGCAATTGGTCAATCGAAGGAAATAACACACATTTCCCTCATCTACTGATAATTTCATCTAATTTATATGTAGACAATATTTTACTATATCTTGACAATGTATCTCAACCGCTCCCAAACGCATTGAAGATCATAGATAAATTCAGCTTCATCTGAAGTTATAAAATGTATCTAATCAAATCAGCATTACTGCCTCTCAAGACCCTGATGGAGGACTCCATCTCTACACATGGAATCGCAATTGTAGATACAGTATATTTCCTTCCTTAGATAAAACTATTGCCAGAAACTTTAACAGAACGCTCAAATCAATTCAATCCAACCTCAGTAGATGCACTAACTACCCAGTTGATTTAACCGGCAGAATATCTATTTTCAAAATAAATATATTGCCACGGCTGAATTTCTGTAGTTTAACGCTTCCTATGTCTCCCACTTCTGGCTATTGGGATAAAATCCAAACTTACAAAGAGGAAAAGACATAGGACTATCTGTACCAATCTTCAAATTGTATATATATTTTTGTTTATTTTCCTTTAACCCTCCTCCATCCCCAGTGGAAATAAAAAATGAATAGATTGGTCACGAAGAGAAAAAAAAACTAAGATAAATAATATTGTATTTTATGCTTAATTAATTTGAAGATATTGAATTTGGACATCAGTGTCCCTTCAAAAATGAGGTGCATGTGGCACTCTGTAAGATATTTTTATTTTGAACGTTTCCATTAGAGAAGCCTAGATAGAGAAGCTGTCATCTGCCTGGTCTGATCTGCGGGAGGGAGATGTATTATGTGAGACCTTTGGGCAGACATGATGTCACGATCGTCGACAGATGAAGCGGACCAAGGCGCAGCGTGATAAGCGTACATTCTTTATTAGTACACACGAACCAAAACAATAAACCAAACGATACGTGAAGTCCTAGGTTATACACAAAACCATACGGAACAAGATCCCACAATAAACTTGTGAAAACAGGCTGCCTAAGTATTGTCCCCAATCAGAGACAACGAGCTACAGCTGCCTCTGATTGGGAACCACCCTGGCCAACATAGATCTAAATGATCTAGAACGAAAACATAGAAAATGTAACAGAAATTCCACACCCTGGCTCAACATTTAAGAGTCCCCCGAGCCAGGGCGTGACACATGAGGCAGAAAGGTTATGAAAGGCTGTGATGTGGCTGTATTGTGATGGGACACCAACCTGGAGGCAGTTTGAATAGAGTCACTGTCTCCTATCAATATATGCAAACTGTGAATTACCGTAATTTTCGGACTATAAGCCGCGCCTTTTTCCCCATTTTTCGACCCTGCGGCTTATATAACGGTGCGGCTAATCTATGGATTTTTACAGCTAACGGCCACTAGAAGACCTCCTAAATCTATGGATTTGACAGGTTACAGTCCACCAACTTTAACTCTATGGGCTCTATGACCGGTCCGCGCCCCCCACCTTTAAGCGGCGGGCTCCAGCAGGAAAAGCTGGAGGCCAGAAAAGAGTGAGACAGGTAGCGCGCAAAAGTAAAAGTGGAACCGAGAGTGGTACGCGAGACAGAACGAGAGACAGAACGAGAGCAAGACAGACAGACATTACGAGAGTGAGACAGTTTGAAGTTTGAAAGTTGAAAAGTTTGTGTGTCTGAAACGCTATGTGATACAGTACAGTTTACACAGCACAGTATATGTTCTGTAGCTACTATTGCACTAAATGGTAACACTTGAATACGTTATGCAAATATGCAACTTGTTTGTTGAAATGTTAATAAATGGGAGCTTCCTCAAGCAGCCATCTCTTTCCCGACAATCCCCTCTGTGCACGAACCCTTACATATGGTAATTAAACATTAAAACACCTGCGGCTTATAGTCCAGTGCGGCTTATAGTGCGGAAAATACGGTAAACTCTGTACAGAATTAGGCTACAGATTAAAAACAGCACTGTTCCACAGTGGTTATTTTGATAGTTGGTTCAGGTTTAGATCCAGAAAGGAAACAATCTGTTTTTGTAGTTTTTCACTGGCTCAGCAAAAATCAAGTTGCTTCAGGGTAGACTGCCAGCAAGAGTCTTGAGAATAGGCCTACTAAGGTTTTAATTGCTGAAAGTGGTGTGGTTCACCCTCTACCTGTGAGCGATTTGGAAATATATATTTACTCTTGGGGGTGCTGGATGTCTCTTGGGGGTGCTCAACATCAATATCTTTGACAATTGTGAGAGCCCACATTGATATTTCAATTATTATGGAAGGGATTTGTCATCGGGGTGCCCAGCACCCCTAGTCCTGTTGTAATTACAAACCTGCCTGTGAGCTAATAGAGCTGTAACAAATCATTAACAACACTGCAGGACATAATATAGTGGCCACAGGAGGTTAAATGGTACAAGACCCAGAGCATAGAGGCTCCAGTGGCCTAAATGGTACAAGACCCAGAGCATAGAGGCTCCAGTGGCCTAAATGGTACAAGACCCAGAGCATAGAGGCTCCAGTGGCCTAAATGGTACAAGACCTGGACAGACGCAGAGAAAGACTGTGCAGCCTTCAGGTCAGGTGGCCCAGGCCGAGCCCCACAGGGTGGGTTAAAGTGGTTTCCAGGGTATCGCCTTCAGGTGTTCCAGGCCAAGCTCCACAGGTTGGTTTCCAGGGTAACAGTGAAGTGGCAGGACTGTAAGGTTGTTTGAGTGGAAAGAGCCCCAGCCCCAGGGGGGTCATGCTGAGTGACTACGTTAATGAGCTTTTCAGAAGAGCCATTTGGTCTCATTAAGGCCACGCCAGCTCCTCCGTGACTTTAACTAGTTACTTGATAGAGAGGACGGCGGGCACCTCCATCACTTTCACATATTGTTCGCCGGTTATTTCTCTCTCTGTTTCTGTCTGTCTTTCTCGACTCGCTCCCCCATTACAAAATTGTTTCCAGAAAACTCCCTTGAGCAGTGTCCTATAATTCTTGTTTGTCGGGATTCTTATGAGAATCATTCAGAAGTTAGTTAGAATGTGGAACACGTTTTTTTAAATTAGTTATTAATAGCTTTCATTTTCATTTTCAAAAACACTGTTGGTGAAACTTCAGCGATGTCTGTCTGTCTTCTCCACATTTCTCTCTTTCAAAGGTCCATTGATTTACACTGCATCTATTTTAGACCCACACCATTGACCTCATTGATCACAACCGAATGCTGCCTTCCCCAGAGACTTGGTCTAGAGTTGTCAGACAGTGTTTATTTCACTAATAACACTGACTCTTTCTAAACTAGAGACTGCCATTCTACTTTATATTTATATTATCAGCATGTTTATTATAATACTTATCAGCATGTCTTATTTTGCTATTATCCCCAATTTTACGAGTGCCTTTCACTCGTGTACTATGCTATTTACAACGATTGCCTTCACTTAACGCCTTACATTATCACGCGTGAAATTGAATGAAAATGCATTAACTATTTGTTTGCTTTGCATGGTGTGCTGTGATTCTACAGATTGGCATGGACTATTGACTATAAAACCGCTTTTGCCAATCCCTATCACCTCCTCCCTCCCTGAGCAAATTACCAAACACGCCCCCGAACCAGACATGAAAGGAAATGGAGAATTACATTCAACGCGCCGTTTGACCGGGAACCTCTTGGCGGACGGACGTCTGACTTCTTGCTGCTGTGCTAGTTTTGCCCTGTACACATATTGCTAGTGTTACTTATAGTCCTAACTCCTAGCCTCCCTATACGTTTCTAACTGGGGGCTTAGTGGTTTTAAAGCGAACCATTCAAACAAATTATTTTTACGCTATTGTCACCTTTTTGTAAACGTTGAATTTAATAAAGAACCTTTGACTGTGCTTTGGCCTGTCTCTGTAGTTGTTTGCCGTGGGTTCTTAGAACTCTGCTTTTTACATTTACATTGTCTTTACAGTACAGTATGGGTGTGTAAGAAGAATCCTCCCCTCTGGCAATTGTCAATATAGCATAGGCCTAACGCCATTACATGTGTCTTTGCAGGATGAATAATAGACAGTTCTGTCTGATGTTACTCATTCATTTATACTTCTATAATGGAGAGACATTGAATGGAGATGAGGAGAGAGATTTGAGAAAGATTTTAAAGAATGAAAGATTAGTGGGAATTGTGCAGTTTTGTCAATGCAGCAGTTTGGCAATGTTGAATGAAAGTTCTTATTCATTGTTCAGTGATTCTCATTAATGTTAATGTGCTGTGTGTCCTTCACCTGCGTAGGCAGCAGAAGCAGCTTCTCTGAGTCTGTGGATTTTCCCCTCTGCCTCTGTCTGATTCTCTAAAGGTCTAATGATCAGACATTGGCGTTTCATCAATAGCCTTGGCTGGTGACAGGTCGTGGTATCATAATCCTTTTGAATAATGAGTAGGCTTCTTTGGGAGACCGATTGATATCCCCAACAACCTTGGCCCCTCTGTCAAAGAGAGCTCTCATACTGTACTCCTCTTGGGCTTGCTTGCCCTTTTTTTCCCCTCTCAACCTCCAAAGTCAAGAATATTTAATGTACCCCTTTTTGGATACTGTATGTTCCTGCAAGTCTCATCTCCAGTGCCTTCTCAAGTGGAAGTTGGTCCCCCTCAACTCACACAGTTAGAACAGAAGTCAGACTTGGGAATTACTTGGGAATAGAACAAGGGAGAGACCTTGTGATGTTAGGTGACTACTAGTACTGCATGATGTAAGTGGTGGGATTTCAAATGTAATTCTGATGTTGTGCTGGGACAGTGCTCGTAAATGTTTGATGAACTGTGAGGAGGCACTCTGTTCGGCCCACCTGAAATTCCTGGACTGCCTGTGGTGGGAAGAAGGTATTTTTAAAAGATTTCCCCTGAATGACCAGTCAGTGAGAGAGAGGCAGCTGGAGGCGAGTTAAACACACACACATGCATGCACGTACACACACACACACACACACACACACACTTCTCTCTCGTTCTATCTCACACACACACACGTTCCTCCCGCTCCTTGCACCATACCCCTTTCCACCCATGGGCTCTGGGGAGAGAACACCTTTGGGTCTTTTTCAATATAACAAGTTTGGTATTTGATATCACGGCTACCCACACACGATCTCCCAGATCCAGAGCTGTCTCCACTCTCCAGTCGTTACAAGCATTGATGTAAACAGCCAAATTCTATCGCTTATCACTTATTTATGGTTTCAGCCAACTAAGGGGCTAATTATGCTCTGAAAGAGGCCAGCCAGCCAGGCATAGTGTGATACCATCTGGGTCATGCTGAGATCAGCACAACATGGGTGACTGATCTAGATACATCACTAACGATCAATCGCCTAAAGACACTCCCTGCACTCCACTCGACTGACTTGTCACACAATGAACACCGTGCTGTGTACCCCTAGCTAGCATGATAGTGAGAACCAAACTCTCTCACTCTCTCTCTGCGTGTCTAGTGGTCTGTAGATGCCTGCCTGATGTGATGGATAACCATTCTGCCTCTTCAATAAGTCAGTGTTTCACAGCTCGGAGCTTCAACAAAACAGAGCACGAAAGGTTGCTGCGGTTTAATATAGGATCTGGCAGGAATTCAAGCTGCGAGCGGCTTTGGGTTGTCTTTGTTGAACCTGGACTCACCACCCGGTGCAAACCAGTGTGGCATGTAGTGCAGTTAGAAACCAAACCGAGTAACAGACCGATCCTGCTGCTGCTGATGATGTATCACCAATACAGACACGGACACTGTATCCACTCACTAACTGTAAGTCGCTCTGGATAAGAGCGTCTGCTAAATGACTACAATGTACAATGTACTGCTAACGAGGCATGCTGGGACTCCCCTCCCACTGACTCTGATGTTATGTGCCGGGGCGGTTCGTCTCGTAGTTCCTCTCTGAGTCTCTCATGCATAGTGTTGTGATGGTGTGCATATTTAATCCCGTGCCCCTGCTTTTGAACGCTGGGGTACCTCACTGGCTCGGAGAACCTGGAAGGAAATGGGACTTGTCTCTTCAGTGCATTATGCCTATTCCTACAGGAGGACAAGACAGTGGTATCATGTACATTTGATGACTTCTTGAGTCTTCACTTGACAAAATGATTTTTGATTATTTTTCCCTGTGAAAAATGAATGGAGAAATGTCTATAGGCTGTTCTGGATGCTTTATTTTTCAGTCCGCTATAAAAAATAAAAAAAGTAGTTAGGGTACATAATAATGACTACATAACTACCTAATAACATATTTAACAACGAATAATTGCTTGTTTCTTTGCATTCTTGTTTTACAGAAATCTCCTGGACAGAGACACATTCTCTAAATCAGACCCAAGTAAGATGGTGTCCTACACACAGACACACACACATTTACACACACACACATTTGCACACACAAACACACTCTCTCTCTCGCTCGCTCTTGCTCTCTGGCTCTCTCTCTCTCTTGTGCTTCCCCCTTGTGAATCAGTAGGCATTTGCAGAGGTCAGAGGTTGTGTTCATCGCTGTAATCTCAGCTCTACTTGACTGAGCAGAAACAGATTGTCATCATGTACACCAGCCATAGGTTGCAGGATTCCCTTATTCCCTGCCGATCACATCAAGATTTCTGAAACATCATGGCATTTTGGTAATGTTTCTTGATTTTTGCAACCCTAACAGCCATATCCTTCATAGAGATAAGGATCCGTCTGTGTAGTGTCTACAGACTAGTACATCCTTAAATTGAGAATATTTGGGCCACTGTAGGAGATGTGGTCAGACGCAGCACTAGCAGGGAGGGAGGCCATCTGATCCCAGGGGCCTCCTGGCTGGTTTCTGTAGTATGTTTATCCAAGGAGGCACTTGTGCTGTCTCTGCAGTGCTGACGGTACTGGCCCCAGTCACACAGCATTAGACCTTCTCAGCACTGCAGGCCAGGGGGCCCAAAACACACGCACACACACACACACACACACACATACATACACACACACACACACACACACGCATGCACGCACACACACACGCACACACACACACACACACACACACATACATACACACGCACACACACACACACGCATGCACGCACACACACACGCACGCGCACACACACACACACTGGCTACAGGGAGCCTCACACACATACACTACATTACGGTAGGCTAGCCTATAAGACTTGACAACACGACACTGTTGACAACACAACTTGTGTGTGTTTTTGTGTGTGTGTGTGTTCACGTGACGGTACATGTTCCAACCTAATGCATGGAGATCATATGCAGTCCCAGCTTTCGTTAGCAGCTGACAGGCTTTCTGTGCAGTCAGACAGCTGAGCTCCACCTCACACAACAGCATAAAATGACATTACATTACACCACGTATACAACAGCTAGCTCTCGCAACAGACATCAGCCAGCTTCAACACTGTTGGCCTAACCCATGGAAACATGCGAGCCCTGGCCACTGAGGTGGGCCAAGAGCCATGACCTCTGCTATAGCAAGCATGTGATGCTACTACATTATCTCCAGAGCTCTGTTCACTAGCATACATACAGAGCTAGTGAGGGAAGGTAGAAGCATAGAAATATACTGAACAAAAATATAAATGCAACATGCAACAATTTCATCGATTTTACTGCGTTGCAGTTCATATAAGGACATTTACATTTACATTTTAGTCATTTAGCAGACGCTCTTATCCAGAGCGACTTACAGGAGCAATTAGGGTTAAGTGCCTTGCTCAAGGGCACATTTACGTCATTTAGCAGACGCTCTTATCCAGAGCGACTCACAAATTGGTGCATTCACCCTATAGCCAGTGGGATAACCACTTTACAATTTTTTTTTTGGGGGGGGGGGGGGGGGGGGGGAGAAGGATTACTTTATCCTATCCCAGGTATTCCTTAAAGAGGTGGGGTTTCAAATGTCTCCGGAAGGTGGTGAGTGACTCCGCTGTCCTGGCGTCGTGAGGGAGCTTGTTCCACCATTGGGGTGCCAGAGCAGCGAACAGTTTTGACTGGGCTGAGCGGGAACTATGCTTCCGCAGAGGAAGGGGAGCCAGCAGGCCAGAGGTGGATGAACGCAATGCCCTCGTTTGGGTGTAGGGACTGATCAGAGCCCGAAGGTACAGAGGTGCCGTTCCCCTCACTGCTCCATAGGCAAGCACCATGGTCTTGTAACGGATGCGAGCTTCAACTGGAAGCCAGTGGAGTGTGCGGAGGAGGGGGGTGACGTGAGAGAACTTGGGAAGGTTGAACACCAGACGGGCTGCGGCGTTCTGGATGAGTTGTAGGGGTTTAATGGCACAGGCAGGGAGGCCAGCCAACAGCGAGTTGCAGTAATCCAGACGGGAGATGACAAGTGCCTGGATTAGGACCTGTGCCGCTTCCTGTGTAAGGCAGGGTCGTACTCTCCGAATGTTGTAGAGCATGAACCTGCAGGAGCGGGTCACCGCCTTGATGTTAGCGGAGAACGACAGGGTGTTGTCCAGGGTCACGCCAAGGCTCTTCGCACTCTGGGAGGAGGACACAACGGAGTTGTCAACCGTGATGGCGAGATCATGGAACGGGCAGTCCTTCCCCGGGAGGAAGAGCAGCTCCGTCTTGCCAGGGTTCAGCTTGAGGTGGTGATCCGTCATCCATACTGATATGTCTGCCAGACATGCAGAGATGCGATTCGCCACCTGGTTATCAGAAGGGGGAAAGGAGAAGATTAGTTGTGTATCGTCAGCGTAGCAATGATAGGAGAGGCCATGTGAGGATATGACAGAGCCAAGTGACTTGGTGTATAGGGAGAAAAGGAGAGGGCCTAGAACTGAGCCCTGGGGGACACCAGTGGTGAGAGCACGTGGTGCGGAGACAGCTTCTCGCCACGCCACTTGGTAGGAGCGACCGGTCAGGTAGGACGCAATCCAGGAGTGAGCCGCGCCGGAGATGCCCAGCTCGGAGAGGGTGGAGAGGAGGATCTGATGGTTCACAGTATCAAAGGCAGCAGACAGGTCTAGAAGGACAAGAGCAGAGGAGAGAGAGTTAGCTTTAGCAGTGCGGAGAGCCTCCGTGACACAGAGAAGAGCAGTCTCAGTTGAATGACCAGTCCTGAAACCTGACTGGTTTGGATCAAGAAGGTCATTCTGAGAGAGATAGCAAGAGAGTTGGCTAAAGACGGCACGCTCAATAGTTTTGGAAAGAAAAGAAAGAAGGGATACTGGTCTGTAGTTGTTGACATCAGTGGGATCGAGTGTTGGTTTTTTGAGAAGGGGAGCAAAAAACCAACACTCAGTCAATTGAAATAAATTAATTAGGCCCTAATCTATTGATTTCACGACTGGGCAGGGGATCCAGGCCCACCCACTGGGGAGTTAGGCCCAGCCAATCAGAATGAGTTTTTCCCCACAAAAGAGCTTTATTACAGAGAGAAATACTCCTCAGTTCATCAGCTGTCCGGGTGGCTGGTCTCAGACAATCCTGCAGGTGAAGAAGCCAGATGTGGCGGTCCTGGGCTGGCCTGGTTACACGTGGTCTGTGGTTGTGAGGCCGGTTGGACTTACTGGCAAATTCTCTAAAACGACGTTGGTTGCGGCTTATGGTAGAGAAATGAACATTACATTCTCTGGCAACAGCTCTGGTGGACATTCCTGCAGTCAGCATGCCAAGGTGCACCTGTGTAATGATCATGCTGTTTAATCAGCTTCTTGATATGCCACACCTGTCAGGTGAATGGACTATCTTGGCAAAGGAGAAATGCTCACTAACAGGGATGTAAACAAATTTGTGCGCGAAATAAGCTTTTTGTGTGTGTGGAACATTTCTGGGATCTTTTTATTTCAGCTCATGAAACATGGGACCAACAGTTTACATGTTGCGTTTATATTTTTGTTCAGTATAGACTCACTCTTCTTAATTCTATGGACAGGCTATTGAAGCCTTTTCAGAGGTGGAATGGGGGCTCTGACCCCTCTGATTCTGATTTAATTGTATTTGATACAAATGTTACACTGCTCCCAGTGGAAGGAATTGGCACAGTTTGTGTGTATGTGTGTTTTGATTTTAAACAAGATATGTTCTATTTATTTTGGTCCAGATATTTGGGTGGAGTTCTCAACCGTATGATAGGTCCAACAGTCAATTTCATCGCTCCACTGAAGGTGCAGTCAGTGACAGTAAAAAAAAAAAAAAAGGCTGTTAAGAGTGGATTCCCCTTTCCTGGTGACCCAAATGGGTGCACACTAACACAACTAATTCTAATCAAAAGTTTGATTATAAGTGTGTTACTTTGTTAGTGCTAGGGCAAAAACTAAAATGTGCACCCCTTTGGATCCCCAGGACTAGGATTGGGAAACACTGCCTTAGCATTCTAGCACTTTCAACTGTGCTTTTTTTATTTTCTCTGAGAAATATCTTCATTGTAGCCTGAAAGGCAGAGTTACACTGACATTTAATCAGGAATTATGATGTCTTAGCCTAGGAGAGAACATTTGTATCTTCTGGGTTTTCTCATGCCTTGTTTCCTCTGGGTTTTAACTGCTGTTTTTACTTTTCTTTTTGTTTTCTTCCTTTCCTCTTGACAGTTTGTGTGCTGTATACACAAGGAATCGCCAACAGGGAATGGAGAGAGGTGAGGGGGGAGAAGGTCCAAGGGTCCCATGGAAGTCTGAGTATTGCCTAATTTATTTCAAATCAATACAAACCAGTGTCTGTTCCTCCCTTCCTCTTTCATTATAGTTTGGTCGGACAGAGGTGATAAACAATACCCTGAATCCAGATTTTGTCCGAAAATTCATCCTGGACTATTTTTTTGAAGAGAGGCAGAATCTACGCTTTGACCTGTGAGTTAAGACCGTTCTTAATGTGTGTGTCTGTGTGTGTTTGAGCATGTTTGGGTGAGAGAGAGTGGTGCTCTGTGTGAGTCTGTAAGTACAAGTTGCGTTAAGAATACAATATTTATAAAGTGCGAGAAGGGAGATGTCAGTGTTCACCTTTAAAATAAAAAACACCTTTTCATATAACTTTTTTCTACATTTCGGTATGAATTCCACTTGTTTATGGGATGTTATATTCACTGAAATATTCACCTTGAGACAGTTGTGAGACATGAATATGATGCTGTTTGTTTAAGAGCTATGCGGTAAACAGAGGTACACAATCATTTTCTGCGTGAATGTGTGTGAATGCCTGCCTGGGTGTTTGGTAGGAGAGAGTATGAGTATGTTTGAGAGACAGAGAGAGTGTGAGGGTATGCGTGTGTTTGGGTTACAGAGGGAGTGATAAGGGAAAGAAGATGACGAGTGTGTTTGTAGCTTAGCTCTGTTGTTAGTGGGTGAGGCTGTATTACAATCTACACTGATGGCCCTCCAACAGCTCTTAGCAAAGAGCCGGCGGCTGAGGCGCTCCCACACTGACATTTTACATTTGAGTCATTTAGCAGGCGCTCTTATCCAGAGCGACTTACAGTTAGGGCATTCATCTTAAGATAGCTAGGTGAGACAACCACATATCATAGCCATATCATAGCCATATCACAGCCACTGAGATGTCTTATTTAAGATACTCTTTGAAGAGGTAGGGTTTTCAGTTGACGTCCCATTCTTGTGGGATAGTTAAGAGACAGAGGCGGCAGTGCTAGGGTTGGGTTGTAGGGTTTGAGCATAGCCTGAAGGTAGAGAGGGGCAGTTCCTCTTGCTGCTTCGTAGGCAAGCACCATGGTCTTGTAGTGGATGTGAGCTTCGACTGGAAGCCAGTGGTGTGTGCAGAGGAGCAGGGTGACATGGGAGAACTTGGGATGGTTGAACACCAGGCGGGCTGCGGCGTTCTGAATAAGTTGCAGGTGTTTGATGGCACAAGCGGGAGGCCCAGCCAACAGAGAGTCCCTCGATTAGGACCTGCACCTCTTCCTGTGCTAGGAAAAGTTGTACTCTACGGATGTTGTAGAGCATGAACCTGCGGGAGTGAGTCACAACTTTTATGTTTGCATAGGGTGTTGTCCAGGGTCATGCCAAGGTTATTTGTACTCTGGGAGGGGAACACCGTGGAGTTGTTCACCGTGATGGAGAAGTCTTGGAGCTGGCAGGCCTTCCCCAGGAGGAAGAGCAGCTCTGTATATCCTCACTAGTCGCACGATTTCATCTGGAAAGAGAGGGGAGAAAGAGGTCAAGATGTAGGGTAGTTATGTGTGAGTGGGGGCAGTGGACTCAATAGGCTGAGTGAATGAGGAGCGGATGTCGTCGACCTTCTTTCCAAAGTGGTTGACAAAGTTGTCTGCAGAGAGGGAGGTGGGGGAGGATTAAGGAAGGAGGAGAAGGTGGAAAAGAGTTTCCCAGGGTTGGAGGCAGCGGCTTGACATTTTGAGCGATAGAAAGCCGCTTTGGCAGCGGATACAGAGGAATAGAAGGTAGAGAGGAGGGAGTGGAAGGATGTAGTTTTCCTCCACAGCTTCCCGCAGCCCTGTTCTGTGAGCACGCAGTGAGTCACTCAGCCACGGAGCGGGGAGGGCCAAGTTGGCCGGGAGGAAAGGGGACAGTGAGAGTCAAAGGATGCGGAAAGGGAGGAGAGTAGGGTCGAAGAGGCAGTCAGGAGACAGGAGGAGAGATGATAGGATAGAAGAGGAGAAAGTAGTGGGAGAGAGAGCGAAGATTGCAATGTTTCATGACCATCTGGGCAGGGGCTGAGTGGGTAGGGTTGGAGGAGAGATGGATAGAAAAGGAAACAAGGTAGTGATCAGAGATCTGGAGTGGGGTTGCAGTGAGATTAGTAGGCGAACAGCATCTAGTAAAGATGAGGTCAAATGCATTACCTGCATTGTGAGTGGGAGGGGACTGGGAAAGGGTGAGGTCAAAAGATGTAAGGCAGTAGAAAGAAAGAGGTGGAAAGAAGTGACTCAAAAGCAGACGTCGGGAGGTTGAAGTCACCCAGTACGATGAGTGGTGAGCCATTGTCAGCTTATCAAAGTGTCAAACACACTGAGGAACTCTCCAAGTGCACCTGGTGGGTTGATAGATGACAACAATGTTAAAGGGATACTTTGGGATTTTGGCAATGAGGCCCTTTATCTACTTCCCCAGAGTGAGATAAATTTGTGGATACAATTTCTACCCGTAGACTTCCAGTCATTGCACTAACCGTAGTTAGCATTGGCTCGCGAAACTAACTCTGACTGGACACAGAGACATAAAAATGGTATCCACAAGTTAATCTTACTCTGGGGAAGCAGAGAAAGGGGCCTCATTAACAAAATCCGGAAGTATCCTTTAAGCGACAGTGACCGCATGGAATTCAAATGAGGAGATGGACAAGTGAACAAGGGGAAAAATTGAAAATCTACACAGGAGAAATGAGTAGCCCTGTGCCACCACCACGACGACCAGATGCTCACAGACTATGAGAAAATGTGTAGTCAGATGAAGAGCGAGCAACTGGAGTAGCAATGTTCTCTGGGGTAATCCATGTCTCCATCAGGGCCAAAAAGTCTAGGGACTGAAGGGCAGCATAGGCTGAGATGAACTCAGCCTTGTTGACTGCAGATTTGCGGTTCGAAACGCTGCCGGAGACCAAGAATTCCACATTGGTTGTGTGCGCAGTGTTCACTAAATTAGAAGGGTTGCAGCCATGGGGTGGGGAGAGTCTGTAAAACTTACAGGGAGAGGAGCAAAGAGGGATAGAAAACATACACATAGTTGACAAAGCTACAAAAGAGTACAATGAGATCATCTGAAAATAACTAGGTAAGATTCTAAAGTGAGAGAGTGGTGTGAAGTGTGTGTGTGTGTGGGGGGGGGGGGGGGGGGGGGGGGGTGACACTAACACTTACACAACCAGGGAAGGGCTTTTTAAAGATCCCCCTGACTGATCAGAGGCGGCTGGCCTCGGGTATATGTGAAGCAGCTGGAGTAGAGCTTCTTCCCTGCACTCGCACGCACGCACACACACACACACTAGCTGACTTACAGGTTGATTAGGTCCTCACAAACACTCTAATGCTCCTTTCTAAGACCTAGTTGTAAACTCAGCTCAGCCATCCAGTGGGTTCCTCTGACCTGAAGCCTTTTACTTACTTTATTTTTTACTGTATTTTCACACAGTCCCCTAAACCAGTCATTGCCTTCCACCCTCTCTCCTGCCCCGTCACATCCTTTAACCACTACCCTACCATCACCTCTCTCTCTAATCTACATAATTACTCTCCAAGCCTTCTCCACTGAACCATTCTGTGCCCTGGTCATCCATTTAGCCAATTGATACTGTGTGTATGTGCCAGTGTATTTCACTGGTCAGTCAATTTTCACGTTAACCTCATTCATAAAGCCACAGTATTGTGGACCATATTAGTCTTCTATTACACTGATTTCAGAGCCCCATCTACCACCATTAATACAGTACTCTATTATTACTCTGTTCAGAAATCCTCGGAGCATCTGCTTCTCAGAGCACAGGGCCAAGAGAAGGCCGGGCTGGCCCACTGCTTTCACTCTCAATGATGTCATACACACTCGCGCGCACACACACTCAGACAAACTCTCGAGTGTGTGTGTGTGGGTGAGACGGAGCGTGTGCAGCCAAACGCATATGTGTGTGTTTTTTGTTGTTGTCATTAAATTAATCATTTAGGAATATTTGTGAGTGACCGAGGCAAAGACAAATAGAACATTAGGCACACCTGTGCATTCTGCCATCGGCGGGCCCGGTTGCGTATCAATGTTTCCTAGTCTTATGGAATTACATTTGTACCAACATGGTTTTGGATCATCTCTCTCCCTCTCTCAGCTGCTGGGTGTCTGTCTCTTTTTATCTTACATGGCACTCTGTCTGTACAGAGAAACAGACACCATCACACCTGCACACACACACGCACACACACCTGCACACTCACGCGGTCACACACACAAGCTTGCACGCCCTCATTAAACACACGCACAGTGGAGACACCTGTTCAATGGATTAAGGAAGGGATACACTGTACTACAATGAAATTACCTTTCTTTTTGAAAAGCAGGCAGATTTCAGCACACAGGTTGCACTTGTTTTTTGTATAGTTTTTTTATGTAGAACCTCCATTCTTGCTATGTCTGAGTGTTTATAACCATTACTACTGACTGCCGAGCGTATTTGTAAAATGGTACGATGATTTTCTGCAGTGATTATGCGTACTTTCCTGTTTCTGTCCAGGTACGACGTCGACTCGAAGAGCGACAACCTGTCTAAACATGTGAGTTGCCTTTTCCCTCTTGTGTGTAACCACTCTCTCTGTTTAGTAATGCTCTCATGAGACAAATACAGATATTCTCTAGAAATCCTTCCAGTCCCAAACCATATTACAGACATGAAGCCAGGTGACTTCTCCAGCAGTGCAACTCCAGCTCCTCAGCCTCAGCTCTAGCCCAAGCTCAGGATGCTTGGATGTGCCCTGTCGCCAGTGCGGATGTGGGAGATTGGAGATATGGCACGCAGCGTTAGCTTGGCTTGCATTGCCTATTCACGTTTCCACGTTCTCCATGCTCACTGCCTCCCCGCCCGCCCAAGCTAAAAATAAATGTGAACTGAAAACGCGTAAAAGTACACTATGTCTCTTGGCAGCATTCGCCGACATGAAGACGAGGATAGGAGGGAGACAAATTACAGCAAATGTTTTTCTCTGGCCATATGGTTTATATACCTTGAGCTGTTAGGGCTGGGGAACACTTCCCACGTTTCACGGATAGAGAGCAATTAACTAGTCTTTATGCTGCATTCTATAGGGTCATGTAACTCTGTTCACTCGCTTACAATGGACCATATACATGTAACTGTCAAAATAAAGCAAACACCAGCATAAAGTGTCTTAATAGGGTGTGCCACCACTAGCCGCCTGAACAGCTTCAATGTGCCTTGGCATAGATTCTACAAGTGTCTGGAACTCTATTGAATGGATGCAACACCATTCTTCCACGTTGCCAAAGACCAACACCATTCTTCCTCTTTGAAGTCATACACGAACTCATGCAGCTGGTGATCGAATTCCTCCCACAGTTTTGGCGAGAGTTCATCAATGAAATCCGTTATAGGTGCCAGGGCCCTGTGGAGAAGATGAGAAGAGGGGGGAGGGGGGGGGGGAGTGTCTGGAGAGCAGTGTGCATGGTGAAAAGAGGATTGGAGGAGTTTGAAATTATTTTGATTTATTTACCTCTGGGAGAAGTCTTCAATCATTTGCAATGCCTTTGCGAGTGATGTGTTAACGGCTGAGTCTGCAGCTCTTTTCTACCTTATTCTCACGCCCCTGCTACTGCAGCTGCTCAGGTGAGGAGCAAGCCAGTGGAGTAGGTCTTGGAGGTGGGCCCAGGATAGAGCTTCCCAGGTCCTGCATGGAGATTGTTTCTAATTCTGCACTGCAGCTCAGTGCGGAGATGGGCTGGGGGCCGATGACCAGTCTGTCACGACCGTCTTGAAAGGGAGCAGACCAATACGCAGCGCGTTGAGTGAACATGATGACTTTAATGAGTACAGCACGTAAATACAAAACAAAAGACGATAGTGAAGTCCAACAGTGACAATGACTGAACTTGGAACAAAAACCCACAACCCTCATGAGAACACAAACAGTTTAAATATGGCTCCCAATCAGAGATAACGAGCCGACAGCTGACACTCGTTACCTCCGATTGGGAGTCACACGACACCACAAATAACTCACCCAAAACACAACCAACCGAATACACCCTATACAACAAAACCCCACAACAAAACCCCACAAAACAAATACACCCTGGCTCAAATACAAAAGTCCCGGAGCCAGAGTGTCACAGTACCCCCCCCTAAAGGTGCGCACTCCGGGCGCACCAGCATACAGTCTAGGGGAGGGTCTGGGTGGGCGTCTGTCCACGGTGGCGGTTCTGGCCCTGGTCGTGGTCCCCACCCCACCTTAGTCACCACCCGCTTCCCTAGCCTCCTCCACATGACCACCCTCCAACTTACCCCACCTGGATTTAGGGGCAGCACCGGACTAAGAGGCAGCACCGGACTAAGGGGCAGCACCGGACTAAGGGGCAGCACCAGGATAAGGGGCAGCACCAGACTAAGGGGCAGCACCGGACTAAGGGGCAGCACCGGACTGAATGGCGGATCCTGGCTGGCTGGCTCTGGCGGATCCTGGCTGGCTGGCTCTGGCGGATCCTGGCTGGCGGAAGGCTCTGGCTGATCCTGTCTGGCGGAAAGCTCTGGCTGATCCTGTCTGGCGGAAGGCTCTGGCTGATCCTGTCTGGCGGAAGGCTCTGGCTGATCCTGTCTGGCGGAAGGCTCTGGCTGATCCTGTCTGGCGGAAGGCTCTAGCGGCTCCGGTCTGGCGGACGGCTCTGAAGGCTCATGGCAGACGGGCGGCTTATGCAGCGCTTGGCAGACGGACAGTTCAGACGGCGTTGGGCAGACAGGCAGTTCAGGCGCCGTTGGGCAGACGGGCAGTTCAAACGCCGTTGGGCAGACGGGCAGTTCAGGCGCCGTTGGGCAGACGGGCAGTTCAGGCGCCGTTGGGCAGATGGCAGACTCTGGCCGGGCGACGCGCACCGTAGACTTGGTGCGGGTGGCAGGAACAGGCCGGACCGGGCTGGCGACGCGCACCGTAGACTTGGTGCGGGTGGCAGGAACAGGCCGGACCGGGCTGGCGACGCGCACCGTAGTCTTGGTGCGGGTGGCAGGAACAGGCCGGGTCGGGCTGGCGACGCGCACCGTAGACTTGGTGCGGGTGGCAGGAACAGGCCGGACCGGGCTGGCGACGCGCACCGTAGACTTGGTGCGGGTGGCAGGAACAGGCCGGACCGGGCTGGCGACGCGCACCATAGACTTGGTGCGGGTGGCAGGAACAGGCCGGGTCGGGCTGGCGACGTACACCGTAGGCTTAGTACGTGGAGCAGGAACCGGCCGGGCTGGACTGGCGACGCACACCGTGGGTCTGGTACGTGGCGCAGGAACAGGTCGGGCTGGACTGGCAACGCACACCGTGGACTTGGTGCGGGGAGCAGGACTATGCCGGACCGGGCTGTGGAGACGGATAGGAGGCCTGGAGTGAACAGCGGCCACCACCCGTCCTGGCTGAATGCCTACCCTCACACACTCTGTGTGAGGCATCCGCACAGGACGTACAGGGCGGTGTACCCCTGGCCTGGTGGCCTCCTGGATTCGCCCCATCTTTGCCTCCGTCGTCCATGCCGTGTGCTTGATGCGTGGAGTCGGAACAGGTCGGGCTGGGCTGGCCACGCACACCGTAGGCTTTCTACGTGGAACAGGAACCGGCCGGGCTGGACTGGCGACGCACACCGTGGGCTTGATGCGTGGAGTAGGAACAGGCCGGTCCGTACTGGGAACACACACCACTGGCCTTAACCGGGGATCAGGAACGGGCCGGTCCGGACTGGTAACACACCTCAGTCTCTCACGCCGTGCCTCAACTGCTTCCCTCCCTCTATTCGCCAATGGCTCCCGTAATCCGGTAGCCTTCTCTCCACATCTCCCTGTGGCAGCCTCCTGCTGCCCAGCCGCCCAAGCCATGTGCCCCCCCAAAAAAACTTTTTGGGGTTGCCTCACGTCCTTCCAACGATGACCCTGCTGACGCCGTTGCTCCTCTCTCGCCAGGGCCTTGATCTTCCCCCAAGGTCCCTTGCCCCCGAGCATGTCCTCCCAGGACCACGATTTGCCCACCTGGGCCATCGCCAGCCTCTCGATCTCCTTACCAGGCGCCTCCTCCCATGTCCAGTCTCTTTGCTCCCGGACACGCTGCTTGGTCCTTTGATGGTGGGTTTTTCTGTCACGACCGTCTTGAAAGGGAGCAGACCAATACGCAGCGCGTTGAGTGAACATGATGACTTTAATGAGTACAGCACGTAAATACAAAACAAAAGACGATAGTGAAGTCCAACAGTGACAATGACTGAACTTGGAACAAAAACCCACAACCCTCATGAGAACACAAACAGTTTAAATATGGCTCCCAATCAGAGATAACGAGCCGACAGCTGACACTCGTTACCTCCGATTGGGAGTCACACGACACCACAAATAACTCACCCAAAACACAACCAACCGAATACACCCTATACAACAAAACCCCACAACAAAACCCCACAAAACAAATACACCCTGGCTCAAATACAAAAGTCCCGGAGCCAGAGTGTCACACAGTCAATACTGGGGGCAGATGTAGTGCTTGGGGCTGCTGAACAGGCAGTGCTGGAGCGTAGAGAACAAAACCAGGTGCTGTCTCCATTCACTGAACATCATATCAAATATCATTAACCAAGACTACAATAGACTATAAAATGTTGCAAACGTTTGAGCAGATTTGAGTAGGCCTGGTCTAGCTACTCAACTCTGCTCAAATGTTTGCAAAAATGTTGACTAGCTGGACCTTGCCACCAAACTTTGACTTCGGTGTTACCAATGTGGGAAGCTTATGATTTTATTTCTCTGACAAAATGATGTTTGATCAAAAGTTGTAAAGATCTTTAGTTTAGTTGGTTGGCTTGCTTTCTCTGCATGAGTATGCGGCTAGGCTAGCTAGCTACTAGCCTGGCCTTCTTTGCCTCTACTGGAAAGCTCACCACCACCTTTAGCACGTCCCGCATATTAGTGACACCACAGTCCCTCAGGAGTTCTAAAATCTGCACTGAAGTAGGGATGGCTGTTTTCCACACTCTTTCTCTCTCCGAAGAAGAGCAATGGGCCCCGGCTGCACGGTGGGACAAGGGGGGAGGAGTGATAATCACCGACAGGCAGAATAGATCCTGGGAGCAGCTTTCTGCCCGCTGGACCAAACAGAGCTCATCTGTCAAGTGAATGTATTATACACAGAGCAGAACAGAGCCAGGCTGGGCCCAGTAGCATAGTACAAGTCCTCACTCTTTCGAGTCTCAACACACTGAGTTTAATTTCATGGCCCCAGCCCAAAGGGCCTGTGAGAACAACACCATGCAAACAAAACTAAACACTGCTACCCTCTCTACTTGTGTGAGCCACCACACTACAGTGCCTTGCAAAAGTATTCATTCCCCTTGGCGTTTTTCCTATTTTGTTGCATTACAACCTGTAATTTAAATTGATTTTTATTTGGATTTCATGTAATGGACATACACAAAATAGTCCAAATGGGTGAAGTGAAATGAAAAAAATAACTTGTTTAAAAAAAAAGGGGTGCGTGCATATGTATTCACCCCCTTTGCTATGAAGCCCCTAAATAAGATCTGGTGCAACCAATTACCTTTAGAAGTCACATAATTAGTTAAATAAAGTCCACCTGTGTGCAATCTAAGTGTCACATGAACTGTCACATGATCTCAGTATATAAACTCCTGTTCTGAAAGGCCCCAGAGTCTGAAACACCACTAAGCCAGCAAGGGGCACCACCAAGTAAGCGGCACCACCAAGCAAGCGGCACCATGAAGACCAAGGAGCTCTCCAAACAGTGAAGCATGGTGGTGGCAGCATCATGCTGTGGGGATGTTTTTCATCGGCAGGGACTGGGAAACTGGTCAGAATTGATGGAATGATGGATGGCGCTAAATACAGTCTTCCAGAGATTTGAGACTGGGACGGAGGTTCACCTTCCAGCAGGACAGTGACCCTAAGCATACTGCTAAAGCAATACTCGAGTGGTTTAAGGGGAAACATTTAAATGTCTTGGAATGGCCTAGTCAAAGCCCAGACCTCAATCCAATTGAGAATCTGAGGTATGACTTAAAGATTGCTGTACACCAGCGGAACCCATCCAACTTGAAGGAGCTGGAGCAGTTTTGCCTTGAAGAATGGGCAACAATCCCAGTGGCTAGATGTGCCAAGCTTATAGAGACATACCCCAAGAGACTTGCAGCTGTAATTGCTGCAAAAGGTGGCTCTACAAAGTATTGACTTTGGGGTGGGGGGGGTGAATAGTTATGCACGCTCAGGTTTTCTGTTTTTTTGTCTTATTTCTTGTTTGTTTCACAAGAAAAAATATTTTTCATCTTCAAAGTGGTAGGCATGTTGTGTAAATCAAATGATACAAACCCTCCAAAAATCCATTATAATTCCAGGTTGTAAGGCAACAAAATAGGAAAAATGCCAAGGGGGGTGAATACTTTCGCAAGCCACTGTATATTGGGCAGAGAGCGAGAGACCCTCTGTGCTCTGTTAGTGGCAAATGGTAAAAGCTACATAGCTTTCACACATTCCATGACTCAGTTGGTTAGGGCATGACAGGGCGCCTACTGTACAAGACCAGGTTGTAGGTTTGATTCTCACCTGGGAACAGTGTGTTAACTGAATGTGTTATATGTGTTAACTCTGTGTTACCTGTAAGTCAGTGTGGGAAAAAAGCATCTATAAAATGACCCTATTTATTATTTGGGGTTTTTCATCACGTATTAATGTCATTCTTCATCCCATATGCTCATATGATTTAATAGAGAAGCCTTACAAAAAATATTTAGTCGCAACGTAAATATCCTAGGAAATGATCTTGGGCTGTGGCATGGTGGGGGCTAAGCCAGGCCCTTTAGGGGTTTGGGAGGTAGATGGAGGAAGATTGGAAAGCATAGCTAGAATCAGGGTCACTTTTCCATTTTGAACCTTGATCTGCTCGCATGGCTTTCGTGCTCATTACGTACAGAAAATTTACAGAAACCCGTACAGAAAATGTATATCAAATTAGTTTATTTCTCATCCATCTTTTGGGCCATTTTTCTCTCTCTCGTGTGTGTGTGTGTGTGTGTGTGTGTGTGTGTGTGTGTGTGTGTGTGTGTGTGTGTGTGTGTGTGTGTGTGTGTGTGTGTGTGTGTGTGTGTGTGTGTGTGTGTGTGTGTGTGTGTGTGTGTGTGTGTGTGTGTGTGTGTGTGTGTGTGTGTGTGTGTGTGTAGGACTTCCTGGGCCAGGTGTTCTGTACCCTGGGTGAGGTGGTGGGCTCCATGGGAAGCTGCATGGAGAAACCTCTCATGTAAGTAATGTGCTGTACCGTTCACACACACACATACACACTACCCTTTACCCTATTGTTGCTATTTTTGGCCTATTTTGTCCTCATTATTAAAAGCCAGGCCCAAGAGGCAACATAAATTACATGGTTTAAAGTTGTATTTTATTTAACATTTTGCATCGTTGGTATTCAATTGATGTACAGTATATTCCACATTGCGGCCAATATCGTTGCAATTCCAGTCAATTAAGGAAATAGATTGATCATTCAATACATGATTACCCATACCCTACCCCACCTTGAGAACTCTTTGTTGTTGGCTAAGCAAGGATACCGCAAATTAATTAGAAAACTTAAATGGTGATTCATGTCTGTGGTGAATAGTTTCCAAGTCTTACACAAATGAGAAGTGCAAATTTGTAAATGTATTTTTTAATGAAAGCATATGGCCGCTCTGGAAAACAAGGCTACAATGGCCTGCGCTGTGCACTACAAATATACAGTCGTGGTCAAAAGTTTTGAGAATGACACAAGTATTGGTCTTCACAAAGTTCGCTGCTTCAGTGTTATGAGATATTTTTGTCAGATGTTACTATGGTATATTGAAGTATAATTACAAGCATTCCATAAGTGTCAAAGGCTTTTATTGACAATTACATTAAGTTTATGCAAAGAGTCAATATTTGCAGTGTTGACCATTCTTTTTCAAGACCTCTGCAATCCGCCCTGGCATGCTGTCAATTAACTTCTGGGCCACACCGGCCGTGATTGGGAGTCCCATAGGGCGGCGCACAATTGGCCCAGTGTCGTCCGGGTTTGGCCGGTGTAGGCCGTCATTGTAAATAAGAATTTGTTCTTAACTGACTTGCCTAGTTAAATAAAGGTAAAATAAAAATTAAATAAAAAAATAACTTCTGGGCTACATCCTGACTGATGGCAGCCCATTCTTGCATAATCAATGCTTGGAGTTTGTCAGAATTTGTGGGTTTTTGTTTGTCCACCCGCCTCTTGAGGATCGACCACAAGTTCTCAATGCGATTAAGGTCTGGGGAGTTTCCTGGCCATGGACCCAACATTTTGATGTTTTGTTCCCCGAGCCACTTAGTTATCACTTTTGCCTTATGGCAAGGGGCTCCATCATGCTGGAAAAGGCATTGGTCGTCACCAAACTGTTCTTGGATGGTTGGGAGAAGTTGCTCTCGGAGGATGTGTTGGTACCATTCTTTATTCATGGCTGTGTTCTTAGGCAAAATTGTGAGTGAGCCCACTCCCTTGGCTGAGAAGCAACCCCACACATGAATGGTCTCAGGATGCTTTACTGTTGGCATGACACAGGACTGATGGTAGCGCTCACCTTGTCTTCTCCGAACAAGGTGTTTTCCGGATGCCCCAAACAATCGGAAAGGGGATTCATCAGAGAAAAAGACTTTACCCCAGTCCTCAGCAGTTCAATCCCTGTACCTTTTGCAGAATATCAGTCTGTCCCTGATGTTTTTTCTGGGGAGAAGTGGCTTCTTTGCTGCCCTTCTTGACACCAGGCCATCCTCCAAAAGTCTTCGCTTCACTGTGCATGCAGATGCACTCACACCTGCCTGCTGCCATTCCTGAGCAAGCTCTGCACTGGTGGTGCCCTGATCCCGCAGCTGAATCAACTTTAGGAGACGGTCCTGGCGCTGGCTGGACTTTCTTGGGCGACCTGACGCCTTCTTCACAACAATTGAACCTCCTTGAAGTTCTTGATGATCCAATAAATGGTTGATTTAGGTGCAATCTTACTAGCAGCAATGTCCTTGCCTGTGAAGCCCTTTTTGTGCAAAGCAATGATGACGGCACGTGTTTCCTTGAAGGTAACCATGGTTAACAGAGGAAAAACAATTATTTCAAGCACCACCCTCCTTTTAAAGCTTCCAGTCTGTTATTCTAACTCAATCAGCATGACAGAGTGATCTCCAGACTTCTCGTCCTCGTCAACATTCACCTGTGTTAACGAGAGAATCATTGACATGATGGCAGCTGGTCCTTTTGTGGCAGGGCTGAAATGCAGTGGAAATGTTTTTTGGGGATTAAGTTCATTTTCATGGCAAAGAGGGACTTTGTAATTAATTGCAATTCATCTGATCACTCTTCATGACATTCTGGAGTATATGCAAATTGCCATCATCAAAACTGAGGCAGCAGACTTTGTGAAAACTAATATTTGTGTCATTCTCAAAACTTTTGACCGACTGTACATGCTGTATCTTCAGTGATGTATTCCAGTATATTGTAACATACAGTACAATATGGCCTGGTATTTTGAAGCAGATTTGTTATGGTGTTAGGAGGCCCTCTGTCACTTCCACTAATGGTTTTAAGGGCAAAGAGGAAAATGTATGCGTCCCAAATGGCACCCTATTCCCTTTATACTACTACTGTATACTTACTACTTTTGACCTGGGCCAGTAGGGGTCTGGTCAAAAGCAGTGCACTATATAGGGAATAGGGTGCTATTTGGGACGCATGCAATGTGTTGGAGGTCCATTTCTTTACTTCCTGAGGCACTGAGAGCAGGGTGTTCTTCATGTGTGAACCGTGAGTGGGGTGGCATTCGCCCCACTGTGTTTGTGTGTGCCTGAGATGATTTTGTGTGTGTGTTTCTGTATGTATGCACGTGCGTGTGTGTGCGTGCATGTGTGGTGTGTGTGTGTGGCAAATGTATGTACAGTATGTATGTATGAATCATTGGGTAGTTGCAGCTGAATGGGTCTGCAGAAGAATGGAACACAAGACGATGATATAAGACTGTGCCACTGTTATCGAGTTACATAATCATCTCAGGCTACACTCATTCAGTGTGTGTGTTTTGTGTGTGTGTGTGTGTGTTTGTATGCAGCCGGTCCACTGTATCTTCAAGTGGCACCTCTATTTACATGAAGACGGCCGAGTCAAAAGCGTGGCACTTGTGCTCGGTGGAGTGGAGGAAGATTTTACAAATTAAGAGCAGAGCAAAGGAGGAGCATATGTGCAGAACTAAACAATGCTGGCTGTGATGATTTTAGGAGGCACACCACAAACAGGCATTGAGATGTCACACAGCATTTATTATACTATTTCACATGACAAGTATACCCCTTTTTACATTGTCCTGTGATACCCACCATACTGTGCTGGTCCAGATATTTTCTTTTCACTTAAAGGTGGGAAAGTGAGCCAAAAGAGTATAGATTTTGTAGTCCCTGTTCTAGACTACAGGTGAGAATGTACAGTTATGACTAACTGTTCCCTGAAGGTGGGAAACAAGGAACACAGCTATGGGGAGTTTGTGCACTAGCGCCTTCTACTGAAGAACATTTGAACCAATCCTGACAAGGCCAATGAACAGTGTGCCTCACCGGAAGCCCCGTCTTCCACACGTGATAAACCCGAGGCACAGATACGTTCGTTCAATTCAGTACCGCTCTTCATCGAGCCCAGAACTGGGCGGTGCGGGGCCAAACAGGTGTTGTACCTAATTTCCCTCCTACAGGGAACAGTAGTTATAGCCATAACTGTACGTTCCCTTTCAGTCGGTCAACTCCGTACAACACAGCTATTGGGATATGAAATCACGCCCCATACCGACCGTAGCGGACACCAAATGAAATGGCCCATGGCAGACCACCCAGAGTTCCAACCCGAATGGAAAGCCAGTGGTACCCGGGTATTGCGCAATCTGCACGCTGCGTAATGACCCTCTCCTGTCCCAGCCGTAAGCACACTGTGGGCTACACTGGGAGCAGTGACATGGTGCAGCTGTAGAACTTATGTATGCTAAACGAGAGAGCTACACAATCAATTCCACCATGGGAGGCAGGAATCACCAGTAGCAGTACACTAGCTAGCTCGCCTTGACGAGTCAGCTAACCTGGGTAGCACACTATGCAGCGCTGTTTAGCTAGCCTGATCCCCTCCACATAAGACCGGATCATCGGCCAAGTTTGGGAAGAGTGGTAAACGTGTTTGACCGAGGCAGGTACATGCGGCCGGGCGTGACCACCGACCCGGCAGCTCTCTCCCTTCAAGTCACCTCCCTTAGCCGGTGACAGAGCGCACAGCAACCGGGTTGAGCTAGGTCAGCTTTCGCATGCCTCAGCCCAGGCAGACAAGACATTTGATCCGACTAAAGGCCCAAATCATCCTTGGGTCACGTAACTCATACCCAGCCGAGGTACGGGCACCCGTGAGAGGAAGCCATAAGAATTCCATACGTTTGCCAAGGGAACCTGCGCGCACCATTGACTAGGGGAACAGTGACAGCGGCGTGCAAGCCACTGTTACTGACACCGTCCCGCACGCAAGCTGACCCGAGCGGGGGCAGCTGGAGCATGCACCGTGTCGAAACAGATAACAAAATGTGAGTATCTTTTAATTTATTTCGACAAGGTCTTGAACCCGAGCCCTGCTTGTTAGCTTTCGTCGTTTTGGTTACATTACTCCGCCAATTAGCCAGGCTAAACAGGCAGAAGAATAACTAACAGATTCAGCAGGAAACTCACAAAGCCAGTTACCAAGCTTTAACACACAATTTCCAGAAGGATGAGCACGCCCATGTTAAGTTAGAGTAAACCCTGATATTTCGCGTTCCCATGATTATTTTAAAGAATAGATTAAATTGTTCTGCTCAGCTCGAGGTGAAGAGCAGAAGACTTGAAGGAATGAATCCGTGACTTGGGTTTATCACCTGTGGAAGGCGGGACTTCCGGTGAGGCACGGTGTTCATTGGCCTTCTCAGGCGTGATTCTAATGTTCTTCAGTAGAGGGCGCTAGCATGTGAACTCCCCATAGCTGTGTTGTACCGAGTTGACTGACTGAAAGGGAACCAGATCAACTCTGTAGATCATTTAATTGTATGAACTGCATAGTTAGTTCAATGCCATTCGTCTTCTTTATCCAGCCACCTCTTTCCTATACCCTCACTCTCTCTTACTCCCCGTCCCTTTCTCTCTCGCTCATTCTCTTTCTATCTCTCCCTCCCTTTCTGTTTTTGTGTCTCTCTATCACACTCAGCTACTCATTCACTCTTTCACTGACTCTCTCCTCCTCTCTCTCTCACAGTCTCTTTCCATCTCCCTTTCCCGTGCTATGTCGTCGTCGTCCCCCTCCCACCTCCCCTCCAGTGCCAAGGTTTTGTGCTCACTGCTCACCCAGTCAGTTCATTTCAGTGAGTGCTTCTCTCGCTGTGCCTCCGAGAGCCCCGGCTGCATTTCAAAGACTCACTTCAATTTGCCATCTATTTTCCTCCATGCATATTATTGCATAATTCCAGCAACATTACATAGCTCTACTTAGCCACATGAAAAACAATGTTGCTCTCTCTCTCCAGTCTAAACCAAGCCTTTGGGTTCTGGCATTCATTTGTCTATTTTTAGACTTGGTCAAGTTCTTTCTGTCTGTTGACATTCTGCACAAAACGGCAGGCCTCATCTTTGTCAAGGAAGGTATTGACGATTCATGTACGACATGCTAGATGGACAGGTCGTCATTGTAAATAAGAATTGGTTGTTAATTGACTTACCTGTATAAATAAAGGTGAACTAAAATAAAATACAAAAATGGACGGAGTGCCATGAACAACACACAAATGTACAGTAACGCTGCCAGAAGTGATGATTCTAGTCTCTCTCTTTTGTGTTTTAACAGTGGGATTCCAGGGAAGAAGTGTGGTACCATCATAGTGAGAGCAGAGGAGCTGAGCAATTGCAGGGTGAGTGGTTTTTGTGTGTAAAAATAAATAGGAAATCATAGTATGCAGCTGTTGTAAGTGTTCCCGTTTGAATGAACAGTCATCATCAAAATGGAACAACTTTAGCATTTTAAACAGTGGATATTCCATCATACATAGCCACATACTCTACATGGGAGCAAAAAAATGACTTGTTGCCTGTTTTCCTACAAATAACTCTCTAAATACTAAGGGACCCAGTCAATCAAAACAGGTCACGAAATGTAAACGAATTAGAAAAAATATTTGAATATTATGTGCTATTTTCCCAGTCTGTGGTTTTGATTGTCTGTCTGTTCCATCTATCTGTAACCTGTTCTCTCTAGGAGTCAGTGATGCTGCAGTTCTGTGGGAACAAGTTGGACAAGAAAGATTTCTTTGGGAAATCGGATCCTTTTCTGGTCTTCTACCGCGGTAACGAAGATGGATCGTAAGTCGTCACGACAAGCTTTGATTTATTATTACATTTTGTACAAAACATCATACAAATCTAATCAAAACTTGATTAATTCACAACCGCTAACATTTGTATTATTAAAGTGTTATTAAATCATATTTGTTTACATACAGTATATATACTGTACTGTGTGAAGGGCGGCAGGTAGCCTAGCGGTTAAGAGCGTTGGGCCAGTAACCGAAAGGTCGCTAGTTCGAATCCCCGAGCCGGCAAGGTGGAAAAATCTGCCATTCTGCCCTTGAGCAAGACAGTTAACCCCCAACAACAACTGCTACCCGGGTGCCGATGACGTGGTCATCGATTAAGGCAGCCCCACACACCTCTCTGATTCAGAGGGGTTGAGTTAAATGCGGAAGACACATTTCGGTTGAATGTCAGTTGTATCCCCTTTCTGCCCATACACAGTGGAAAAGAAGTCTGTAGCTTCCAGTCGAATCTCGCATCCACAACAAGACCATGGTGCTTACCTACAGAACAGCAAGAGGAACTGTCCCTACCTTCAGGCTATGCTCAAACCCTACAACCCGAGTACTCCGTTCTGCCACCTCAGGTCTCTTGGCCCTCCCACCCCTACGGGAGGGCAGCTCCCACTCAGCTCAGCCCAGTCCAAGCTCTTCTCTGTCCTGGCATCCCAATAGTGGAACCAGCTTCCCCCTGAAGCTAGAACAGCAGAGTCCCTGCCCATCTTCTGAAAACATCTTAAACCCTTCAAACAGTATCTTACATAATCCTACTCTTATTCTACTGATAGCTGCTTTATTGAGGAAAAATGTACTTTCTATGCCTGTGATATGTGGTTGTCCCACCTAGCTATTTTAAGATGAATGTCTCTCTGGATAAAAGCATCTGCTAACTGACTAAAATGTAAATGTAGACACAGAACAAATACTGTACCCATATGGTGACTTTATGGTATATAATACTGCCCACTCATAAGACTCATGTTATGTACCCTATACTACGTCCCTGTCGAGACATACACAGAGAGTGTAGGTGGTAAGGGATGAGTGGACGTGAAAGAAAGGAAGAGAGGAGAGGAGAAATGAAGGGTAAAGAAAATAGAGGGTGGTTGAGACTGAGTTAAACACACATTTGCCCAGCAGATGTTTTTATGCGAGCTGCCTCACTTATCTTACACTTAACACGTTTGGCTTTTGTGCAGCTGGATATTTACTGAAGCAGTTTAAATGGCTAGCTCCGGGGCACAACAGCAGCATGCCCACCCTGACCACATGGCCACACTGCATCCTGTATAAGAACAGGAAGCTGCTGTTGTTTTGTTTTGACTTTTATAGAGCAAGAAATAAGTAGGCGTTGACAACAACATGTTGTCTTGAAAGGGTCCTAACAGCCATTGTGTGTGTGCTTGTGTGCGTGTGTTTCTAGATTTACTATCTGCCATAAGACAGAGGTGATGAAGAACACTCTGGACCCAGTGTGGCAAGCCTTCAAGATCCCCGTCAAGGCCCTGTGCAACGGAGACTATGACAGGTAACTCATACCATAGATGCAGGTAACTAACAGATGCATAGATTCAGCACTTTGAAATAAAAATGAGAATGGCAGAGATAGTCCCTTTTGTAGTGACTTCCTCCTTCTACACTACATTACTACACTACAGTGCACTCCAGTTAACACTAGAACCACTGGGCCTCGAGGGACCCCCCCTTCAATCTAATGAGCAGTCACTCTGACTGCAACAGTCCAACAGTGTAATTCATACATTTCATAAATGCTATCGCAAAAATAACCATTTGGTTGTGTTTATGAAGGCCTTGGGTAACGTTTTCAAATAACACAATAGCATTTTCATTCATTTACAGTATGTTACCGTAGGCTATATGTAAAAAATAAATATTTGTGGAGTGCCTTTGTTACAACTATGAAACAGAAAGCATATGTGCTGGAACACGGCAATAGCTTATTTCTATAACAAAATAAAAATATACCCGCGGTCAAATAATACCCACGGTCAAATAATGAAAACTTCAGTAGCCTAAACATCAAATGAGAAAGTATGAATTCTCTTATAAAAATTTAAATAAAACAACATTTTTTATTTCCACCGGTAAATGTGTGCTTTCATATTGTTTTCTTTGGCAACTGTGTTATAAGCGGAATAAATGCCTCCGTTCTGTACATTACCTTGGAAAAATGAACTCCGCAAAGGGACTCGGCGGCTTCGTCCATGATTTCCAAGGTAATGTACAGAATGTCGGCATTTATCCTTTAATTGTGCTTGTGTGCGTCTTCACGTAATGGCATCATTTAGCTATTAGCCCTTGTTCTAACAGTAGACCACATTTTCATAACTTTCTCTTGCTTGACACACTTAGATATACCTTTGTTTGGTTATAGTACATAATAGTCTCCAGTTTTCTCTTAATTGTATCCCCGTCATCTTGTCATTCTTCAGCACCATTGTGGAGTAGCCCTACAACGGCTGTGCAGGTGCCTTATTTAGCTCCCGTCTCACTTTGTTCATGGTGCCGGCCAGACTTGTTTTCTTTGCAAGCAACTTGTTCGCCAATGACAGTGAAGGGAAGAAATGGTCCCTGGTGACATTTCTTCCCTTGCCAACTTAAGGTTCCACAAGCCTCCTCATCACATTCTCCGACACTCACTCACCTGCTGCCTGAAGTGGATATTTTCCCAGATATTGAAAGCCGTTCAGCATGTACAATTACCCACGCTCTCACTGTGTAGCCTACTCCAAGTAGGACAGAGTAGACTGAAAACACTGCTTTGATTCAGTTGACTGATATAGGGTACATACCATTTTAAGATTATAATAAGAATGGATCAATACAATAGAATGGCCCGCCCTGTTCTTCATTCACAATTAGTGATTACATAATTAGGCATTGTTGGCTTCCCCTCGCTCAACAACTCACCCATTCTCCCCCATCATACTTTACTTAATTTATTTTATCTGTTGTTATACAGTATGTGTGAAATTAGTTTCAGTATAGTTTAGGTTCAGTTTCTAGGCAATTATCGGGGTGAGTATCAAGGAGCGGAGCAGGCCCTACTGTTGGGAGAAGGAGGGGTAACAGGGAAAACCCTCCTAAAACTGGTTATAACTCCAGTTCTGTTTGTGATATTAAGATTCTAACACCAACAATGTGTTATATACTTATTTAGGAAAAGTCGAGGACAAGGGGAGTATGACTTAAGAAATGGCAGAGTAATAAAATACAAAAATTCATGAGCAGAGCAATTCCATGGTAAGGTCAACCTGAGCATGAAAAACTAAATAGCTTATTTCCTAATTAAACTACTTTCATATTTACCTTGAATGTGTGTATTTTTTACCTTGAATGTGTGTATTTTGAACTAAAGACTACATTTGGCCTTTTATATTTGCCAAAATTGAATGTTATTGTTACTACAAAGTAGGATACAAAGTCTCAAAATAAGTATTTTCAGTCAACCAGGTTTCATAGCTTTTGGCAGTGGCTCACAGAACTTGTTTTGGTACTCACATCTGTCCCCCTGTGTTTCTGACCAAGTCAGAAGGTTAATGAAACAATATCAAACCATTTTTTGTCCATTGAGTGCTAGTATACAATTCTACAGTCTAGTGAAGATAGAACGCTGATTTGGACAGGCAGTGTCACATCCGTAATGTTTTTGAGGAAAGGTTGTTATTATGGAGGCGTTTCGAGTATGATTGTATGCAAACTTTCTTTGCAAAGCTAACTTTCATCAAGGGCTTAGGTGACCTATAATTGGTTTCCTTTTTCTCTTTGTCAGTACTCGTTCTAAGAGTAACGGATGTGACCGTTAAGGACTCTTCATAACATGATCAATGACTCACTAGTCAGCATCACTGCATAACGCAATCATGATAAAATGTTAATGCCCTTCCTACTGCTTCCAAAGTGTTTTCATGTTAGCAAAGGAGCTAGTGGGCAATCTTTATCTCTCTGTGTGTGTGATCTATTTCGGGTGTACTCACGTTTCATATGACCTGCAATCATGCGTTGTTCAGCTAACTGGAGCATTGCATGTGATCACATGGCATAATAAAGGTCTTAAATTCATAAACATAATTAAGGTCTTAAAAATCCATAAACTTTCACCGGTCATGCTGAGTTTTATGATCTGACAAGAAATGTCTACGAAAGTGTAAACCTTGTGCCACTGGTAGGTTATAATCTAATGAAACTTTTTTTCTTTTTTTTCTTTACCATTTCACGTAACGAAAATGAAGACGTTTAACCCTTCATAGGAACGACATCAACATAATGACATACGTCAAGATATAGTAGAGATGATAAGGGATGAGTGAGGAATGAGTCCAGCTAGCTCAAATAAACAAGGGAATGAAATGGGTGTATCAGTCCCTGAGTCTAGGGTTAGAGGTATACACTGAGTCTACAAAACATTAAGAACACCTGCTCTTTCCATGACATACACTGACCAGGTGAATCCAGGTGAAAGCCATGATCCCTTATTGATGTCACTTGTTAAATCCACTTCAGATCAGTGTAGATGAAGGGGAGGAGACAGGTTAAAGAAGGATGTTTAAGCCTTGATACAATTGAGACATGGATTGTGTATGTATGCCATTGACGGTGAATGGGCAAGACAAAAAATACAAGTGTCTTTGAATGGGGTATGGTAGTAGGATACCAGGCGCACCGGTTTGTGTCAAGAACTGCAACGCTGCTGGGTTTTTCACACTCAACAGTTTCCTGTGTGTATCAAGAATGATCCACCAACCAAAGGACATCCAGCCAACTTGACACAACTGTGGGAAGCATTGGAGTCAACATGGGCCAGCATCCCTGTGGAGGGGAAGGGGGTCAACTTAATTAGGAAGGTGTTCCTAATGTTTGGTATTTGTGTACATCTTGCCAGTCAAGGACAACAAGGCTTGGGTGGCTGCAAGTCAAGTTGTCCAGTCCCTGTGTCCTTTTTTGGACAACGGGGAGGAGGTATCATTTCATAGCGCCTGTGCTAGCAGACTAAAGGGTGTGAGATTAATACAAAGCATGAGTTTATAGATTTTTTTTTAAATTGAGTTAGTTTTTGCATGTTTATTCTGTTACTCAGTAGGTGATTAATAATACATCTGTCATTAATGATCTAGAATGAAATTACTAAAACGTTGTAATTGTGAAATGGAGTGCAGTGTCATAATTTGCTGTCTGTCTTTTGGGACCCAGTCACATCCATAACGCAGAATGTCACATCATAACATTTTCCTCTAGTGTTATAAATATTTACACCTATATAATATAATTGTTGAGGTATGCAGCACTCTAATTCGCAATCAAAATAGAGATTTTCAAATAAAGAATTGTAAATGCATTTCTTAGCACATTTGTGCATTTATGATTGGTTAAGACGGGACCCACGAGTGCACTTTGATAGCCTATGCAATAACTAATTCAAGATATTGGTGATTTCTTGGTTCCTTGAGGTACACTGCATTTTCAGATGACAACAAAAGTATTATGTTAAGTTTGATGAAGAAATCTTTAAACATCCGTAACGGAGAATGTCGCATCCATAACGGTACATTTTCCTCTCTAAAGTATATATGACCATTTTTTTTATTTTCATCATAGTTGTTTTTGTGTGTAGCCAAGCCTTACTTTCAAAGTGCCTATTAATATTTTACCCTAAGACTTTGAGATGCACAGACTTTTGCTGATGTGTCCATTCTCTCAAAATATGCCTGTCCATTTGCATCACATCCATAACGCAAGTTTCGTGGTTCCGTAACTTCACAGTGGTATTACTTAGAATTTTGTAATTGTGTGTCTACACTTCCCCTATAGGGTTCTACAAATACACATCAATATTTTTAGTTATGCTTGATAAGTCAATTCTGTGAGACATTTTGTTTCTCATTTTGTGTGCAAATGTCACATCCATAAAGCTGGATTTGCTCAGCAGTCAAAATGACTGCTTTAGCGGTTCTAGTGTTAAAGCAGTTTAAGATGTGGTTTAAAAAAAAAGATCTGTAAAATCCAATCTGTTACTATAATAACTGCAATCCACTTAGAGTTACCAGAGCTAGCCAGGCCTCGTAGGTGTGACGTCTGCCTATATCACTAAGAACCAAGTGGTACTTAAGAAACCACAACACATGAATAAATAGACATCAGTATTCCTGTACATTATAGTTGACCACAAACCATTTCTATAACCACTTGAGGATTCAGGTACAAAGCAGTGGCTGCTGCTGCAATTGTTCGTTTTGTGACCGTGACTCCTGCAATCTAGTCCAGTTGAAGGTCATGTAATTTGTTATTGATGAAATTTCAATATTTGTCAGTGTTTTAGAATTAGTTGCTTATTAGGCTATATGTGTGCCCGATGCCACCCCTCATCTCTGATTCTCTGCTGGCAGCGCAATATAAATTGTGCCTGTAGGCTATTTAGTGTGGTCTCAATCAAATGATCCATAGCCTATAGGCAACAAAGTGCATGCTCGGAGAAGCACAGAGCAAAGTTATATTTCTAAGGTAGCTGCTGGGA